CTCTGTCTGCTATGGTGGTGAGCATGCCTCCTCTCTGCTCACTGCAGCAGTTTGCTATTGGCCCACTGGATGCTGACAGCACTGGTGTTTCTCTGTGGTGGAGGGGGAGCAGCTCTGCTGTATAAAAGCTCAGGATATGCAGCATCACTGAGCTGGTGCAGTGCAAAAACGCTCGCTCATCCACACTGATGGTGTGCAGAACAAGGGGGACATAAAAAATCCTTTTGAAACTAACAACATCCATTTACTTTTCTTAAAAAAATTACACAACAAAAAAACCATCCATCATGAGCTACGAGATCTACTCCTACCGACGCCCTTGGGACAGCTGCAGAAGCTCCCGAAACACCACCAACATCAAATCTTCCATGTCCACCTTTGGCTATCGTTCTCGGGCTGCTTCATCGGGGAAGAGGAATGTGAGGCTGGCCTCCTCTTCCCTGCCTGATGGCTCAGAGAGAATGAGCCTGGCTCAGGTCAGTTCTCATAACACAGAGCTTTTGGGTCTGCGTTCGCAGGAAAAGGAGCAGCTTGTGGACCTCAATGACCGCTTTGCCACCTACATCGAGAAGGTGAGGCACCTGGAGCTGCAGAACCGGGCCCTGCTGGCTGAGCTCGATGCTCTGAGAAGGTGGCAGAATGAACCATCCCGTATGCAGGCGATCTACGAGGAGGAAGTCAGGAGTTTGAGGGCTATGGTAGACTCAGAGAACGGCGAGAAGATGCAGATGGAGGCTGAGAGGGACTACCTGCAGGATGTGTACGAGCAAATGAAGGAGCGCTACGAGGAGGAAGCAAGGAGGCGAGGAGATGCTGAGGAGGCCCTGCACGGTGTCAAGGAGGAGGCGAGCAGGGCTGCACTGTCAAACTGTGATGCTGAGGCCACTGTGGTCTCTCTTTGTGATGAGATGGTGTTCCTCAAGAAAGTTTTTGCAGAGGAGCAGGCGGAGCTGCAGGCCCAGCTGCAGATGGTGAACATCAGTGTGGACGTGGAGGTCTCCAGGCCTGATCTCTCCTACGCTCTGAGAGACATCCGGACACAATACGAGCGACTGGCAAACAAGAACATGCAGGCTGCCGAGGAGTGGTACAAGAACAAGTTCACGAGTGTGGCAGAGGTGGCCAGCAAGAACAACGAGGCCGTGCATGCCATCCGGGAGGAGACCATGGAGTACAGGAGACTGCTTCAGACGCGCTCCTCAGAGATCGAAGCTCTCCGGAACGTCATCAACTCCCTAAATAAGCAGCTGGAGGAGCTGGAGGACACACAGGCCAAGGAGGTGACAAAGTATCAGGTAAGAGAAGATGTTTTAGCAGTTGGTCTAAAAGGTTTACTGGCAGAACAGGGTTCTGATGTCAAAATAAATTCAAGAAAAACAGAAAACTGGAGGCAGGACAATAAACATGTAACTATATTAAAGTATTCCTGCAGAATCAGTCAAAACCTACTGGTCAACTCCAATCAGTAGTGAACAACTACAAACACACATGATGAATGAGTCATTCTAGGTATTTACAGTGGATTTGAGGCTTGACATGTTATTGACCCAACAGAACCCCATCATATTTTTCTTTCTACAGGTAAGGATAAGTGAGCTGGAGCATGACATCACTGAGGCCAAGCAGGAGATGGCGCGCTACCTGAGGGACTACCAAGACCTTCTTAATGTGAAGATGGCACTCGACATTGAAATAGCAGCATACAGGTAAGATACGACCGAGTCTCATCGGCTCACTACCAGACTAAGACATAACACCTTAAAAACAGATACTACAGTGTAGCTGTAAACTCAAAAGTTAGTGTCTAGTTTTGGTCTTCTCATTTTTCTCTATAGACTCAAATAATGTGTGACATTGATATTATATTTGATAAGGTTCTCAAACAAACTAGGCTCAACAAAAACATGTTTTTTGTTTCAGGAAACTTCTGGAAGGGGAGGAGATCCGCCTGGCCTACCCTTCTCTTCCAGCTCTAAACTAAACCCTACATGCCACCAGCCTGGCATAAATCTGAATTCTTCATACCCCGTCATTCTTCCTCAGACCCGATCTCCTCCTAATCATTCTCCTTTTTGTCCATCCCTCTCTCATCTGTTCTCCTGAAAATGTTTGTTTTCTTTACTCCACAAACCAAAGCTCATCATTCCCAAGACAGTCGTGCCCTTGTGCTGAACAAGAGGTCCCACCCAGAAGGTCCCCCTTCTTCTACACACGTTGTGACATCAAGCGTCAAGACGATGGTGAACCGTACCATAAAATGCACAGTGGCTGCACTGCATTAGTTTCATGGCTCTGTTGAACTGCACTGTTGACTGGCCAGAGTTCTTTGGGGTTGTGCACAATAAACTCCAAGCAGCAGAGTTAAATGACAAACTTCACTGACCCTTCATTGTGCAAACATTTGACCAATTGTTTGTTAAGAGGGCAAAAAGAAGTTCCTTTTAACTCTCAATGCTTAGACTTTATCTGTGTTCAAAGTGTTGCAAGAAAAACTGCAGCATTATTGACCCGGAACTCAAACCAATCAATAGTGTTTGTCCTGTACCTCTGGTTCTGTAGTTGTAGTCTGTAGAGAGGACCAGTAACCTTAAAAAATATTTTAACTTAACCTAAATGTCTTCTTTCTTACTTGTTCTTCCCCTGCATTTACCTCCAAACAATTACTGATAGAGTGACTTAGTTTTATCCTATTTGGCTTCATATGTATTTAAATTCTTAGTTTTATGTGTAAATGCTCTGGAAGACTACAATACTGTTACTGGTTTCTCCTTATCATCATGCAGTGGGCCTCTCAGCTTATTTGCATTAGATTTTCTTCTTTTGTCCTTTAAGATAAAACTATGAAACTGAAAGATAAGAGCAGAAGCTCCTTGTTGTCAGTCTGAGACCTGATGGTGTTTCACATCTCTGACACCACTGCGAAGCCTGCACCATTATGTTTGGTGTTTCTGTAACAGTCTGCAACAAGCTGAATAAACATGCAACTTAAATAAAACACTGCCTTGCTGGTTTATTTTTTCATGGTATTTCATTGACCAGACACAAGGGATCTCATGGGATCAATTAGAGACACATGGGAGGTATTCTAGAGGTTAAATGAATTAATTTCATTTTAATGTAGTTATATTTTTCAATGCATAGCGCATTTTAACACACAGACGAAAAAATAATAAACACTGTAAACTTCAAAGGTGATTTAACCAAATTTTGTGGGTTACACCTTTTATAATTGATGAGGTGATTGTAAATACATTCATTGTCTGTTGGCCAAGTGCCTCAGAGAAGATTTAATGAATGTTTAATCTAAGAAGCATTGGGATCTACAACGATGATCCAACATAATAGAATAAAAGTACAGAATCCCTTTAATTCATATCACACCTCGGTTAAATTTCCTCTTACCTTTTCCAATGTCACAGAGGAGACACGCGGGACCACTGCACCATTTCCCATCATGCCATGTTCTTGGCAGAGTGGCGCTGGCTGTAAAGTGGTGGTTGACCACCTCAGCAGGATCATTTCTCATCAGGCTGACACCAGTCCAGCATCTCACTGAGTCCTGGAGAAAGTAAAAATTATTATTCTTATGTGGACAAAAGACAGTAGGTTTGAGCTGATGTTAACACAAGACTGGTGCTGGAGTCAGACAAATGAAAGTCACTGTGAGGCAGAAATTGCTTCTGGATAAGAAAACAGTTAGTCCTTTACAGGTAATTATTTTAAAAGGTAAAGGGATTTTATGAACATACATCTTTACATATAACTTTGAAAAAATTATTGTTGTTTAAGTGGCGCTTTGGCCCAGAGGCAATGTCTCTGTCATTGGTGTGAAACCCCAGGGTTCACCTCCTGGGCAAGTTCGAATCCCGGTTAGGGCGGTTGGTACCTTCCAGTGGACTCATAAACTACTACTATAAAAACTGTTTGACTGTTTGTCGCTGCTAATTTAGCCATATTGCTAACCCCAGACTTCGTAAACTTCGAATTTATTGATTTATTTATATTGATATTGATTTATTACAAATTTAGTGCAATATTGTAAAACATTTTAACAATAAACAACTATATTTTAAATGAACAAAAGCCTCAGAAGCCTATGCTTTTACCTGTAGATGGCGATAACATGCAAACGTCTCCTCCCGTCACTAACCACTTCCTTCGGTCAGAGGGAAACAAAATGGCAGCCTCGGTCTGTTGAAAACGTTCCCGAGTCAAAGTTATATCGTATCGTTATAAAACGGCATGAGGTTGTAATAAGCGACACAGAGTCCTCGTTTAAATAGTCTCCCCTCGTATATTTAGTTCCATCATCGTCATGTTCCCGGTCATCACCCGCAGGACCGTCGGGGCTGTCCGGCTCCTCATTCCCAGGTGCACCGTGCTCGTGGAGAGTGTCCGCGGCCGAAAGTCTCGGAACGACCCGGTAGCCAAGTCCAAGGTGGGACGAATTAAAGTCCCTCCTCCGGTAGACCCTGTAGAGATGGTGGTGTTGAAGGAGAGATACACGGAGTACAAGTTGATTATGAACGCGCTGCGGTAGGTTCGAAACCCCTCTATGCAGAATTCAAGGTTGCGACTAATTATCAACTATTCTGTTATCAATGTACTTTGACGATCATGTGTTTGATCAATTAATCGAACCGCTAATTGGGCACTGCAATGCAAAATATGGTAGTAAACATTTATACAATTACATGGTTTATCAGATTTTGAATTAACAGGTTTAATGTGATCAAATGTGTTTCTTCAGTATGGAGTTCAGAGAGGAGGTGCTGCGTAAAAAGTATGAGGAGGAGGTTGGGTCTCAGGCAGAGGAGAGGGCCAAGCAGGAGGCTGAGGAGCATCGTGCTCTAATGGAATTCAACAACCAGGAGAAGGTGCGTATATTGAAATTAAGGTGAGAATTAAGGTGAGGTTAGAAAAACAAACTGTCATCAGTGTTAAACACTGAGCTTCTCTGTGCTTTATAGAATTTCCAGGTTCCAGAAGGAGAAGGTAGAAGCTGAACAGAAGATGTTGGCGGAGAGTCTGAAGCAAGAGCAAGAATTACAAGAATCCATAAAAGAGAGCGAGATGGTGATTTTACAGCTGCAGGTACGAAACCTTGAGAGATTTTATTTTGTTTTAAGAATCAATTGTATGGTAAACTGGTTACTATGACAGACCATTAAAGTCTGGCATTTATCTGCAGCTCTGATCACAGGCTCTCTTTAACTTCATGCTCACACCTTCCTTCTTTCAGGAGGATGTAAAGAACTTCATCACTCTGGAGAATGTGGATCAACGTATAGAAGAAGCTTTGGACAATCCAAAGAATTACAATTTTGCCATCAACAAAGAAGGCAAAGTCATCAAACAGACGGTGCTGCAGTGAAGCAACAGAAGAGTGTGCGTATCTGGATCAACAGAAAGACTGATGGCACTTCTCAGACAGATGGTGAAAAACTTTTGGTATGGGACAGTTGCCAGTACTGCAAATAATTGACACACAATATCTGGATTTGTCCACACGTAGAGAAGATACAGTTAATAGAAAACCAGTGTGAAGTCAAACTTAATGATCACATGTCCATGCCCTTTTTTATCTTTGTTCCTGTACTGTCAACATATTATGTTTCATTATCAACTCTGTCTGCCCTGATTTGTTATGTACATGTACAAGTAAATTAATGTTTATTCATTCCTCTCAACTATTTTTTAACATATTAGAAAAAGAAAGGAAGAAGGTTTTGTTTAATTTAGTATATATTAGGAATGACAGAAGCTTTAGGTCAGAGGTTCCCAAACTGGTGGGTGCAGAGCTATTGTTGGGGGACGTAGCAAGGCAAATACATTTCAACTGCAACATTTTCTTTATTATACAATGGGGAAATTGAACTGACTGTACTGATTTAAATGCAGTTCAACAGACCTATCAACAAAGGAGAAAGTTTGGAAACGACGCCTTTATCTCGAACGCTCAAGGTTAACTTTTAAATCAGACATTTTAAAGGTGGGAGTTTAAACATTAGCCTAGATGTAACAGCAGTTACTATTTGTATTGGCAGCGAATCCTCTTTTCCTGCACTGCGGGCATCTGTCCTGTGAGTGGCGCTGATTTCACAACGTTTACAGACAGGCGTGACGCAGTGCACGTGCAAATGACGAATCAGGACTAATTCTCAGGTTTGAAGGATGATGGGATAAAGGTTTTGAAGTGATCTGTGGAGACCCTGCGGTGAACTCTAGTGAGGAGAGAACCAACTGAAATACAACAACTGGTTATTGGTTATTGGCTGGATAAATGTTTTTTGCCTGTTGGAAAAAGGAAACAGTCCATTTTAATCCTGCTGCAGAAAAAACAAGTCAGTGGACATCAATTATGCTGCTTTATCGAGGTGCTGGTCTGCACCCACTTCAACTGAACGTCGTCCAAACGCCATACACGTGGGCAATGTAACTGTTGTAATGTAACATGTTAATGGGCTTGTTGGGATTTGGCAGTGAAACGTGAGATTAACTGTGGATTACAGGTAAACTCTAGCCTCAGCAATTCCCACACATCCGTCTGAGTCACGAACATGACTTCACATTTCAGTGAAGTTGATGGAGACCTATTTAGATCTGTCATCAAGAATTTACAAGAAAAATACAATTGTCTTCATATTTATATATTTAAATTAAATGGTTCTGGTTTGAGAATCATTCAGCAGTTAACAGTTCTGTGTGTGTCCAAACATTTAGCATCTGTCAATAAAAAATAAAAAGGGCGTTCAAAAACAGATTTCTGACATTATGATCTTTAAGAAATACTCATTTAAGAGCATTTCATTTTCTTACTTTATTTGTTTTTAAACTATTTTTTTCTGGAATCAGACAAAGAGACAATGACATTTTTCATCAGTGAGTTTAAATGTTTTACAGTTTATATGATCTAAAATCTTAAGCCAGTTTTTGACCCCATTGACACAAACCGACCAAATATGGCAAAAATATCTCAGCAAATTCAGTGTCTGCTCAGATAAATATATAAACCAGATACAGTTGGAATTAGTTACCTTAGTACTGTACCTTCTTTGAAACCTGAAAGAGTCAATAATGTCTTAAAGACTAATAAACTAACCAGATTCATTCCTCAGTTTTTATTGGGTGTAGCAGCTGTGGCTACATCAGCATACAAACAGGAAATATTCAAAATAATTGCAGTTTTATTTTGATTGTTCACCCATTGACTCTAACATTTTATATTAAAAATATGCAGATATTAAATCTATATGCTGATTATTGTCACTTTGCCTCTTCTGAGGTTTTACTTCTGAGCATCAAGATTACTGACAATAAATACATTCATAAAATACAGATGCTGTGAAGGCACCCGGTATAGAGCTTTGTTTGTATTTTTGAGCTCGGTGACATTTATTGGTAAATACAACACTTACTGGAACTACTGTAAATGTAAGCCCAGTAAAGCCTCCACACAGCTGCATCTGCTGCTGCTTATGCCTTTAATTTGTAGGTTTGAATCGGGTTATATTAAATAATAAAAAATAAAGCATTCATTTGTAGCTTCAAAAAATCATCCCATAAATGTCTGTACATTTTCCATACACAGACTGTACAACTGGCCGTATAAAATTCCTACTTTGTGATAAAACTAGCATGTACTCACATTTGAAGAATGTAGAAAAAAAAGAAGAAAAACTTGAATATTCAAGTATAAAAAACTCAAAAGAAAAGACTACCAATTCTTCCACAATTTGATTCCTTTTTCTGAAAACTGCTTAATTCTTGTTACTGCTCACTTCTGTCACATCATGTCGTGAAGTTAGGAAATCTTGTTATTGAGCTGTCCGGGGTATTTCTCAAACCTTCTCTCTGCCTCCTCACTTAATGCATCACCTGCAATGATAGAAAACATGGAAAACTGATTAAAAGAAGGCTCTGTGTGTGTGTGTGTGTGCGTGTGTGTGAGACTGCTTACCAATATGGCAGTTGTGGAACCAGACTCTGTGGCCGTCATATTTGCAGTTACACTTCATGGCATTGTTGGTAAAGTCGCTCTCAGCCACTTCATTATTGGGATTAATCACAACCTGGAATCACAACTCATGATGTAAAAAATGATGTGTGTTTTTATTCATATGAACACAGAACACAACAGGGAACCTTAAATTGTAATTATGAATCTACATTTTGGTGAGCTGTTGGAGGTAACAGTCTGCTCAGCTTGGAGTTTCTGCTGCAAAACCTGCCACTGGTAAAAGTTTTCTACTGTCCTTCTCTGAACAAATGACTTGAAACACCAACAAACTAATAATAGAATTCATCAGGAGGACAGCGAACAGCATGGTGTGGTCACCTGCATGATGTAGTTTCCAGGTTTGACGTCCGTGATGTCAATCCACTGGCAGTCGATGTCGTGTCGATACAAATCCCAGCAGCCCACAGTGATGCCCTGATCACCAAAGTTAGCACACTCGTATCTCTTGGAAATGCCTGAATTGGTAGATGAAATCCAAAAAAAGTTGGCTCGCAGTTACTCATTCACCAAGCAGTTTTGACCATGAAAACTAAAGTCAATTTAAGAGCAAACATTGGTGCTAGTTGTGTTCTTGGATGGTACGCTGGCCTAGTGTTTAACCCCTAAAATGTGATCAGTTCTATCACCATATCCAAGTAAAAACAAAAAGCTTGGGCTGACCTTCATGACAGTCAGTGTCCTCCAGACAGAAACTGGCCTTGTGTCCTTCTGCTACTTTAGTACCGTTGGCGTTTATCAGATCATAGTGGGTGAAAATGTTCATGCTGTGGTAGTGGCTGTAAAATAGACATTTAAGTTCAATTAAGTTTTTAACTTGTTAAAAACGAGTAAAACCTAAAAAAATAAATAAAATGGAGCTACATTACCCGTGGCACGCGTGCCAGACCCACGAGTGTCGTCCAGCCTTTGGTTTGAAGTCAGCACGGCCAATGTTGTGGATCTGGGAGGAGAATCGCAGCAGGCGTCGGTGTCCGTACGGCCAGTTGGCCTTGGAGGCGGTTGATGACAGACAGTCTTCCTCGGCGGCACAGTAGAGCATGTGCAGAGGACGATCCTCAATGTAAACTGTCTGCTCTACCAGAGAGGCGTTCAGCACCAGGTCTGAGGCCGCTGAACACAGGGAGACAGAAGAAGTAAAAATCATAACACTAAAAATGTACTCTTACATGAGGAAAAGACTAGAAAATCATAACACTAAAAATGTACTCTTAACTTACATGAGGAAAAGACTAGGACTGTCGAGAGGTTGGCATACTGAATCACATTAATCACAGGGTAGCTGTGGATTAATCAACCAGATCCAAACTGCTTGGTCGGGTTCAACAGGTACCAAGAGATTCAGAAGAATTATCTTCTGGAGTTTGATCAAATAAATCAAGATACAAAAATATAATATATGAAAGACTGCTCTCTTGACTCACTCTCTGAGCAGATGACTCCTGCTGAGAACTTTGCAGCTGCTTTCTGACAGCTGACACTTTTGTGTCGCTGACACTGACTCAGAGATGCTTCTCTGCCCGTGCACTTCAGTCCGCTCATCAGCATCTCTGTCACGTTATTGTTGTCCCAGTACCACGTTTCCTTACAGTGGTTGAGACAAAGGAAAACAACACAGCATTAGAGAATAACACAAATCATTTGTTTTGGTGTCACTACTGTGAGGAACAGACGTTGGTCAGTCAGTTTTGGCCTCAGTTTAACAGGTTATGTGTGAATATGTGTGAAGACTGAATGATGGAACCTTAGCTTCGCTCAACTTTCAAATTATTCCAAAAGTTAAAATATATATAGTTATATATGTGTTATAAAATATGTTTTGTATGTATGAATGTTTTCGTGTAAGGTATTACTGTGAAGAAGACACAGAGTAAGAAATATTTCCGTCTATTTACTGTAGTTTAGTTCTTCTTTAAGTCTCATTTTTGTTTGTTTCAAAATAAATAGTATAAAAAATAATGTGGAATTAAAAAAACCCAGGTTTGAAATGTCAACAAGAGCCTAAAAAATGTGAGAATTGCACCAAATAACCAAAAAACCCAGGTTTGAAATGTCAACAAAAGCCTAAATGTGAGAATTGCACCAAATAACACTAAATAATATAAACATTAAATCAAATGTGTTTATTCTAGATGGATTGTTAATCCTCCTCTTGCTTCTGCTAAATGCATACATGTAAATATAAATATTTAATGGTCATCATCAAAGGAAAATGATTATGGGATTGTTCTGGATTATCATTCATTCAACATCCATAACTCTTACACTCTTTACACTTGTGTTAAACCAATCTTTTGAATAAACCTCTCCTACTTACAGTGATAGCATGCATGGCGTAGCCCAGCCCTAGCTGCCTGCAAACCACCATGGCTTCCTTTGTGGTCCAGCCTGTGCTGCACACCGTGCCCCACTTGGAGCCAACCTGAACCTCCACCCGGCCCTCATAATTGTTGCGGCCGCCCACTATCCGGATCTGCAGAGAGATCCTGCTGGGAGTCAGTGAGGTCGCCTCTTCTTGTCTTGTCTCTGAACTGTCGGGGCTTTAACCTCGGCTGTCCCAGCAGCAGCAGCAACAGCAGCAGCAGCAGAGCATGTGTTAAAGTAGCAGTGTGGTTAAAGATTTAACAACCAGGGGGAAAATGTTAATGTGGGCGTCCAGATGAGGTCATCACTGGGCTTCAGTGGTGGTGAGTGGTTTTTAAGTTGGATTAAATGTAACATCAAACATTATATTTGGTTCTTACCTCATGGAACAGATCTTTCCATGGAGGAAAAGAAGCTTCTACCTTACCATATAGAAAATATAATGTACTGTCATTTAATAGTATGTAGTATGTCCAAGTATATTCCAAGAGTAGTCAGCTCTATGGTTAATTCTACTGTCTAACCTTCAGATATTATATTATATTCAGATATTGTTTCAGGTTATAACAACCAAGTACAGATTTCTTTGGACCGTTCCTGCTCAAGCTTATCTAAGATTTATTTGTACTTAAAATGCAAAAACAGAATCATCTGAAATATATATAAACATATATGCAGAGAACATAAATAAACTAATTTGGTATCCACTTGTTATTAGATGTGGGCCAGTTAATACCCTCAATTTGTTGCCATCGGTGGGGCCGTTTTTTTAAAGGAGACAACCTGTCGGTCAAAGGTGTGTCTGTGATGTCAGTGACCTACTTGCAGGGCCTGGTTACAGTAGCCCAGGCCCAACTGCCTGCAGACCACTGTGGCCTCCCTGGTGCTCCAGGTCTCCCCACAGACCAGACCCCAGCTCTGTGTCCCATTAGCGTCCTCACTCAGCACCTCAACACGGCCCTCGTAACGGGTTCGTCCTCCCGTCAGTCGGATCTGTGTGTGTGAGTGGGTGGGATAGGAGTTAGGGAGCAGAGCATACAGATACACAGGTGGGCTGGACAAAAATGAAGATTCAATTATCCCACACTCTGTGTGTATTTGCATGAGGCCTTGATTAGTTCAGTTCATTAGTCTGGTTTTTACTTTTTGCATCACCAGAAAAATTAGATGTTAGAGAGAAATAACTGTTGTCAGGAAATGTTTCTTTTTTTCTTAAGAAAAAATGTGGTCATTATTCAGAATATAATATGTATAACCCAAAAAACGATTTCCTGATAGCAGTGAAGAACAAGATTGAAAATGATGATTAGCTCTATGTTTATGTCATAAGTGACAGACAGTTCAGTTCAGGTGCAGACAAATGAATAATACAAGGAAACACTGTTTCCTGACATTTCCATAAGGTAGTAGTCTAGAGATAAGACACGCCCTGACCGTGGTCTCATAGCCCATGTAGGGTACGTTGCATCGTACAGCTGCGTCCTCTGTGTGTTTACAGGCCTCAGATGTGATGTTTTTGAAGGGGCAGTTCCAGATGGATTTCTCCTGGCCAAGACACTTCACCTCGTTCATGTAGATCGGACCCATTCCTAGACCAAAACATCATACATACTGTATATATAACAGGTTTAGATTCAGAAAGCTCAGTTTACACCTGGAGCCATTCAGAGGAAAACCAGCCATGTTTACATATTATATTAGAGGAATAAAGTATTTCACTGCAAAACACCGGGAAATAAACTATTCCCTATTGTCTGACATAAACTGCGTCATATTTACACAAACTCCACACTACTGTTAAACTAAAAGGACTGGATGGTGATGCTTGTCCTCTAACAAAACCACCAGGTCGTACCATAACTTTCTACAGTGCGACCAAAAGCTGGATGTACGGTCAAGTCATTTCTATGAAAGAGATTCCTTCAGGTGCGTTAGTTTCCGACTCCAGCCCGGTTGAGGAATATTTGTTGGACCGACTCAGGCAGGTGGTGGTTAAGAACCTGTCTGAGCAGAGTCACCTCACTGCTGTCCATGCTGCTGCCTCAAAGAGATTCTCTGACCAGCCTCTGCTGTAAACTTCCTCTGTGGTGAGAACTGTTTCATAGTGTACACACACACACACACACACACGCACTGACTCATAAAGATCTCCTTCTTAAGACTGCTGGTTTCTGCTCTGGTGGAATCTGAAGACAGTTTACCAAAATATGGAACAAGATTTTGTGTCACACAAACGTATTTAAAATGTGGAAAACTGACTGGAAGCTCAAAGTGGCTTCAGTTTTTTTTAAATGGAAAGGTGGCACCGTTCTAATGTGGGTGCCATATAATGACCAAGCCTTGTTTTATAAATTCTGACTACTTTTACTACAGACTGTATAGACGATGTTTTGACAGAGCTTGCTTTTGGCATAGGCCATACATAGGCAGTCTTCTAGGGTGCTGCTGGAGAGGGAACAGCACAAAGCCATGGATTATTATATTATATTATATTATATTATATTATAACAATATTTAGATTTTCCAGGGTTTTGTCCAGTGAGACTGTATTTCAGGTTTTCGTCAGCAAATAACAATAATGTTTGTGAAGTCATGATTTAGTTTTAAATTTTAAGGGAAAACTAAATGATGTTTATATTAAATAATTTTAAGACAGAGGCAACTATTGCCCAATAAACTATTGATTAGGAGCAATACTTCCTATTGTCTTTCTGAGTTTTTTCTGCAGCGCTTTCTCATATCAGTTATAGCCTACAACAAGGGAGCTCTGTTCATTTCTCATGTTCAGTTTATGGGACTTACAGATTTAAACATTTAGTTATTTTGATTGTGAGAAGTGTAAATAATGGACCAGATATGATTGAACAATTTTCCTCTGAAGCTGTTGATGGTGGTTATGATCTGCAGTGGTAAAAGCAGCTGTGTAGACAAAGTGGTATAAAATAATGAATCTTTGTCATCCTTCAGCAAAGTCAGACTTTAAAACTCAAAAACTGAACAACTATAGACGTGTAGACAAAGTGGTATAAAATAATGACTCGTTGTCATCCTTCAGTAAAGTCAGACTTTTTAAACAACTACAGATGTTAAAATCTCTGTAAATCACACTCAGTTTATTGCCTGTAATCATTCTTCATGACTCGTGGCTCATGTTTGGGTTCAAGAGAAAAAAAAATTAACTTCCTGTCCTTTCTCACAGCATTCCTTTACTTATTAATAGGTTCAATATGAGGAGGCTGTTTGGGAATGTGGACTTGATGAGAGCAGATAATCGTTTCTCCAGGGTGATGAGATGATGTTAGAGATAAGGTCAGGACACAGCTAATGACCCACTTCTTCTTCTTCAGTAAACGTTTTACAGACGTTTACTTGTACACAGAGTTCCACTGTACTTGAATCTGCCTTTTCTCAAGATTCACATTCACTCCTGATGCTCATTAGCCAACCACAGACTGATGATATATTTCTGACCTTGTCCCATACGTGCTCCAGTCAGAGCCTCCGTGGCAGTGCCAAAGCCCAGCTCCCTGCAGACAACACTGGCCGACTGAAGGTTCCAACGATCATCACACACTGTTCCCCACTCGTTGTCTTTCAGTACCTCCACACGGCCCTCGCCTACCTTGGCTCCTCCCTTTAGCCTCACGGTGCTCTGAAGAGTTTACAAACACACTAGTTATGGATAAAATAAAGAAAAATGAATCCTTAAGATTTAATAGACTAAAGCCACTGTAGAATCGCTACATTTGAGAGATGTTTTTTCACACACTTCACATTTCCCCTTGATGTGTTTGAAGGTCAAACTAAACATACATACAACATAAAATAACAAACATAAAATAAACAAAATTGCCTTCAGTTTCTGGTTAAATGTTTGGACTATTAAACACAGGCTTTAAAAGTTTGAAAATTAAATTCTACTTTACCGAAATTTTATGTTTCTTTTTAATTCCGCTGTTGTGCATAAACTGAGGCCCCGGCATGCAGCTGACCACAGCAGGCATGCCGCCCTCACAGGTGAACGTGGCATTTGGTTTGGTAAACTCCAGGGGGCAGGCTGCTAGGTGAATCTCTGTGCCTGTGCAGGCCACGGAGTGGATGTGGAAGTGGTTCTTCTGACGCTCCAAATACAACCTAAAGAAAGGAATGAATCAATCAATGCTTTTCAGTTCAAAACAATCCCCCAAAAACGTAAGATCACTGAAACATTATAAAATGTCACTATGAAAAATAAAAGTGGACAAATAGATGAAATGAAACCTGAACTTTCAAAGAAAACTTTCAAAGTTGTTTGATGTCATTAAACACACACTCATTCATTTAAAAGTGCCACTCAGCTTCAAACATTCACTAAAAATAAAAATACAAAAAGTAAAAATGTTTTGCATTTTTAATTAACTAAGTTTAGTGTTTAAAATTGTGAAAAAGTTTGAATTGTATTATTACAATTGTCAGCTGTCTGGTTTAAATAAAGGTTTTGTCTGAAACTCAGTTTGCCTTTAAACCTGACATGTGCAGTGAAGATGCTGAGAATGAAGGGGAAGAATGTGGCTCAGATCATTAGCTTTTTATTGTTGTGTTGTTGTTGTGTGTTTGTTAGTGAGAGCACCATGCTTTCACATCTTTCTCTTTTACTTTGAACTCTAAGCTGTCCTTACATTACCTTTTCCCTGGGCTGCTCTGTTTAGACTTAGAGTTAGCTTTAGCTTTGGGTGGCTGCCTGCAAAGTAAACAGGGGTTAGACTGCACACTGAGGAAAGGAAAAGGAGGTGACAACAGTGAAATGACAGTAAACAAAACACAGAGGAATGAAGGGTTGAAATGGTGCACAATTATGGCAAACACTGTAGTAACAAGGATGAAAAGGAATTGCCTCAAACACTGTGGTTAAACACAGAACAACGGGTTATTTTGAGGTCAAATGTTATGTTTTGGGTCGTTTTAGTGGAAGTGACAAATCCTTTACAAACACTATTGATATAAATACAACTGTGGCAGAGAATCAAACCGTTTTTGATGTATCTCTGCAGCACACAGGATGGCCAAAAATAGATGGACACATGTTTTAGTAAAGATGCTTAAATACATGTCATTTATTGTTTTAGCTTTATCGATAATATTTTGGCCTATTTGAATATGTTGTACAACTTAGAAAATATAAAAGCTAATGCAATTAGTTTTGTTTATACATTCTTATTATTATGTTACTGATCTTAAAATATGAGGAATTGGAAAATCTATATTTTAAAATATAGATTTTTGTATAGTTGTGTCAATTAACCTTTGACCATAAATATTACAATGAACTGTTTGTTAGTAAAAAAAAATTTAGATTAGATTTTAACTGTTTGTTAGTAAAAAAAAAAAATCTAATTTTAGATTGTCTCCTGTGTTATCATGAACCCTAGGTCACCACTGTGAGGTACAAAAGCACTGGTTTGCTTTAAGTCTGGATGGGAATAGTGTTGCGTTAGCATCAAGCTTTAGTCAACAATGGGTTAACTATTCAGCGGCTTAAATTTTGAACATGAATTTTGGGACCGACTTGTCACTAATGTCTTTATTTTTATCTACTTTTGAAATCATAACAGCAGTGCCAAACATATCTACGTGGGGAACAATCTGTTTGGGATTTGTTGAAATGAAAAGAGTCCAATTTCTCATTGGAGGATTTTACAGAACTGTCAAAAATATTGATCAGGAAATATTGATTTCCTGAGCTGCTGACACTCAAAGATATCATTTTTCCAAAAGCCAGAGATGAATTAAACAAAAACTATTACAAGTGGTCGGTGGGATCAGATTACCTTTGTCATTAGTACGTACAAATATCCAGGATTACTTAGTACAACCCAACCATCACAAAGCAAACTGTGACAATAGTAAGTATTATTAAAGTCAAGCATTTTTTAGTTGAAGGATTCATTTTAGTATTAATTTCAGGGAAGAAAATATACCACTGTGGACATGGCACAGGTTGAGATAAATGAGAGAAAAGAGAGAGAGAAGGTTTTATACATATATTTGTGTGTATATATATATATTTGAGATTCTACATTATGTGTTTGTTTGATTTATTCAAAGATTAAACAAATCTGTGCCATGTCACAGGAAATGTGAAACAGACTGGGTCAGAAAAACAGAGTTCCTGACATTAGAGTACTGAAGATCTATTTAACCCAGTCACATGCTGCACATCATACAAAATGATATATTTGAGGGAAAGGTGTCAGTGATGTAGCAGAGGGAGCTAAAGGACCAAATGATCTCTACTACAAGAGAAAACCCACTGTCCACACTCAAGAAGCTACAAACTGCAGGAGTGCAGATGGAGACGGACGGTGAGTTTCCTCACGACTGTGTACCTTCCACCCACTGAAACGTTAACCTTTGAACTGGGGACCTTCTGAGCCGCTCGCTTTTTCAGACGTCTGCAACAGTGAGACGGCCACATTCCATCACATACAGGAGAAAGAGACGACACACCGACACACACACACACACACTCCTGTACAGACTGCACAGACAGTTCTTCAGGCCGTGAAGGGGTTAATTCAGCATTTTTCACATTCCACAGGTGTATAATGTTACAGACTCAATGTCCTACTATACTATACAGTTAATGAGCTGCTGCATCCGTTCAGGATGAGATGTGACTGCTGCGTGGTGATGATGTTGACGATGTCTAATCAGCTGGGCCAGACATTTTCAATGGCTAATTAACAGGAAATCAAACTCCTCGTAGCTTGTAAGTAAAATGACCTGACACAGTTAGAGGGTAAGATGGTGGAGTTGGCAGATCAGGTGATACAGCCGTGTTCACACCCACAGCTGTCACTGTGACATTTTCTTTATAGGTTTACCAGAATGAAGGCGTTTGAATGAAAACGAGGTCACAGCTGCATTCACTCACTTGTAGAAGTTCTTGTTGACTTTCCTCTCATTTGGGAATCCCAGCATGCCACAGACCACACGGGTGTTTTTGATGGTCCATCCTACATCACAGACCTGAGCCCAGCCATCTTTGTACTTCACCTCCACCACACCCTCAGTGATGGGCAGCTTCTTCCTGGACACAGCAGCCACAGGCCTCAGCCTCACCTCCTCCACTTTGTTCTCCATCATTTGAGCCTGATGACAGATAAAACATGGAGACACACATTTAATTACATTTACTGTTTTCCTGGAGACTCAAATTTAGACACACATCTGATGCATTGTGAGTTGCACATTACTCTGCACTGGCTGTGCACTCTTGGTCTGTCACTTGTAGGATTTGGATTCTTTAGTCTTTCAGTTGAATCTCTTCGATGACCACTGACTGGGCCACTCTCCAGTGCTTTACGGACTGCGTGGTACTTGCTAGCCACCATTTGACTAGACTGAGACCACACAATGACTGGCTCTGAGTTACTTTATAGCTAAATCTCACAATAACAGCTCATACGTAGTAAACTGGAGTCATGTGAGTCTTTGTCATCGCCTGTGGAACACTGAGTCACTTCCAACGTGGAGAAAAGCCTGTCACCTGGCCAAAACGATAGACCAGAAGTTTAAGTTCTCAGCACATGATGAAAAAACATATGTACTGAACAACTGCATTAATGGTGAAGCAAATCCCAGTAAGTATGTTTTATCCCCACTCTCACTCTCACAGACCTATTCAAATATTTTCACGTATTTTTTTTTTTTAAACAGCCACAGCTCCATTCATTTATTAAGGCTGTTTCCAGCGGTCAGTTCAGCCCAGACTCAGGCCAACCTTGTGTACCCATGACCAATCAGTTACATAAGCCAACATCAAAGGTGCAAAAATGTTAAATATGTCCAGCTGCAAACAGTTTAGGCTCCTGTTTGTCCAGGAAGGCTTTCGTCTTCAGATTTGTTCATTTTAAAACACTCCTGCCTCAGACCTAGATCATTCCAATCAGGGAGCATGTGGCTGAAGTGTGTGTGGAAAAGTGTGTGATGGCCCAAACTGGGAGTTGAGACCAGGACAGGAAACTCAAAGAAAATTTTGTTTGAGTCATTTTAGGATCATTTTCATATTTCATATCAAATTGGGAAACAGCCAGAACAAAGTCTTCACCAAACATTACGTGTTCCATCTGAACCAGATGCACAGTTTAGCTTCTGCTAATTTAAATCAATCATAAAGTGTTGTTTTTTTCCAACAAACATTTGCATTTTTTTCTTCTGTCTCTTCTCACCAAGTTAAACACTTTGCTGCACCGGCAATGTCATGTGTTTAGAGTATGTAGAGAGTAGAGATGTTATGTTAGATGTTATGCTAAAGTTTAGCAAAAAGGTTTTGCAAAAACCATCAACTATTTGGATGAACATGGCTAAAAGTGCAAAGGTCATGACTCTGCTCAGGTCAACTCACTGGAAATAGATCCACTGAAAGGATTGGATGCTGTTCTTGTTTATTTGGAAATCCCTGCATCACGTCCGCAGAGCTTTCACTTTCAGACACACAGTAGTAAAGAGCCGAGTTAATCAGCTCCATGTGTCTAAAGACTTCACCCTAAGTTGCTTTTAGCACACCTCGCATGTGGCTGTAGGTTGTGGAACAGCAGGATTCCCCCATAAAAGTCTTGTTCATGGGCCTTTTCCTGTTATATATAATGAACTCTCAGCATCACATTTATTTGATATGTTTCAGTAAAATATATGCTTTGGGAACTTACATCAATAATGTTGGAGTCCAAAAAGCCAGGGATCCTCTCGTCTTTGCACACCACCCCGGCGTCTTCATCATGAGTACAGTCGCTGTTTCCCCAACCACGGGACTTACAAGCTTCAATGCTCTTCTCACCTCCGTAACACTGCACGTTATCCAGCCAGATTTTTCCTGAACAGACAGCAAACTGTGAGAGCAGATCCTGTGGAAAGTCATCAGTCCAGGCGTGGACCTGGACAGGACACTGGGTTGCCTGTTACACTGCTGCTGCAACTAAATGGAGGTGTGAATAACAGCTTTCCCCGAATCCTGAATGTGGCGTTTAAAATATATTTCAAACCCATTTGTCCAAAGATATCATTATATCATGTGGGAACACTGAGTAACAGCCATGCAAAGAAAGGTTGGTACTTTTACGTATTAATGTTCACGAAATCTATAAAACCAAATATAAGTAAAATGTTATCGTACCTTGACCTTTGCCATATTTAGCGCTATGTGTCCAGCCTGTAGCGGAAACAAAGCCCAGCTGACGACAGAGCACGTTGGCATTAGATATGGAGAAGTCGTCGTCACAGATGGTTCCCCACTCTCCTTTATAGAACAGCTCTATCCGACCCTCGTTGTGTTTTCGGGGGTATCCAGCCAGTCTGACCTTTAGTCTTTGGCTCTGGGGCTGAGGGGAGGCTGAGGGTAACACTGCGGTCGTGGCTGAGCTTGACGGAGTTGTCTGAGTCAAACAGCACGGTAACCACAACCCAAACAGGAGGCTGAATGCAAACCCGTAATGGACCCGTTTTGACTTCTCCATGACTTCAGCTGCAAATGAAGACATCGAGACAGGACAGATGGACAAGAAAAAGAACACAGTTTTATGTTTTTGTTGGAATTTTATAAGTAACCATAATAACAACAATAAGAAGAAGAAATTTGATAAATGACCAAAGTCTAAGAAAGTGGTAAAAACTCACTTACGACTAAGGTGAACATGTTGGGTAATTCAAAACACCTGCTCAGTATGAATCTAAAGGAGGTTTTGATGACCATGTCATGGACCTGTGCTGTATTTATGTAAATTTTGGACATTTCCATTATGTAACTTGATATTATTATTATTATTATTATTATTATTATTATTATTATTATTATTATTATTATTATTATTATTATTATATGTTGCTGGGGGATTTATTTCGGGATTTAATAAGTAAAGCAGAAAGGAATTGTGTTGTTTTTTTTTTTAATACTTACATTGTCATTTATGCACTTAGCAGACGCTTTTAAGCATGTGGTTTCCTCTGGGAATCAAGGCCAGGAATCTCTGCGCTCTGCTTGCGAGGCAGGCGTGCTAACCGCTACACTATGGAACACACTTGGACTAGAGTTTATAAAATGGCTGTATATTTTGTCTTTGAGTAATAGTATCTCTAACTTATTATAGTAATAGTAACCAAGACTTTAAGTTCCCTGGCATGAACCATTACAAAACTATGACAGAGGGTCAACAGTTTCAGCTCAGAGTAGGCGAGGACAACACATTTGTTCAATCAAACATTTACCACTGCTTCTTGTTTTCTTTTGTTCTCTACAGATGTGTTTTTTCAAACAGATTTGCTTAAGAATCAGGTCTCCCATATGAACCTAGCAGCAATAGAGTTTGAACACTTTTGGTCATCACAAAGTCTTATCCTTCGAAGCTGCATGAAAACATTACCCCACTACCAGAGGTTTGAATTTCTGTACATAGTATAAGCTCACTGGGCCACAGTAGAGTTTTTTTTTTTTCTTCCTGAAGCTGGTCGATGACCTCACAGGAAATTTGCGAGCTCATAACCAAACCGTTCATCATGGCTGGGAGCCACATCACAAAGATAGAGGGAACCATGATGAACGGAGCATGATTAAAAGATGATACGTTTTTAAGTTTTAATATGTTTTACTAAAGCAGGAAGCAGGAAGCAGAAGCTGTCTCCAAATAACTCCAGACAGTGTTAGAACTGGCTGTGTTGACTTTCAAGCCACTGTTCAAATATACATCTCAGTCTAGACAATAGGATGGAAATCTTTACCAGAGATGACAGAGTTGAGTCCAACTGTTAAGTGTTGTGTCGCGGTCCCTGGTTCCCACCCAAAGTTTAATTCTTGACCAATTTACTTCCAGGAAAACAGCTGTGTAGCATCTGGAAGAAAATCTTTTTCTTTAACTGCATTCGTGGCTAATCACAAACTTACAGCACAATATTTAATTTCTGCATTGTGCAATTAGTAAAAAAACTGCAGATATTTGCTTTCTTTAACTAATTCCCAAATAACTAATAGCAAATACTTTGTGTTGTGCAATGTTATAGGTAAAAGACAATATACTTTAAATAACCTGTATTGCAAGTAACAAGACAAGTGTTTCACAAAATACTAAATATTTAAAACGACCATTTACCTGTTAGTGTTCAGGTTTAACGCAAGTTAAAACATTTAACACCAAGTCTCTGCTAAATTGTATCCTTTTGTACAGTTTTGGGTTTATGTTTTCATGATGTTCCTTTAATTATTTGTATACGTATTAAACATGGAAGAAAAACACTGGTTGATGTTTTTACCTACACCGAAAACATAAAATTCAACAAATATAAGATTAATTAGTAGAACTTGTGTTTAGAATCCAGAGCCTCACTGCCAACAATTCAGATTTTCATTTGTTTTTTTATTTCCAACATTCCTTACTTTTTGTCTTTCTTGAGCAGCCTTAAAAGGTTGAGGTTTGTTTGAATATAGTAAACATGGGCAAAGTTGTCATTTCCAAAATACAACTTAATCCTTATTTTTTAAATCATTGATATGGTCAAATATAGTTTATTTTATTTGGTCAATTAAATAAAGTCTTTTGGGGTAAACACAGACCATGGAATTTTCTCAGTTTCTTCTAGGAATGGATAAAACTGAAGTTCCACAGTATTAATAAATAAGCAGTCTTACCGTGTCTTTCAGTGCCAGTATAAGGAGGTTAAAACGGTTCCAGTGGAGAGAGTGAAAACAGCTGGAGAAGCTGAGCCTCAGAAACTTCAGTCCAGATGTCCACAAAATGATCCCACACAGAACAAGCCTTGGAACATATATCCTTCTCCACGTCTTCGACTAATTCACTGCCACCATTTCGTGGTGCAGTGGTCCACCAAGCAGCCAATAAGTAGTTTCTGCGTTATATTGTCTGTAAATTGCCAGCTGTACAGACCTCACGGAGGCTAAGGAGGTGGTGGTGGAGGAGGAGAGGGAGGAGGCGGGTGGTTGGAGGAGGAGAATGAGGATGGAATGGGCCGGATTTGATTCCTTGAAAAGACACTAACTCTTTCATGGCAGGGCTCTACTGCACTGCGAAGCCAGAGAAACGTGGATTCCTTCAGACTAAGAGTACGTGACTGTCCCAACGATCACTGTATCTGGGGAAGATTTACTACCGACCTGTGTTGTGTACCCATTACTATCGCACTTCTTCTGAAAAACACATATGTTACTGCTTTAAAAAAGGTATTAGCTATATTTTAAAGTTTTAAACACACTCTATGATACTCTTTGATACGAACTACGTTTATTTGACTATTTAATTAATCAGTTATTAGCACGATTAGCTTAGCCTAGAAATGACGAAACAATTAGGTAATCTGCTCCGAATACACTCTTTGTATGGCAGGACGGTAATGTAATATAATTTAAGCAAGACGACTATAAAAGATTTAATGGTGGTTTAGGTTTCAAATGATGCGCAACTTAATCGTTTGGTTCATATACTTTAGATCTAAAAGTGGGGAAGAAAATTGACTTTTTTTTAATTGTCGTTACCTTTGCCGCCTCTGTAGTTGCAGTCAATCCACGTTTAGACGCTTATTCATCAGGTGTAAACCGGTGGCTATTTGTAATATAATAGAGAATAGTACTTGTGTTATTTGTTAAAATCTTCAAAAAATTCAAAAACTCAAGGTGTCAGAGAGACAAGCTCATATTTAATAGAACCTTTAGGAGGATTTACAAAATCATAAGAACAGGTTCGAAAACTCTGCAAATGACAAACCAGTATGTCTTTAATTTAATCTCATTATTAAAAAATTAGCAACTTTCTAGAAAAAAAGGCACTTCTGCTGATACACCAGGTGTAGTAATTGAGCAGTGAAACACTTTCATTCACTGTTACAAGGTAGTTTCATTTTATTTTGTGATTTGTGCCTTCATAAAGACATTGGGTCTAGTCTAGTCTAGAGGAATGTATCAAGTTTGTAAAGAATGTTTGTTTATCTGGGTGGAAAAAAAGTTAAAATGCTTTTGTTGCTTCCTGCATAAGGTTTGAACTATTCAGTGATTTATAGGATGTCGATACCTATCACAATAACCTAATATCCTGATTTCCTTATTTACCATTTTAAAAAATACATTATATTAGGCTCTGCAGTTTAAATTTATCACAATAAACACTGACAGTGAGTCAACAAGTCAAACAAACAATGAAAGATCAGAATAATCAGCACTGCTGGGCATATGGTAGGAGGCAATGCTGATTTTGCAACAGTAAAAGTTAAGGGTTCTTTTTTTTAATAACATGATTAAAATGACGTTTTACACAATCATTTTTATCAAAGTTACTTTTAGAATCCTGTTTGTTGTACACAGTCTTTGATTATCTTTGCATTGCAGCATAAAAACAAACAAAACATAGATACATCACAATTGTATTCATTCAGTATTAAAGTATATTTACTGGTACTACAACAGTGTTTGAAAATACTGTAAATTATCCTGGATCACATACTCACAGAGGGTATGTAGGGACTAATTTGCAGCAATATTAATTCAGGCAACTGTGGTTAAATTCTTTGAGATATTTTAAACGAAACCAGTCCAACCTCTTTTCAAGTCCTCCACTGGTTGTGTGGTTCAACTGTTGTCAACTTGGCTTACTACATTCTCAGTCTGAACTTTAACAAAACTGGCCTTGATTCATGTCCAAGTTTGGCCATTTGTCCATCACATTCAAATTTAACCAATGATGACCAACGGCTGATGGCTGACAAAAACACCCCGATGTTGAAATGACTCTGGACAGCCTCTAGTGCTAGCAATATCTGCAGCAGAAGAACAAGTTATTCTTTGGACTCAGTTTGGACGGATCAGGACGGATGCAGGAGCTCGAGCAATGCTCCAACTGCTCCGAAGTAACCCTTAAAACAAGTACAACGAAATAGGTTAGAACCTCAGGATAGAAATCATACAGGAATGAATTTATTCTGGAACAAGTTGGTAGAGTTGCTCACCTCATGTCTCAGGAAAAGTGCCTTGAGCTGTCCTTTGGACCAGTAGTCCATGGCGTAAGACAACAGCTTCATGGAGAGCGTGTTCACTCTTAGAAAGTTCCCAACAAACACAACTCGCTCAATTTTCTATTAAAAAAGGTAATTAAAATAATTAGAGTCCTTGGGTTAGCTTACAACCAAAAAAGGTAACAACATGAGACTGACATGATGCTATTGCCAAACTGGAACTGAAATCTGCAGACGCGGTCATTTTAGAAGCAACCTAAGTTAGGAGATTATGTTCAAATAACTATTTGTTTTTTTAAACAGTTTCACATAGAAATGCCCAACTAGATCTTGACTTGATTGATTTTTCTTTGTCCAATAATCTTGCAGAGGACTTTGTGATGTTTAGACCAGACCTAAGTCTTGTAGATAAAGCAGTTTAGGTCCTCTACTCCTTCATAGCCCTGTACAATGCTGCTTGATCAAGAGGCCACAAGGCAGCACCGTAAAGAGGCTGAAGGCAAAGAGGAAACAGAAAATAATAGGGATGTTAAGGGAGTGAGCCTTTTGATTATAACATTTTTTTCTGTCAGTAACAGTATCAAGGGAATTTTAGCTTAAATTCAAATATTTCATATACTGATGCAATTTACACGCCTCTTATATGTAATTAATCAGGTTTACTTCCATTTACAAGGAGGTTTATCTCCAAATTAATCATGATTTGTAGAATTCTGCAGTGTCACGAACAATGGTTTTAAGTTTCTTCTTCTCCAGACCAACCTCATTGAGGGCACACATCCTCGTGATGGAGCCGATGTTGTTAGTAATGGTGACCAGCGTTGCCCTGGCCAGGTCCTCCTTGGACACTGATTCCCTCTTTTCTTTGGATATCATGTTTCCAAAACTAACAAAACACATTTTGAAAATTATAACTTAAATGTAGGACTATCATGGCTCCCAGCCTTCTAAAAAGAAACTACAGTAACATGTGTTAACCTTACCTCGAAGCCACAGCCCAACCTGGAAGTCCAAACCGCTCATAGTCTCCTCCGTATATGTCCCGGACGAGCTTGTCCACACGTGTGCTCTCCCCCTTGGAAGCCATTTCAATTGCATCCTCAAAAGTAGAGCAGCCAGTCAGCAGACAGCACAGGCCCAGGAAGGTCCCACCACCCAGGCTGTAAAAATACACAAAAAAATAATTATGAGCCTGGGGAAAGTTTTAGTAGTTGTTAAAATAATAATAACTACTTCAAAATAAACAGTAAAATGTGTTTACTCAAAAATTGTAAGCTACCATCTGAACAAATAATAAGTATAACTAAATGTTTTTTCTGAAAATTTAAGACTTTAAATTCCTGAAAACTAAAAACAAAAACACACACATATATAAATATATATGTGTGTGTGTATAGTCATCAATTAGAAATACTATACTATAATATAATAATAATAGTCATGAAAAGATAGATGGTTGTAGAGACTTGAATACAATTCTCACAGTTCAGTGGACAAAGGGTCATTGACTTGAAGACAAACATTCATGCTTCCCTTGCAGACAGAGAAACCACATGTGTGAAAATAAGTCAGTGGGGGCAGAAGGAAGAGAAATACTTAAATACTCACTAAAAACAGCCAACCTATAAGTTCCAGTTAAATTACTATAAATATAACAATACATTACCAATGGCTTTCTGTGAAATAGTAGCAAAGACAACTGACAGTCAAAGGAAACCTTATTTTTTTTCACACCCATATACCAGAAAGACACAGAGGGCAAAGGTCAACTATTTCTCCAGGTTGCACTCTGCTGTAAATCCTTCTATTTACTGATATTAGCCTGTGTTAGGCTAATATAGGCCTAAGAATAAAAGAGCTGGGGTATATTTTAATATGCTTTCATTTAACTAACACATTACTTTCATCAAGAGTAAATTTCACTGTCACATAAATTCCACGTTTTGATCTTTAAAATAGAGCCCTTAAAAGAATTTTTGCCAGCAGAACAGTAAAATGACAGCATTACATTTAGCAGATACAAAATAATCCTAATTAACTACCTGGTGCCTGTCACTCGTTTGTAATTGTTCTCGGAGTACACGGCCATGATGCTGACCCCTGACCCGATGTTGACCAGTAACAAAGGATAAGGATTTTCCAGTGTGTAAGGCCTCTGGACACAGCGATCTGGATCTGTGGGATTTTCAAAGTAGTAGCACTCTGAGGGACCGCTCGACACCACCGAGTCAATATACAACACCCCGCGGATCAAACAGTCCAGCTCGTCCAGTTTGTGGAGCTGCAGGTCAGCCATCTTTATTGTGTTGACATGTAAAAGGAGAACAAGGGGGAGACTGGGTTAAATAAGTTTAAATGAGCAGTATACAACTACTCAAACACCAAGAAAAGGTGTGATGTATTTCTGCATTTTTTGCAACTTTTTGCAAAATCTCTCAGCTGTACTGCAAACCTACCGTTCGGAAATCTGACTCGAACTTGTATGCTCCTCCTCCTGTGGCACACAGTGTTGTGTGGAGACTGGAAAAGTGCTTGTTGCGTCCCATTTGCAGAAATGCCGGCAGGTCATGTGTTGGGAAGCGAATGAAATGCAAATTTCCTGTCCTACCACACAGCGTGAGTTCCTTCAGCTCCAGATGCACGTCCCTGATGCCTGTTTTACCATAAGCCACGTTGGAGGTAAGGTACCGACGGATGCTCTTCAGGTTCTCCACCTCTTCCTGCTCTTCCTCAGCTGTGATGTCTCTGGGTTCGAAATACACCAGTTTCACCAGAGTGCCTCCAATATCCATGCCAAACCAGGGGAACGCTGCAAGTTGTAAATCATTTGTATCATATACTTGCACAACATCATGCAGAAAAGTGTTCAGTAGAAAAATACAACAGTTGATAAAACATAAGCTTTCTTAGATGGAAAGCAGCAGATTATTCTATCCAGGCCTGGCTCCACACCATACAGTAATATTTGACCACGTGATTAAGACCACAATCCAATCATAATTCTATAGAATTAACTCTATAATTAGCTATGGTAATATATAATAATCTACAATAATTATTTTATAATTCTAATAGACTACAATTCTCAGTTAGAAATGATAGACATAGCCTCCTGCTATAGTTAATCTTCGTTTCAAAATTAATATTATAGCTTGTTATACTATGTTGTAATAAATAAGAAGTGAAAATGAGTGTTGACACCAAAAGCCACTGTAGATATAGTGTTGTGTACAAGCAATATGAATAAAAAACAAGCATTCTTGATGGACATGACCTGTCACGGTGTTAGTACATCTACAGTAAACCGTGTCCTTATAAAAACGCACGACATAACGGTCCTTAAGAAAAATGACATACTATTTTTCTCCAGATGGAGATATGCAAATAACCACACTAAATACCGTCATTTGAAATTATTACATTTGCAGTTATTACATTAATGTTATAAACTCAAAGGCTGATGTAATGCCATCGTGAACAAACAGGATATGAATTGAGACAGAAAATGAAGCAGCTTGAAGCTCAGCAGCTTCAGTACAGTGTGTACCGAGAACGCCATCTTGTTGTAAAATAGATCCCGGCTATTTACTGCCGCTCCATATTACACTGTAATACAAAAATCAACATCATATCACCCTGACTGTTTTCAAAATCGTTCCCCAGCATTGTTCAAGCCTTAGTAAAATTACTGTGATATGAATGCTGAAACCGTTATACACATTTTAAATCATTATTATGCAATATTACTAAATATCCTTCTTTCAGGGGAACGCCTCTTGACTTTTTTTAATACTCGCGACCGCGTCCGTCCCAGTAAATACACTAATCCCAGAGAAACATCGTTAACACCTACGCGGCCTTGTTTTCTTCACCGAGTCGTGCCGATGCCTCGGTGTCGAGTGGGACGTGCACCGATCAGAGGCTGCTCTTCCATCGGCCTCCGCTACCTCACTGTTGGGCTCGTTTAGGTGATACCCGGGCATCTCATTGCTGGACCGCGGCTGCTTCGTGGGCGTTTCGACCTCGTTGTTATCTTCGATTGTACCGTCGTGCTGGTATCCATTTTGCGCCATTGAAATATCAACTTGACAACAACATAAATGATGCAGTTTGCGAATTACACCATTAAAGTCAATAATTCACTCAGACCGTTAAATCCATGAAGTAGGCTAATTATCTAGCTGAGTGGCTGTATCTTCACAAACTGCTGAGATACATCGGTTCCATTTAGCGCTGCTGTCAAGTCCAAGGAGGCGGGATCAATAGACGATTGAAAGATGAAACAACCAATTGGATTGAGAATCGGTCACATCAGCGTCACTTGATTGGTTAAATGCTGGTCATCGACAGTTTGGTTAAATGCTGGTCATCGACAGTTTGTGTTTAAAATGATGAATAAATGCCTTCTTGCTTGTTGTACTTTTGTATTAATGTTCACCTCATTATCTATCTTTAATCTCTATTTGAATGTTGCAGCCATGCATAAAACTGGATAAATACTGCTTTATTTACTGCAAGATAATCAACAGCTTCCATTTCCATTACAGCTAGTCAATGAATTAGGAAGATCAAAACATCACAGCATTAAAGATGAAACCAAAGAATGACAACAGTCATTAAAACCTTAAAGCACCCTAAAAGGTAGATGACAACATCCACTTTGGATTATTTATATAGTATATCAGTGACATCATATTCGTTTCCAGTGGTTTGTTTTGTTACTAAATGTCTGATTTCAAAATTATAGATTTCTGCAAAATAAATAACATAGACATTTATATAAGGAATAGATACTTCTTTATATTTAAAAAGGTTTACAGACACGATTGCAGAGTGTAAAGCCAGCAAATAGTGCAAGCATTACAATTTACATTTTAAATATTTGTACCTCAATATTTTTATTTCTATTCACTACAGGATTAAACTTCTTCTTCCAGCCTCCATCTCACTCTATATCCAGTATCTAGAAGACATATCCAAACCACTGCAACCTCACCTCTCTAGCTTTATCTCCAAACTGCTCCACCTTCCTATTAGACTGAGCCACTGTCTCTAAACCATACATCATAGCAGGTCTCACTACTGTTTTATAACTCTTCCCTTTTAACTTTGCTGCTATTGTTCTGTCACAGATATTCCCTTGTCTCCATCAAATCCTCCTGCATCCACCCTTTTTCACCTCTTTTCATTCACCCACTACCTTGAACCCATCAGTCACTCTGACAACATGCCTAATTCCTGTCTTGCTGACCATGTACATTCTCTGCCCACACTGTTTACAGTAAGATCTTACATCATAGTACTTGATAAGACAAAATTGTTTATATGTGAAGAAAACAAAAAAAAGCACAGAAAAAATGTTTTTTAGCACACTTAATCCTGATGACTTAATGATACATTTTTAAGACTAGTAGTTTAATGGTTATTTAAATTTAAAAAAGGAATGCTCTTTATGTATCAAGCACAAATGAAAAAAACAAATTACCATCATACTTAATATTAAAGAATTGTACTATCAAAGAAAAAACAATATTTGAGTATTGGAAGACTGCTGAATATTATGTCGAGCTCGCTGGATCATTTTTAAACACCCAAAAATTCTTCAATGCATATATATATATATGTATGTACAAATAAATACAAACAGTGCATAAGTCATTTATAAAGTTTCTCTAAAGTCCAAACGGAAATAAAATGTGTGATCCAAATATTTATGCTATCACTGCTTCATTCATTCAGTAATAACCGGTCTAATAATCAACAACAGAGAACAGCCCATAACCCTACAGTCAAAGTGCATTTCAGATACAAACATTTGTATCATTATCAGCTCCATACAGTATGTGTAGCTTCAATCACCTGAGGACGCTATAATGTGTCAGAGAATTTATAAAAAGGGTAAGTTTGGTTTTTTGTTCGCTTTAAATTCAATACACATTCAGATCTAACGATACACCTTTTCACTAGGAGAAGCAGCTCTCATTTTTTAGATGATCATTAAAAACTGCTTTGAACTGACAGTCCAGGCCAGTCAGAAAGGCACCAAACCCTTGTTATCCTCCTCACAAAGTTTCACAAATCTTCTCATCCTAAAAAAGTCCCTTTAATTCCTGAACTTCCATGCCATCAGCACTGCAATGGCTCCAACACCTGCTGCAGTCACAATGTACTTGGTGTGGGTAGAAAATTTACGTATGCGTTTGTCTTCTTCTGACTGTATCACTGTTTGCAGCTCTGGTTTATTATCAACTACACCAGACCTCATGGGGGGGCTGATGTCTCCACAGACCGTTTTTGAACCAAAAGCACCATCTGCAGTAGAACAGCTGCTGCTGGTGGTGTTAGATGATGGTGAAGAAGGAGCCATCGCTTCTGCTGCTTTCCCATTGATGATCTGAGTTGGCAAATCCATGTTTAGAATTGAAGGCTCCTCAGAAGTTTGCAGCACATTTACCAGCACCTCCTCAGTTTCCAAACTGTCAGGAGGAGACTCGTAGTGGTTCTCCTCTGGTTCCTCAAGGTCATGTCCAGTGCTATTCTCCTGACAGGTCAGCTCAGACACAGTGTTCACTGTGGCGAAGGAGACAGTGGAGCAGACAGGAACGTGAGTGAGGGAAACAGCGTGGCTCCCCGATATGGAGGTGCTTAGTTCCAGACGCCTGCTGTCACCTGAGTACGGCTCCTCTGATGGAGTTTGTGCAGAGATGCTGGGACTGTCATGATTCTGCAGTTGGACACTGATGAGTACTTCTGGCTTGCTCAGATATGAGGTGTTGTGCTCAGTGGCACAGTCGTCTGGTAGGGAGTTTGAAGCTGCTGCTTCCGTCTGTCTGCTGCTTTCAGTTTCCTGTCAGGGAAATTAACATCGCAAGAACTTTCAGTGTTATTTGGTCTACAGGCCAGTTGCCAATTCACTAAGTCAACTTAGGGTGTGGTGTGTTTTTTTTTTTACAACAGCTCTTGTGTATTCTGTGGCAATACGGCCAAAACTGATGTTTGATCAGATATTTTTAAAGACTTCTTTGTATCAGAGTCCTGCTGCTTATCTAATGATCTATAGAGAAATGTAGAACTATTTTGGTCTTTCAAGAGTAATGAAATCTCAGTTAAGTAACATGAGAAGCCTTATTGAGCAGTCACTGATAGGCAGACAGCACTTCCTGGATGGATATTATCTCAAACTTCATGACCTATGAAACCAGACCTTTTCCTTCAGAATTTAAAACTACGGAAAAAAAATCACCGCTTTAAATGTATAATAAAGTGTAAAGTAATTCTTCCATGAATAAGTTGTCACTATGTTGGCAGAAAGATGATGATATGATTTACAGTATTGGGTTTATGAAGGGTGAATTGCCAGTTTGAATCCCAGTCGTGCCAAACTGTGATTAGCAAGCCAGCACCAAAAGTGAAGTGCAGTCCACTGCATGGGCACAGGTTTATGTCTTTTTATGTACAATGACATTTAAAGCTTTTTCTCCTTTTATAGTCAAAAATGGCTACCACTACCTATTCCAGGGCCAACATCACCTTTTAAAATAATATTCCACAAACATTAGCTGTGTGGTTTAGCTGAGTTTGGCTACAAACTAGAACATCAAGAACCTTCAAATATCAAATATATTTAATATTTACCTGTACATTTGTGGAGGGTTCAGTTGACTCCTCAGGTTCCACAACAACTGGAAGTACCACAGGTGGGGTGGTGTCCTGTACTGGAGGCTTCTCTGGGGTTAAGGTGAGGAAAGAGGATCCGTCTGTTACGTCTGAGTTTGCCTGAATCTGAGGTGCTTGGACATCTGCAACTGATGTGGTTTTGGAAGGATCTGGGTCAGATGTGGTGTTGGTTTCACTCTGTCCACCAGGATGAGACGGGGGTGAATTTGCAGTAGAGTCAGTTAACACCTCCATCTCTGTTGTGTTTATTTTATTAGGCAGAACAGTGACACCAGTAATAGCCTGGATGTCTGATTCAGAGTTCTCCTCTGGTTCCTGGTGAGCTGTAATCTCCCTGTGAGTGTGTGGAGTCTCAGGGGTGGGAGGAGGTGTTACCAGAGGAGCTACCATTTGAATCTGAGTTGACTCTCTGGGCTCAGGGACAGCTTCAGGTGGAGAAACAGCCTCTGGTACAGAAACAGCTTCAGGTGGAGAAATGACTTCTGGTGGAGAAACAACATCTGAAGGAGAAAATGTGTCGGTATTGTTGGGCTGCTGGACTGTGGAGTTTGGATCCTGCGGTTGAACAGGAGCCTTCAGGGGAGGTGAGGCTTGAGGGGCAGAATTTGGAGAAGCTTCAGCCCTTTCTGTTGGCTGAACAACAACAGCATTAGTAGCAACATCTCCACTTCCAGTCACGCTCTCCTGAACAGGACTGGCAGCTGGAGCTGGATGGACGTGTGCCCTGGTGACAGTTGCTGAAGGAGAGGAGCCGGAATCTAGGGCAGAGAGCATGAGGTCATTTTACTTCTGTCATGATCACATGGTACTAAAGCTGTGAGAAATCATGGTAATCGTTCAATTCATGTGATTACATTTATCATGGACACATTCACTACAGTCAAAACTGGATGATTAAAAAAATTGCTTTTGCGAAAAAGAGAAAACATAAAATAACAATTGTAAATGTTCTCAGTCTTTTCATTATTAATGTATTTATTCAAAATGAAAATATCACACTAATAAGCATGTTTTGTGAAGTCAATTAGTTTGACTTTTCCCTTATAATAAGTAATTAGCTAAAATGATAAAACACCAAGTTGGTAAAATACTTTGATACTTGAAATATTGAATGTATGCAAGTTTGTACAGCAATTGACCTAAATGGTATTACTTTATTACTTAGTTATATTACAATGAATTAGAACTTTAACTGATTACTGCCAGACTATACAATTACACTTTATGTATTTTACCTACAGTATTTTGTGGAAGAATAACTTGCTCAATAACACAGTAATAACTTATAATATAATACTATACCAATATTATCACATTAATAAAACATGCTAGTAGTAAATAAAAAACCCAGTTGATTCCTTCTAAATAACAAATATGAACAACAGATGTGAACAAATGTGAAGTAAGTTGACTCACTGTCCACTCCTCTCAAAGCGTCATATTCCGCCCTGATCTCAGCTGCTACACTTGAATGTTCACACTCCTCTAGAGCCTGGATGAACTGCTCTGGCCAGTTCTCTCTCCTCTTTAGACAGTCCAGAAGAAGCACCATGCTGTCAAAGTTCCCATAATTCTCTCTTTTAGCCTACATATTTTCCTGCGTGACAAAAAAAAAAAAAAACATAAAATATGAATCTCTCTAGTAAGATGGATTTTAAATGTACTGATGTAAAAGTGCTATAAAACAAACAAAATAAACTAAAATGACAAAATTCATACAAATTGCAAACCACACCCACTTTATACACACTATGAAATATTGATCCAACAAGTTAGGAATATATTATTTATTTGAAGTAATTTGCCTTCCTGGGCCCCTTGCCCTCTGCACCCCCTACTTTGGGAACCATCTTTGGTGCTATGCATCTTTAAAGATCTTCTATTTCAGAAAAAGTAAAAAAGATAGTAATATATTTGGAATTTTAACTTCATTGTCCTTAGACAACCTTAAACAATCGTCAGTCTTAGTGAAACTCACCCTGTCGTGAGCAGTGAGGCAGGGCAGGTGGACAATTATTTCTCTCACTTTCACCTTGGACACAATGGTTGGCATCTTTCGCCGCAGGTATCCATTGTACAGTTTGTCGCTGGCATACGACATCTGTGAAAGGAGAGAATGGAGAGAAGGAAATTAAATACTGAAGAAGTGAGGAGGTTTTTAATTAGCCGACATTGAAAGGAGAGAATGGAGAGAAGGAAATGAAATACTGAAGAAGTGAGGAGGTTTTCAATTAGCCGACAATCAATTTCAATTTCACTGGGAACTTTTAATTAAAATGAATGGATAAGTCGCTGTTGTTGCTTTTCTGTTAAATCATATGAAATGTGAAAAAGTACCTGTAAAACAAAAGCAAGAAAACCTGACCTTTGCCATGTGAAGTTATGTAAGGCACAGTATGGGGAAAATTACCCTACTGTAGTGAAAGTGAAAGTAAGGGGAATCCACCAAGTGAAAAAATGAAAAAAATATCCCGACCTGTCAGTTGGAACCAAAAAAAGTCTGTGAATCTCTGCACAGCCACAACTTTAAAATAAAAAAGGTCAAAGATTTTTTTTTATTAAAAGGTAAAAACACTCAAGCTTCTCCCTGATCATTCTCCTTTACTTCAGTGTCTGCCCACTTTGAATGTGAAACAACAAAAACATGAGTCACAATAAATCCCCACACATCCTTGTGGCTTTGAGGGAAATTTCCCTTCCTCAGTCTCCAGGACATCAACAAACGTGTCAAAGTCAAACCTTCTCAATCCTCAATCTGATGTTGCCATAACAACTTGGTACACCAAGATTAGGACTCACATTTTAGTGTAGGGAGTGAGCAGACTTTATAAGACAAATGTCTTTCAGTTTCAACTGACAGTGTCCTCCTATGGTGAAGCAGGTATGGAATAGTTTTTATTTAAGTATTGCTGTCTTCCTCCTTAAGAGAGATCCTACAATAATTCAGTTAAAATGACCAGGTTATGACTGAGGCCATAAGTCCAAAAGTCTAAAGTATAAAGTAAAAAGTACTCACACTTTTTAATCACGTTTTTATTGCAAAAGATAACGGTAGGATTATGACTAGTTTCCTTCAGACTCCTTAAACTTGACAGCTCTTTTCAAGAAGGTGAAAATTAAGAAATTCTTTCCTCACTAAAAAAAATCCATGGTCACCCTTTCACAAACAGCCCATTGTCACAGCATCTAGGGAGCGAACATTAAAAAAAGAAAACACAAAAAAAAAACCAAAGAGCTAACCTTGTTCATTTTTGTTTTGAACACACCTTAAAAGCTTCACTTTGTTTGTACCCAAACAGTCAGGTTAAGTCATCTGTAGCCAGCTTCAGTCATTGGGAACATTTGTGCCACAAGCAGTGACGTCTAAGAGTTAAAGTGTATGTACGTGTGAGTGTGTGAGAGCGTTGCAGCTGCAGCAACCACAGGTAAGAACAAAAGTCAAACGCACTAACTAAAGAGCAAAGTCTTTTAGTGGTATCATTAGCTCACACAGGCAATGATGAGGACACAGACACGCACAAGCATGCACACACATTCTTGCTCAGTGAGGAACAGTGTGTCAGGTTCACACGCTGCTGCAGCCCAACCTGTCCTACACAGCAGTTTATTATTTACTGATCAATGCCTTGGGACGTTCCATGAGTACTTCATTAACAACTCTCTTTCAAATTAACACAAAAAACAAGAAAACATGTTGACTGTACGACAAAGACTGTGGTTCAAAATCTGTTACCATATTTTTATGAAAAAATATTAAATACTTGGGATAAATGTACAACCTACTCAAACTGTTAATACATTTTTGTTATCTTCTTTTGACCCTTTATAATTACACCGTTTAAACCTTTTTTGGGGCAACTGCCCATCACTACTCATGACCTTAAACATGTCAGCACTATTTACATGTTTGCATTATGATGAAAGAGTGCAGGTTAATAAGAAATGGGAGGAGTTTCGTGGTGAAAGATTGAAGAAAAAAAACCTCAACTGGTCACAAGGGCAAATCATTCAGAGTTGAGCCAAATGAATGACCTCTAAAGCTGCAGGTCAGTACTGTCCTATTTCTGCCCTTAGTAAAAAAGTTTATTCTGCCATCAATTATTTTAAATATGGTCTAATGAAGTCAACAAAAATTCCCATTGTGGAAATGAGTGGAAACTGCTCCATATATTTTGTGTCTTGACTAAGAGGAGTTCAGCTCCAGAGATTCAGATATTTAAAAATAACTTTTTAAAAACCCAACAAGTAAGACATTTTACCCTCTAATAACTGTAGAAATATGCTATAGTATTTTCCAAATGTTTATATTCATGGTACAATGTGGTGGATGCCTGTATTGTACAAGACGAAAACTACAAAGGTGTGTGTAAATCATGTAAAAGTGTTGACGAATCTATTAAATTAAGGTTTACTTACAGGAAGGTCATAAATGTCGAATACGTGCTAATTTATATTTGCTAAAGAAAAGAAATTTAAGTCGCCATTTCGCGAGCTATTGCTGGGTAAACGTTTCATGAAAATTGAAATGTTTCAAACGATTTAAAAGTATTTAAGTATGAAGATTTTTGTAATATAAACAACTTAAAGTATACCTTTGCTGTCTCGGTGCCTCAAGACTTCGTGACTTCCTTCTTTCAGCTATTCCTGCTCAACTCATCTCACACACACAGAGCTGCGCAGAGGTTACAGAGGAAGGCAGGGAAATCTCTATTTCTATTGGTCCGTCGTCCCGTCAGTGCAACCAAGAACCAATGAAAGGTCTGAACGCCTCAAGAAAGGCGGGGTTTCTTAAACCTTGACCGTAGCTGCGTCCTTTCCCTCCAGTGTAGTGGATGACAGCAGATTTTACAGATTTAGATCTGCTGGTTTTTACATCTGTCTCTAATCTCTCAGTCCTAATCCCTGCACATGGCTCACAGAGACAGACGTGAATGTTTATTTCCTCAACGGAATCAGTTGACTACTTTTATATTTATGTTATATATGGTATATTAAATACCAAGTACACGTAATAACATCTCGCACAAAGTTACCAGCTCTTGGTCACGCATAAAAACAAAATTCCAGTGGTTCAACCCGATAATAATTTTAGGGGATTTTAATATTAAAATGAAGACAGAGAGTTTGAAGTAGCAATAACTTTTATATTATTCATTTAAGTGACTTTTCTAAATAGTAAAAGACCTGAAGCCAGCTATAATCTTCTACGTGACTGTCGTTTGTTTTCTTAAATAGTTTAATAGAGTATTTATCATAGATTTACAATGAAAAAAAAACATTAATTAGAACGCTTTTGTTCATTTAAATTAGGAACATGAAAGATTATTAAAGATTTTTTTTTAAAAGAAAAGTGAGCATCAGGCCATCATCTAAAATTTTACTGGGTAATAAATGCATTATAGTTGGCGGTTAATTATGGCCGTTTTACAGGAATGACGTGGGACTAGAGGTTAAATTACAGCCTATGCTCTTTTAAACCACAAGGTGACGTCACTGACTCACACATAGAGTCAGCAGGGCCTCTGCTGGTCATCACTGGAGTGTGCAACTCAATCAGCGTGGAAAGAGCATCATTTGTATTAACAGAAGCTCAGTCTTCTCACAACACTAATCTGATTGAATGCATATCTTCTGCAGCTGTATAGGTTAACGACATGCTGAAGCTGAATTACAGGAGGATTGTGGGAAGGATAATGACATTGGACAGGATGTGGCTTCATTATACTGAATCTCTATTTGACAAGGATTAAATACATTCGTCTGAACTCATTCACTCCAAGGGCCTGGCATTTTAAACCCCTCTTTGTCCAGTAAATGTGTCAGTAAACCTTTGTCTTTTTTGTACATGTCTGTCGATTCCTTTTTGACTCAAACCTTTACCATCGTGTGAGGCAAACCCTTCATATCAGGAAGAGGAATCAAAAATTCACCAAATAAAACCCCAGAACAGAAGAGAGAAAGAGATGGAGAGAGAGCCTGAGGCAGCGTCAACAGTCCATCACGCTTGAATAAGAAGGAAAGAAACACCACGGACATCTCAATAAAAGAGTAGGACTGTTCTGTTTTCAGAGCTCTTCAGCTCTAAAACAACAAAGAAATGCTCATAAGAAGAAAAAAAAAACATGCCCCAGGAGTGTGTGCTCAGACTCTTTCCACATTAGTTCTGAAAAATATAAAACAGCTTTTTGTGTATCTATTGATTATTTAGAACGGAAAAGAAAATCACGTTTTCTGACTGGATATTCATCCCTGTCGTCCTTCACATGACACTTTATTCCTCTCTGCTCACAGATTCTGAGCTTTTTAATATATTTTATTTTGTATTTTGTACGTTAGCATCTCACCCTCAGAGTTCACACCAAGGTCAGAGGTCATCAGTTCACACTTTAGCAGAGCTACCTAACCTCGTACCAACAGATGACTGTATGAATGATGAAGGAGACGACTGTCAGTGACATATTTATTCATATGCACTCTCCTCCTCTTCCTCCTCTTCCTGTTCTGTTCAGTGGACATGTACAGAGGAAATGAGGCCCTGCAGGGGGTTTATGGCACTGGAGGCTGCTCAGTTAATTGTTTGCCAGAATTATGTTTATATGACCTGGTATGATGGGACTGTGTGTATTATTAGTCTACTGAAGGTTACATAACAGGCTTCATTATTGTTAATTATACACTGGCATCATGGCTGTGGCACCAAACTGGACCTCTGAGGAATCAGTTATTTGTAAAGTAATTTTAAAACACTAAAGTTTGTTAGGAGTGTCAGAGATGCTGCAGCTGTAAATAAAATAAATTAACTGGTTTATATGTACACCCTCTGATTTACTTATCAATAATGTCATTTTAATTGGAAAAATACTGCTGCTTCTGTTGTGTTGTTTTGTTTATATGACCTTTATTATCATTCAGAAATGTTTCTGTTTGTCCCATCACACTCATTTGATTATTTTGTGTTGATCCTTGTCTTTGTTTTAAATAAAGGCCTTGTCACAGTGTAAGAAAACAAAGATGACTCTCCCACCCATGCAGTTAGAATTGTCAAAAACAACAAACACGCTTTAGGTGTCTGTTACAAACGGCACAGCACACGTGCACTCATGTGCGCCTCCAGTTTGGCATGATTTTTAAGCAATGCGTCCACTAGGGGGTAGTGATAAGTTCAGAGTTCATTTCTGGGCTGACGTCAGTTTCTCACGTTGTAACAAAGAGAGAATTATTCTCTCTGGTTCCTCCATTTCTGTTGGTGTTTGATCACTGTTGTTTGATCACTGTCTTCTTGCTGTTCCTTTTCACAGACAACCTCGTGGACTACTGCACATGGACATGAGCACACCACACAGAAAGACCATCCCATTTACATTAGGAATCAACCCCCACCAATATTTGAGCTAAAAGAATCAGGCAGACAAAGACTCTGTGACTGTTGGAAAAAAAAAGCAAAAAACACCAGTAATCACAACATCAAAGTTTTCATTTCAAAAGAACAGACGCTGTCTGCTAACAGCCGAGCTACGAGCATCCAGTGAAGCTGAAGCGATCCAGCCTGTGATGGTGGAGTCTTTGTGCAGTTCCAATCAGCTCACAGGATCCACCTGATCCCTCGTTTAATCAGCCGTGCACAGCTGCATGCAATCACACATTCAGCACAGACACAAGCAGAGACACAAATAGAAGCAGGGCTGGTTCAACTGTAAAGAGCTTGGAGTGCTCATCAGTCTCTCTTCTGGATCACCTGAACTGATGGTTTGACTGACCACCTGTGAACCAGACCTTAATGTTGAATATAAAACCAGGTTAACCAAAATGTTTGAGGTGATCCTAGTTTAAATCAAGTTCTATTCTATCCATTATTGAACTTGTGTTATTTATTCATAAAAAGAACGAGCATGAAGTTGATCAACCAAATAGGCCTCTCTTTTCTGGACTTGTCATATATAAAAGTAATTGTATTCCTTTGTGTTATCAGCCGGAAGGAGCCTCTGTCTGTAATTAATGTAGGAGAAAATTAGTAAGAAAAAAAACCCGAGGGCAAATGTGATGTAATTAATTTAGAAAAAGAAATCATTCAATGGTCTGGTGGATTAAAAAACTTGTCAGTCAGAGTCACATCCTCTTTGTTATAATAAAGAGTTTTATAAACACATTGAATGAAAAACCCAAGTGACCCCAAGCCAGACCTTTAGAGACATGTTCTATTATTGATGAATAAATTATGTGCAGGAGCAAAATCAGGAGCTGAAGACATTGTTCCTTTTTTACCTCTTCCACCTGTAACCTTTCTTCTCACTCCTAAAGAGGAAAATGTCAAATCAGCCGAGGTGTCAGAGCCACAGGAGACCTCTGCTTTACTGATGAACACACACACACACACACACACACACACACACACACAGCTCAAAAGCAGCTTTCCTTTTCACCAGCAGTAAAAGGTTAAACTGCACACGCTGGTCATGTGATGTACTGGGTATCATGACCATCTACCTCAAACTCACAGAAGAAATGAATGGATTTACATAATCATAAAGATGGAAACATAACATATTGATACCAACTATGAGCAACCAATACGGTAAGATTTAATACACAATCTTTGAATATAAAATCAGTCCTTTGGTCTGTGTAGTGTTATTGTTGAAGACTTTAAGGTTTAGATGATGCTCCCCATCTAGGATTTGTTGGTGGGACTCGTGTGGGTACACATATGGTTTTGTCCACAGACTCCATGTGTGCCCTGTGCAAATTGCCCATGTGTCTGTAAAGGGCAAGTGTGTTACATGTGATGTATGTGACCCACTTTATTCACCAGGTCTAAACCTATGCCCAGTGTAGACACACCAAGAAAAAAATTAATACTTTTTTTTTTTAAATATTGCTGTTCACTTGTGACTGCTGCTGGATTATATGTGAGTTTAATATAGATAAACGCTCTGTCATCTGTCAGTCTCCTGAATTGAACGAAGAGATTTGATGTTTATTTTTTTATCCTGATTAAGGTCAGATATGCTTCATGGGAAATAAATCACCAGAACCTCAGTCACTCCTTATTTGAGAATTTGTTTTTAATATTAGCCATAAGCATCACATAGTACACGATGACAACACAATGTTTGGATATTTACACCAAAGGTATCTTTGTAGCAACCACCTTTTAACAAAAGCTGATTTCACTTGACAAGAACAAGTATTCTGTGTATGTAGAAAAACATGACCATGTACAAATACAGCGTAACAGTTCACTGCCAACAGCTGGTTAATCAGAACATCATCAACCACCTGCAGGTCCGCAAGAGAAAAGAGTTGAACAATGTCACGTTATTAAAGATGCATTCGAGAAAATGACATTTATGTTAATATTCATGACAATATCAAAATATACAAAACTGTTTTGTCAGTAACTTCAGGTGCTAGCCCTGCTTTAGTTACACATCTCTAACTAAAACTAAAGCTCTACTACTTGTTTTTTGTTTGTTTTTTTTTTTAAAGAGAAAGAACCTTTGACAACAGCCTCGTAGTCGACCATAAAGTAAACATTATTTCAAAGTCAGTAGTTCAGGTATGGCCTCATCACTGATCACATTTCTAAAACCATCAGACCACAGTAAAGTTATTTTTTCAACCATAAAACTACATTCACATTCTTCACTGTAAACTTACCATGGGCAATGCCGAGGATAGATCTGTGTCCATGAGACAGGAGGAGGCTGACACCAGAGAGCATCGAAGGTGCTGTGTAAAATTATCCTAATTAATCTGAAAACTACGATTTATTCACTGCAAAAATGTATCTTTGTTTGTCTTTGTGACACTGACAGGCAGCGCAGTTAAATACTACTCCACTAGGTAGCAGCAGATGGCTATAAAAACTCAAAAAAGATAGACTAAAAGCTACTGAAAGTCTTTGTGTCTTTCTTCAATTCCTTAAAGTATATCAATGTTTTGTTCAACGATACAGGCCCAGGTTTCACACTGAGTAAGAAAAATATTGAAACTATAATAGACTAAATACGTTTTTTCATTACATAAACTTTTTTTTTTTTTTGACATTTTGGGTGGAGATGCACCGGGGGATTCTCCAACGTAGGTAACATATGAGCTGTGGTACAAAAAAGGTTGGGAAACACTGGTTTACCACTCACTAAAATATGCATAAAGTTACAGCAAATCAGGATTGATATCTTACTAACAGAGAATATATAATCAATTGAAATATGTATTACTGACGATGAATAAAAAAAAACAGAAAATGATAAAGTAAAAAATAATTCTGCTGCTTTTTGAAGTTTTTTAATTTGATCAGTAAAGTAAACCATTTCTTACCCAATTTGTGTCCCTAAGACTAATTTGAAGGTAATTGCTAATAGAATATTTTTTTTAATGAAATCATGATCCCATTTAGATGAAAATTCACTACAAAGCAGTATAAACGACAAAACATTTGATTGGACAATTTGTAGAATTAATAGGTGGAACATCCAAAAGGCTTGGCAATGCAAGTGACGACATTACCGTCTGCAACCTATTAAGCTGTTGCGTCCAAAGAAGGTGTATATATATATAGTCATTAGTACACCTCTTTGTCTGCCATGTTGACATGTCAAAACATGTCTTTTCGAAATCAATAAATTGGCACTATTATTCTGATCCGATTTAAAATTGTACTGTAAATTGCCATCTAGTTAAAGGGGTAAAGACACCAAATGACTTTCAGCACAAGTTGAATTCACATTGTGTGAGTTCCACGACAGCAAATAAGGCGTAAAACCCTTTAAACCAAGGCCAAGAAAACACAGAAGACGACGAAAATGTTGTAGAATTTTTCTGGTAAAACGAATGCACAATTGGGAAATGACATTTTCTACAACATTTTCTCCTCTTTTTCCCACGGAACCGGGTCCTGCTCCTGCTCTACCTGCGTGTTTCTGCGCCCCGTCCAGAAGTGCTCCAAATCCGGGAAAGTCTTCTCCTTGTCCTCGTTCTCCTTGTCCGTCTCCACCGACACCGCGTTGGCAACCACGGCATTAGTCGCGCCGTGCGCCTCCGTTGCATTCTCCTCGGTTTTCGGACATGTGTTGGTGCCAGGGGTGTTCTTTGAGCCTCTGCAGGTGGCCATGAACCAGATGTTGAAGAGACCTTGACGCACGTCATCGTACATGGTCATGAGGATCACCGGAGAAAGCGCGCTGCACGCGTAAAGCAACAGCTGCGCGAAGATTAACAAACCAGCGGGCGGCTTGTTGTAGCCGAGCCTGATCCAGGTGAAGGTGCCCCACTCCGGCAGCAGCATGAGCCCGAGTGTGCCACTGAGACACAGTAAAACAAGCGTGACTTTGCTTTGGTGCTGAGGGTTGGGGACGTTGTTCACCTCGTCGTGCAGCGTTTTGGTGTAATACGCCACCGTGGAGATGACCGGCACCACGAAGGTGACGGTCGGATAAATCTTGTAGAACAAACTCATGAAATCAGAGGCGCAGCCAGGCACTTCCGAAACACAGATGGTGTCCGAGCCGTAGGGCAGCAAAGAGGCAAACAGCATCTGTGGGATCGGGAACATCATGGCTACGATCCAGATGCATACCAGGGCCCCATGGATCCACGACGCGCCGCACAGGTGTTCAGTGGTGGCGTCGCCTGTGGTCACGGTGTGCTTAGCTCTGGTCGTAAGGGCCAGCATCAGAGTTTTTGCCACCACGCAGCAGTGCTGGAACCAGTCCGCTGTGCTGCAAACAAAACTCCCCAACGTCCAGGTCCGTTTGTAGAAGGTGACGGCGCGCACCGGTGCGCACAGCAGCAGGATCAGCAGGTCCGTGGAAGCCACGGAGGCGAGGAGCGCCTTGGCTTCGGAACCTCTGCCGTTTCTGAAGTCACGGAAAAAAATCAGTAAAGCCAACAAGTTTCCAACTGCTCCGGACACGCAGATCCCGATGATGATGACGGGGATGGCTGTCCGGGTCTCCTGTCCCTGGAGGAGCTGAACTCCTCCGATGAAATCAAAAAATGAGACATTTACATCCATCTCTAAACTTGTGATATGATTTATTTGTCTCTGATTCTCTGCTGTGGTTTTTTTTTATTTCTTTCTTTCTTTTTCTTTCTTTTTTTTGAGAAAGAAAAGTCAGAGGAGCTGTTCAGTGCGTCGCGGTGCTGAAATGCTGCCTAATGGGCTCGTGATGGCATCAGTGTGTGAGCGGGCTGAGGCAGATCGTCTATTTCAAGTGCTGCCATTTAGCGTCGTCGACCACTCACGTCACTCATATTCTTCTACCAGCGTGGCTCCAGGCTGCAACAAGTCCCAAATGTGAGCGCAGCTTGACGTGGTTTACAGTCAGACCCACAGAGGAGTTTAGAGCTGGAGTCAGTGACTATAGTGATCTCAGACCTGTAGTTTACGCAGCTTTAAGTGAAACGATTATTCAGTCGTTATCTGTTAATGCTTTACTTTATTTAAATGAAGCAACAGTTAGTAAAAGTAATTTTCCAGGAACCGAATAAACAAGATAACGGGGCTTTGAAATAAATAAATGACAAAAATAATTGAGGAAAAACAGTCAACCAAAACCAGGTCTGTTCAAAGTAGGTTTGTATTTAACTATTAATTAGGTATGTCCGATAAAATCGACCGACCGATGTTATCGGCCCGATATTAGTATATTATGTGATATTTGTTATTGTTTTTTCCTCTGATAATGAAAACCCGATAACGCAATGCCTGGTTTTCGCCAAATGATGTGTGCTCTAAAAATAGTTTTGGGGCTAACCGGCTGTATATTAAAGTGAAAGCCACTAGATGGCAGCATTGCAGCTCATTTAATTAATCTCATACCCATTTAGTGGTTTGTACAGTTAATAAATATAGGCCAATATCCTCTCATACCCATACAGTGGTTTGTACAGCTAATAAATAAATGTCACCAGGCCAATATCTGTTTATATCAGAATTGGGATTGAAGTGTTTGGACATGTACTATCAGACATTCCTACTATTAACTGTCCACTAGAACCATATCAATTGTACACTAACAACCCAATTTAAAGCATCTATTCAAAGGTCTGTGGTTTATTTTATGTCGTTATTTGAATCTGCGATCTTGCTCTGGTAATTAATTTTTGGAGAGTTTCTCCAGTGACCACAACCACTGCAGTCCTGAACATCTGTGACCAGATGCCAGATCACTGACTCTCATTTGTGTCACTGCTGATATACATGTGTACAGAGCTACTGTTAATGACTAGGTCATTTAAAAGTTTAAAATTAACATAAGTTACTTGTATCTTCTTCTGTTTTTACTCACACAGATCCATTTCCTGCTCATCAGACCGTGACCCCCAGAGCAAAGACTGGATTTCACACTCATGAGTGTTTAGTTGACTTGAAGAGCATCCGGATGACTGAGGGGTGAAGGGATGAGGATGACAACTGAGGAGGAGGTGGTGGTGGTAATGCAAACGCTGCCACCTCTTGGAGGCTTGGTTGCTAGGAGACGGGAACCACCATCACAGTATGGGGCTCAGAAGATGTGAAGTGTCATGAAGTAGTGGGAGCTAAAGATGGATGGGTTGGATGATGGATGGATGGAGGGTTGAGAGTGACTCCGGAGCTGCAGGTCTAATGAATGAGGAGTCACAGTGGTGTGATTTCAGAGGTACATAAATGACTGTGGTGGTATTTAGAGGGATGAAAGCAGGAGCAGGGGGGCTGCCCCCACAGTAGGCGGTAATCATGGATAATTGCAATGTTCTGGACAGAGAAAGGCTAAGAATACGAACATCTTTAAGTGACTTTACCGGAGGAAAAACTACCAGTAGAAGACGTACAAACGTACAACTGAGTAGTGTATATTTCATCTGGAGTGTACCGTAACCAAAATAGAACTGCGTGTGAAATGTTTTACCATGAATTATTATAAAATGGTTTAGTTTCTGCCAGGACCTAAAACTGCCATTCCTGTGTGAGTAACTAACAATGGCACTTCATTCAAAAGTCAAATTCCATCAGCGTTGTAGAGGATATATAGGATGTTTGCTTTCAAATGAACGAGAGGTAAGAATGACAGACCTGACTAGCATATCTGTGGTTGTTGTTGTTGCCTTACATGGTGTCCTTGTCATCTGTGTGCTGTTGTAAGATAATCTAAAGCCCTAAAAACATTGGGGCCCAATATAATTTTAGGAGGATTTAGAATTTAGACAGGACAGATAGGAAAGCCCACATGAGCACAAAAATATAATGTTGTCCTCGTGATATAAACTCATTTACCCTCTGCCCTGTGCATTCATACTCACTGTTCCACTGTAGAAAATAAAATCCCACTTTTAGATTTTACCAGACTCATTAGATCCTAGACCCAGTTTTTCACCGAGGTCCTACAAGGATGAAAGTCAAAACACGAGGCTTCCTTTCTCCTGGGAAAGTACCCAGACCACCTCGGACACAAAAGCAAATGCCCCCCAGTTTTTTCCTTTCTTTTTATAAACTCTTTATCACCCAGTCACTCCAGTCAGAACTGAATCGGTATTGTGTGGGATTTTGATCCTTCACATTCTGCCCTGAGGCCTATACAGAACAGCGATTCTCAGAAAAACAGTAAAAAAACAGATGAAAGTACGGAGGAATGGTTTTATGCTGGGACAAAAACCAGAGCTGAGTACAGGACTCTAAAAGAGCTCACATAATGTTCCCTTTGGACAAATCCCAGAGTAAGTACTTTTTTGACCACAGGGTTGTGGTCGCCTAAAAGCAGACTGAGCTGGGACTAATTTCTGCCCCAAATCTCTTGATGTGGAAGGTGCTTTTACAGAAATGTAATTGTTAGTTGAAAGCGTTCAGTGGTTGCTGTTTTTTTTTTTTTTTTTTTGCTTTTGCTTTTCTGTGATTACCTCTGTTTTGTATTGACAGTTGCTCTGAGTGGAGGCACCTGTTTAATTAGTTCCTGTGTTGGGTCCAATTCCAGGTTTTTCCTTTTAAAGCAGACCCACCTGGACCTCTTTCCATTGTCCTCTAGGGCCCTTTATGCTGTATGGTATCTGGGCAGTATTGGAAACAGTCCCATGTCAGCTGTCAACAGTTCTGTTCCCTCCTTTAACCTTCATTCAAAACTGAAATTTCTGAGTATTTTCATTAAACTTTTGTCAAGCCCTCACAACCATCCTCGCCCCCCATGTTGACCCATTCACAGCTGTTCATAGCAAAACTGTACTCACTAAAAGAAAAAATGTCCTCATAAAACTAAAAATAAATAAATAAACACCCAGTCATTCCAATTTCCCCAGTGAAAACTATTAATGCAATGAAATGTATTTCACAGCTTTAATATTTCAGTGCTTCAATAAAGTCAGATCTTAACATAACAATTTTGAGTACGTCCATCAGATTTGTAAAAATGATGCTACATACACTTCATTTATATTAGTATGTTTAACTACACGTATTTCTGTATACTTGGTCAACCATGGGTGAAAGAAAACAAATCATGTTTAATAAAACTCATGGTCATTACCAAGATCAAAGCCTCAAATCAAAGATCAAGCACAGACTAAAACCACTGCATCCCTTTTGTGTGTGTGTGTGTGTGTCCGTGTCCATTATGTTTTACATAAAACTGACTTCTTTTAAGTTTCTGAGTGACTGTGTAAAACCAGCGCCTCCTCCAAACTGCCCCTCCTGATAGTGACCAGATTGACGGTTGCCAAGACAACCTGTGGATGGAGACCGCTTGACTTGCAAAGCTGTTCGTGACTGTGTTTAGTGAAATCTCACCTTCACTAATTTCCCAGGCGTGTGGAGAATAAATGTGTTTTAGTTTTAGTGATGAGCTGCAGGGAAACTCCATATAAAGCCCGTCCCCATTATCCTTGTTTTGTTTAATTTGATTCAGGCTCCATGCAAAGAGATAAATGAGACTCCCTTTAGCAAAAGGGCAGACTCCCGACAGCAAAATAGCAAATAATTAATGGCAGTGCTTTTTTTTGGCAGGAGGTGAAGCAATTAAATATGGAGACTTTTAATTATTTTCCACACTTTAATCATTAATGCAGGATAAATAAAAGAACATTGACAGTCTGAAGATACAAACAACCATTAAGTTAGTGTTTGGAGTCAGAATTACTGTTGATGGAAGCTTTTTATTGGGAAATACTTTGATTCTTTATGTGTATGCAGAATAACGTTTGCTCAGTGATGCTGCCTACTGCGCCTTCCTGCAGCCTGCTGTCATCACTGATCCCAGCTCGGACACTGACAGCTCATTACATGTCACCTATAATAAGCAGTAAAACTGAGGTGCTCAGCTGTTTCTCTCACCCAAGTTGCAGCCCCTAATGTGTTTTGTGTTATTTGGACTCAATTTCCATGAATATGATGATATTTTATTTACAGTGTTATTAAAATGTAATGAATCAGACTGTAAGGCCCAAACCCAATAAAAAATTAAACATTGTACAAAAAGAAGTTCGAGATATAGGCTATCGGTATTCAGCATTTAAAGGGTAGTGTTTATCATGAGCAAGATGGATTTAGTCCATCAGTTTAGAACGTTTTAGAATTGTATACATTTTTTAAATCAGTAAAATTTTGTTCCTATCACCCAGGGCCTGTTTAAAATGCCCAAAGCTTTTAATATGACACTGTCAGTTTTATGGCCACATTTTATGGCCACAGTAAGGATGTTAACATTTGCTCAATTGGACACTGTGAACAAGTGAAGTTCAAAAATACAAATTTGCGCTTCAAGTGCTTCGAATAACAATTAATTTTCTCTGCAAAGGATATGTTAAAGCCTTGTAATGGATGTTGTATAAATGTGCATAAGGACATAATTGCATTATATATATATATATATATATATATTGAATATATATATTGTAAAAATATCCAGACCAGCTGGTAGAAAACACCTGAAAGTATGACAACACTGCCCTACTGTGGTGTGTTTTGATATTTGACCTTAAAATTATTTATTTATTTATTTATAGCTACATAAAAAAGCTTTATTGACATTTGTTATTTGTGAAGTGAAGTTATGTTTTCATGTCCTGCAAAGTAGTGTGTACTAACAAGTCTGACTAAAAACGAACGAATTTACATACATTGGTGCATTAATTATTCAGACAGGCATGAAAAATAAACTAGGACTTCAGAAGTTATTTGAGTAATTGTCAGTAAAACATTGTCAGGCCATGTGACATTTAATTTGTACTTTGACATTTAATTTTAAGCAGTACTGGTTTAAACAGTAACTTGGTTATTAAAATACAAGCAACAGAATATCTAATTGTACAACAGACACTAAGTTTATGAGTCTGTTTGTCTTTCCCATTCTATAAAATCCAGTTTAAGTATTGGTAAATACAGAGGAACATTATTTTGTTCCATTTAGTTGTGAGCATGATATTATAGAAAGAACATGGCCCACTTCAAATATAAAGCAGAAATATGGAGTTTAGAGGGAAAAGTACAGATATTGTGTGGTCCTGGGTCCAGTTCTGAGTATTTTCCACGTGTGTTCGTGGCTTTACTCCTAGTACTTCCGTTTCCTCCCAGACACGTACAGACGGAGATGAGTGCTGTTTAGAGCGGATAATGCAGTTTCAGCGCAGAGGGGAAGGGGGCAGTAGTGAACATTTGTTGGTGTCTTTGGCGGAAACAGAGGAAAAGAAGAAGAAGAGAAGGATTAGGTTGAGGCGCACGCTGACTCCTTCCCTCAGAACAAAATGGCGGAAATGGAGGGTGAGTGTGTAGCTCTTCTCTTACACGGATGAGATTGATTTTTTTTTCTTTTAGTGTACTGTTAATGTGTATCTGTGTTTTAACACATCGTTGTCTGCATGTGTGTATATCTGTTATAAATGTTTTTAGCCTGCTGGTTTGTTATTATATTGGGGCAGGAACGCTTGTTGTCACTGCATAGATTTACGTTAAATTCTGATTTTATCTATGTCACCGTTGCATAGTTAACCATAATCACTGATTATATTCAGCAGGGACCAATTCGTCTTATGTTATCGATCGATATGAGTTGTGCACATGTTGTTTCTTGAGGCCTGACCACTGCGGGCGCTTTGCACGTGGACACGGAAGCCAATGATGCCTGTTTTCATTAATACCGAGAAATAAACAGCTGTGTAATAAATGGAACATTTAACTTATTAAGTGAACTCAAAATGAGCAAACAAACGACGTTTTTTTATATATATATGTGATGGTGAAAAAGACGGGTAGAATTTTTCCCCCCTATTTGTACGGTTTGTAACATCGAACGCGTTTTCGTCAGTCATCATTCTTGAGTTGTTCGTTGTTGTTACAGGCCGTTGGATAAGGATCGGTTGTAGGATTAAATTATAATGCTTGCAGTAACTTTTTCTTGCCAGTTAGCTTCATCTGTTAGCACGTGGGGCTAGCCAACACGTGCACTTTCAGGGGCCACGTGGTTTCCGCCCGCTTCAGCGGTTGTTCCTGTCTATAATCAATTTGTTACAACTTGTTTATTTCAACAGGGTCCGCGAAAAAGAAGAAGAAACAAAAGAAAGTGAGCGAAGAAGAGGTTGGGGTGAGTAAATATTGTATTGACCATTAAAGGTTAACCAGTGCAGCGTCATTTAATTGTTGAAAGAGCACGTTTAAAAAAAAACCATTATGACCAAAGTGACGTGTTAAGTCAAGGTCTTAGATTCAAATGAACCATTGCTACAAAGCAGGGATCCTGTCTCTGCTAATGCTTTGTTGTGACTAGGAAATTGACTGAAAGTATAAGGAACATTTGTAAAGTTGTCATAGCTTAGTCAGTGATTAGTTGACTTAAGTTCTTACCTCAGAACTTTTGTATGTAAGAAAACTATTCAAAAATAGGCTCTCATTAGCTTCCATCAAATATTGAAGTAATCTGTTATTTTCATGGGTTATTCATTAAAAATTTAATTTCAGGAAATTCAACAAAGCGGCAACTTCATCATCCAACCAGAGTCCAAGGTTGCGTCTCTGGACACGTCCCAGTGGCCGCTTTTATTAAAGGTAAGGAATCTCAATGATCCTGTTGACATTTCTGGTCTATTGTGTTGTTGGGTGTAATTCATGTGACATGATGAGATCAGTTTATCCATTCTCTGAGTGGCAGCCATGCTTTTCTTTGCACTGCCTCCGTTCTGGGGGCAGGGCCTCTTAGTCCTGGTGCAGGACTTGACTGGCGTTCTGCCAGCCAATGGCCTGAGACCAGGCATAGAGCAAGATTTTGCGTGGCTGTTGACAAGACGATTTTTATGTTCTGATCACATGAGACTAATGTTCTACAAGATGTTATTCCTCTTAACATGTAGTTGTTGTAAAAACTGAGTGACCTCAAGACATTGTGTAACACAAATCTTTTCTTGCAGAATTTTGACAAATTGAATGTTCGCACAGCTCACTACACACCGTTGCCTAGTGGCAGTAACCCTCTGAAGAGAAACATTCAGGACTACATAAGGTACTGGGCCATAGCTAAGCTAACATGCCTTTAATTCTGAGTTTTGTAAGAATACCTCAAGTTCCCACCTGCTAATTTTCTGTGCTCATCTTCCAGGTCGGGCTTCATTAATCTTGACAAACCAGCAAACCCATCGTCTCATGAGGTTGTGGCATGGATCAGGAGGATCCTTCGTGTGGAAAAGACAGGTCACAGCGGCACACTTGACCCCAAGGTCACAGGCTGTTTGATTGTGTGTATTGATCGAGCCACCCGATTGGTGAAATCACAACAGAGTGCCGGTAGGTGGACACTCGTCCAGTTTAACAGTTAGATTGTCTCCAGCTAGCTGACAGGAGCGTAGGCACAGTAAAAAAAACAGGCCAATCCTTTGTGTGTTGCAGGTAAAGAGTACGTGGGAATCGTTCGGCTGCACAATGCGATTGAAAGTGAACACACTCTGGCTCGGGTAAGTGTGAAAGCAGAATCTTTGATTAGCTAATGAGTGATTGATTTAAAGTAGTTTACTGGTTAATCTCAGAGCAGATGTGTGATTTTGTGTAACCAAACATTTCTCTGCAGGCACTGGAGACACTCACTGGTGCTTTGTTTCAACGACCTCCACTTATCGCAGCTGTAAAGCGTCAGTTGAGGGTCAGGACAATCTATGAGAGCAAACTGGTGGAATATGACCCAGAGAGGAGACTGGGTAAGTTCAGCATTACTCTTGTTGGTTTTTGTGCCACTCATCTTAAGTTCCTTAGCAAAACAATTTCAAGGGACTACAAAATAATTATAACTGTGCAGGTATCTTCTGGGTCAGCTGTGAAGCAGGAACCTACATCCGAACTCTGTGTGTCCACCTGGGGCTGCTGCTTGGAGTTGGAGGGCAGATGCAGGAACTGAGGAGAGTCCGATCTGGAGTCATGGGAGAAAAGGTCAGCATTGCTTTTGAGATCAAAGCTTGGGCATCATACTCTCAACATCATTGGCCTTCAAAGTGTTGAGTTCAGTCCGGCTGCTCTGTGCCGGACTGGTAATTTGACTTTGATACAAAGTTGAGCAGCAGAGAGACTGTTTTACACAGTGTAGAACTGGACACTCGTTGCTGCTGACATCTTCATGATGACCTTCAGTCTGAGCTGTGCTGGTGCAGCACATCTTTGTTGTTCATCTGTGTTCAGGGCATCAGACAATGCCAGTGATATTTTTGGTTGTGACTGGCCTTTGGTGTTCCTCTGACTAAACATGGTTCAGTTGGATTCCTAGGAACTAGTGCAGTTCCAGAGCTGTCACCAGTTCCACAGGTGAAGCACACTTTTTTTTTTTATTACACAACATAGAATTTTCTGCACTTCTCGTTAGGTCATCTGCTGAAGTGATGAGCCACTATGAACGAGCGGGATGATCTCCTGCGCAGGCACAGAGGCATTATTAGTTGACAAAGAACACCCTGATGGATTGTGGGGGTTTTCAGGTACAGCGTTAGTTTTTTGTTTTTTGCTAGATTTTAGCATTTTTAAACTGCCCTGCCTTAAGCAATATATTTGTTATGGGGTCTGCTAAAGGAAACACATTTGACAACTTTTTAAAAAAAATTTTTTTTTTAATTTTGCTGCCTCATTGTTCCAACCAACATGCCCATCTTGACTCCTGGTGTAGTCATTGTTGACCATTTGTTAGCTCTGTTACGCACAGCTGTTTAAATTTGTCTGGCTTGTTCTCAGCTGCTGTTCTTCTGGATTCAGCCATTGACTATGGGTGGGGTAAAAACTGATGTTTTTTGATGCAGGACACCCTCTGCTGGTGCAGATAAGAACAACAGTCCCTGTTGTACTTTCTCTGAGATTTGAACTCTGCACAAGCCAAAGTCATTAATTCAGCCAAATGCTTGAACCTGGGACCAAGTGACAGCTCAATAGTTTAATTGGTTCATTATTAGCTATGTGGGTTTTGTAGATGCTAATCTGAACATTTTGTGATTTTCCTCAGGACCACTTGGTGACAATGCATGACGTCCTGGACGCTCAATGGCAGTTTGACCACAACAAAGATGAGGCGTATCTGCGACGGGTCATTTTCCCCCTGGAGAAACTTTTAGTGTCTTACAAACGTCTAGTGATGAAGGACAGCTCTGTGAGTATTACTCTTCTGGCCGTTTTTGTATTTTTATATTATCAGCTTGCCGTCGTCTCACCTCACCCTCTGTCCACCCACAGGTCAACGCTATCTGCTACGGAGCAAAGATCCTCCTTCCCGGTGTCCTCAGGTACGAAGACGGGATCGAGATCAACCAGGACATTGTGGTCGTTACAACGAAGGGGGAGGCCATCTGTATAGGTGTGTGTTTAGTGTTCATGTATATTGGCTTGCATGTGTTGTTGGGGCCACATGATGATCTTGTGTCTGCAATAGCTTTCGGGCTGTGATGACCATCGATCTATCACCCTTTACTGATGGCTCAGCTTATTCAGATCATAATGCTCATTGAGTCATCCTCAATCATTGAAAGGCTTTGCTGTTTGTGCTTTCAGCTGTTGCATTGATGACAACGGCGGTCATCTCCACATGTGATCACGGGGTCGTGGCCAAGATTAAGAGGGTGATCATGGAGAGGGACACCTATCCTCGAAAGTGGGGTTTGGGACCAAAGGTAAACCTAGAGTTCAGCCTCGTTCAACGTCACACCTGATGATTAGTACTGATGACTGACTGAACCTTTCAACAGGCTGTTCAGAAGAAGAAAATGATCCAGAAAGGACTTCTGGACAAACACGGTAAACCAAACGGCAGCACGCCGCAGGACTGGACGAATGAATATGTCGACTACAGGTATGGGGACGTTCTATCATTGTCAGTGGGTGGGCGGGGCTAACGCAGACAGTTATCCCTCTCTGGGCTGTGACGTGCTCTCTGAGGGAGTCAGTCTGCAAAAACAACCTTCAGGCCTGAGCCTCTTTGCCCTGTCACTGACAGAGTTTCAGCTCACCTGAAGACAAACTCTGCATGTTGATGTCTAAAGAATTTTAAGAGAGAATTTCTTTAAAACAACTTTTGTCTCACAGTGCCCCCCAAGCAAAGCCAGAGCCCTCTGAAACGCCAGCTAAGGTGAGCTCAGTTTTATCAGATCATTCTGATCTGTTATCTTTACACTCTTGAATCGCTATGTTGACCTGTTGGTACATCCTTGTTCTCCAGAGGAAGCGTGATACAGACAGTGAATGTGAAGCAACAACACCCTCTGCAGAGGAAGTGAAGAAGGAGAAAAAGAAGAAAAAGAAAGAAAAGAAAGCAAGACAAGAGGAAGCAGAACCTGGGGAAGACGGGGCAGAGCCTGCAGAAACAGAGCCTCCAGCAGAGGTAGGTTCAATATCTTGATGTTGAGAATAATTTGGGGATTCTTATGTGGAACATGTACTTAATTATGGTTTGTTTACAGGCTGAAAGTGAGAAAAAGAAAAAGAAGAAAAAACGGAAAGAGGAAAGTGCGGAGTGATTCCACTGTTGCAGATGTTTGGACGAATCATTTGTTTCATAATTTTCTGGACTGCCTTCTTGGATATTTTTTTATTGTGTAAATATGTTAAAGTCTGTTATGACAGAATAAACATTTTGGTTTTTAAGTTAGTCTTGTGTGATGTATGTCCCTGATAAGAGGATAGTGTTTTTTTTTTTGTTTGTTTTTTTTTTTTTTTGTTTTTTTTAACCTCCTGGTCAAAGTTAGCAATTGCGCCTTGTGATCATTAATCCAAACAAAATTTTAATCAAAATGGTATGACTGCTATGAACTGTGAAAACAATCAATGCAAAGGCTTATATTTCCCCCTCTAGAAAATACTCATGTCACAGAGAAGCCACTGTAGGTGGACTTGAAGTACTTGTAGAAAGCTGCACTTACATTGTGGTGTGCACCTGGCTGAAAACCAGTCAGGAAACCTACCAGCTAATCATGAAATTTATTTTTCACAACGGTCAACTCTAAGCAAACATTTAATGTGCAAAGATGAGCTGCGTTACATTCTTATTTAGGCTGTGATTAACTTCACCAGTGTTTAGTGTGCAAACAGTGTCAGTTATACTTTCACAAAGTATTTGGTGTCATTTCTCAAAACTCATGTGATCAAAGTGGCAATGCTAATGTAATGCAGTGTAACATCAAACATTCTATACTGTGCACATGAACATTATAACCTGCATCAGGAAGATAAGTTATGTATGGTGGTGCATAAGCTCTTAGTGAATGTTATGCAAATCTTCAGTTGTCTAAAAAATAATTCCCTGGGTCGCAGGGGCAGCAGTCTCCATGACTGCCACCCAAATCACACTGCACCGTACCAACCCCCCGAACCTTCCTGCAGGTGGTGAGTCCACTGGAAGGTACCAACCACCCTAACTGGGATTCGATCTTTCCCAGGAGGTGAACCCTGGGGTTCCACACCAGCTACAGAGACGTTGACTCTGGGCCAAAGTACCACTAAAAAAAATAATTAACTTCACTAATAGAGGAAAGGTACAATATAAAAGACAAGGAGGCACACTGACCACAGGAGCAGGAAGTATCATCCACTCACTGTAGTAGAAGGCACTATAGAGATGGTACTCACTAGTCAGGTTATGAGAATCGTGAGCTGATGTAACACATCATTGTTGCCAGATGTAAAATGTTGAAGTATTGGACGGCGATTAACCATAGTACTCTGACGTAGTCCGGGACAGTCTGCTTATATACCCCACGATCAAAGACATCACAAATTAAACCCAACGAAAAAGCTATAGAGCGCGCAGCCTGTTTATCCGTATTGATTACTAAAGTTATTTTATATTATGGGATTTAGGGAATTACTGATTGTACAAGGGGTGAAATACTGCAAACTATCCAATCATTTCTGTAGTTCTGTCAACACTAACACGTTCTCTGACATTCTAACTTCATTAATAATGTTTATAATTTTTAATACTTTGTCTTAAATAGCTTTTACAAAACTTCATAACCTAAAAACCCTATATTAAAATAGATAAGAATTGTGACCACTTGGTCTTGACCTAATGCTAATGTGTTTTTCCTCCATGTCTGATAAAGGTAAGGTATTCCTGAGGGCGGTGCTGCCTGTCGCACCTGGTCGGACTGCAGGGTTATCAATCAGGAGGCAGCCGATGTTATTCGTCAGCTCATATAAACAGTCAATTTGGAATTTGTCAGATTTTAAAGACTGGTACGAGAAGACAAACAGACAGGCAGCTTATGATTGGTCAAACACAGGAGCAGCTCAGTGGGTCTCTTTTTGAGCTGGTGATGACTTGGACTCTGTAGTTGGTGAGTTTCTGCAGGTCATTGATCAGCTGCTGTAGATGAGGACTTGGCTCATACACGATCCAGCCGGGATCTGTTGGATCAGGTCTGTGGAAAGGATCTAGAATTTCCAGTGTGTGAAGATACTGTAACTGCTGCAGCGACAGGAAGTCCTCGTCTGAGATGGAATGATGCCTAAAAAAACAAAAGCCATCACATTAGAAGTGGCAACATTTAACAACAGTAATATAAATATGCAATTTAAATAAATATGGACCATAGTTTTGCAGAAAACAAACAATCTATAATAAAGTAACGGTCCGGAGATCATTTGCCTCTGGACCACACTAACCTGATGGCCAGAGTCCTTAGCTCAGGAAATAGATGTGGTAGAAGTCTAACCAACTTTAAGGAACTCCAAGGTTCTAGGTGCAGGTGTTCTAGGTGAGGAACTCTGAGTGACGCCACCTGCAGGTCTTCAGGCTGAAGATCCACACAGAGGGTCAGACTTAGAAGCGAGGACGGCAGCAGGTCTGCATAAGCTGTCAGAGGATGGCCTCCTATTGGTCAGGCAGAGTATTACATTACTGTTTAATGTCAGATGCAATGCTATGTCAACACCAGCACAAACATTTACTGTACTCGCCATGTACACTGAGGCTGCGCAGCTGTGGCAGGGACGTCAGCCATGTTGTCATGTGACACACTGGCCCAGGAACAGAGTACAGGTGGAAGATTGACAGGCTTTGAAGATTGGACAAAGGCTGCAGAAGCTTACGTGTTACAACAGCGTCATAGTTAAGCAACTGAAGGTCTGTCAGCTGCAGAGTGCCCCCTCCTGTTCAATCACAAACATGACACTATGAGTACATAAGTAACGAGTGGACATCCTCACCATCGTACCTGCTGAGGTCATTCACCAGTGAGAGGAGCAGGACTGAAAAAGTCATCTGGAAGGTTCTTGTAGGTGATCATGGTGCAGGAGAGATGTTTAAGCCCAGTCAGGTGACTCATGATGTCACTAAGTGTTGGCACTCGTATGTTCCCATTGTGATGCAGTACCAATGAACTCAGACGAGTCAGTTGACATATGGCTGCCAGGAGATGTGAGGTCACACAGGAGAACTGGACGTTACACAGGATCAGGTGTGTCAGCTGACGACTCAGCGGCAGCAGGAACATCACGTTATTTAATGACACAGTACACGATGTCATAGCCAACCGCTGCAGTACCTTGAACTTTTTAAGCTCAGTCACGCCCCCTTCTCTCCAGTCCTCCAACCGCAGGGCAGAAAGGGCCGGCAGACAGGTTGATAGTGTCCTCAGGTCTTTTCCTTTGCCTGAACGCAACAATACACTGCCCAAGTGCCTTTGAACCAGACTACGCCAGAACGCCCGATTGTACCTGGAGAAATCACGCAGTGTGACGCTAAAGCCCCTCCACAGTGGGCGGGTCTTATCCATAAGGTTTCTAAAGTATAGACAGGTGCACCGCATGCTCAGTTTGTCTCTCAATGACAGAAAACCAAAGATGTGCAGCCACAGCTCAGTAGGAAGTTCAGGTAACGGTGCCATCATGATCTCCCTGTAAAAACAACAAAAAAAGTCTCATTATATTTTAAGGCCTGTGTATTTATACACACGTGTCCTGTACATGACTTTCGGTGCATGTACGCACATGTATCTAACGATGTTTTAATGTAGTTTTCAAAGTGTGTCTGGGATAATCGTGGTGATGTACAGCGGAACAAATCACACAACATTATTGCCATTACTGCCACCTGTTGCTGTAAACCCGCAGAATCTAACCACAATTATCATCTTAATTCTGGCTTTAACCAGAGTCTGAAAAACAAAGTATGTGTTCTCGGTCGTCCGGGTCATTGAAGCAGTTACATCAAGTGCAACTGAACTGGTTTAGTTTTTTGAAAACGTTTCACCTCTCATTCAGAGGAGACAAGTCTTCAAGAAACTAAACCAGTCCAGTTACCCTTGATATGACAACTTTGGATCTGTAAGTAAACGTTTACGTATACACCCTCAACAGATCTCGGTTATTTAGCGAATTCTTATAATACTCCGAATGTCACAGTTTGATATCGTCTTCTTAAGTAAGAAAAAAAGGATAAACTTACAAAAGTGAAATCAACCACTGAAGGACCTGTGTTCGCAATCGTACGTCTTGCTGTTTCCTGTTCCCTTTACGTCAGATCTGCGTCATTCACAAGGTAAGCCGCGCCTTTCTATTGACAATATTACACTATTTAAATGGTTACTCTCAGGAATCATCCTACAGCTGCCAGTCGACATGCCATTGGCGAGCATAGGGCGTAGGTGGATAAGAGATCTCACTCCGACGTTCTTTCACACCGGAAACACCTTTAGAATCTTCGGCCTGTGAAAGCCACCGGGGCAGAAGGGGGTGTTACAGAGCCAAAAAAAAAGAATCACCCTAGAAGAAGAACCAACAGGAAGCCGTGAAGTGAACCAGCATGGATGGTGAGTAAATATCTGTTTTTCAGTTCAATTTTCCAGTTGGTATTTCTGCAACAGCAGAAGACGTATGTAGTTCTTCTTTCCCGAGTATCAGTGTCGTTTTCAGTGCAAGACCTGAATAAAGCTAGTTGGGACAGGTGAAGATGCAAAGACAACATTATAAGTCCTTAACAACAACAACGATAGCAGAAACCACAAGTACATTATTTTACAAATAATGGTGATTATTCTGCAGGCTTGTGTACCGGGCCGCGGTTGGACTTAACTAAAAAAACAAAACAAACAGTCATATCTATTTACTTTTTCATTAAAAGATAATCCGGCAATCTTTCGAAACAATAGGTCATTCAGACTCCTATACTAACAGAATAAAGTCTGAAAGATGTTTTATTTTGAAAATGTAACGATCCCTCAATGGTTGCGCGGTATAACCAGAAACGGCTGATACTGGCTGACCGGTCTTTGGTATAAAAAGGCTTGGGGAGCGCCGCTGTAGATGATGGTCTTCATCTACACAGTAAGGATTGTATCAGTGACACATAATGTACATGGCGTAAATGTGTGTATTCACTGTTTCTGTAACCAGTCGTCATACCTTACAAGACCACAAATACAATTAAAACCAAAACGAAGGAAATCCAAGTGATGATTTTACAATAATTAAAATAAGAAAGAGCAGTGGTTATTGTGAAACTGATGCACACTGTGATTCACTGTATGTGTCTGTGCCAAGTTGAACCAGTTGCTTATGTGATGTCATGATGATTTATGCAAACATTATTTCGATGAATCATTAGGTAAATATGTTTTTAGGTCTTACACATGACACCATGGCGACTTCATCTAGCAGGAAGTGCTCTGCTATCACTGGAAGTGCACGCAAAATTAAAGACAACATGGCTGACTGGCACAATCTGATGCTCAAATGGGAGAAGTTGAACGACACTGGATTCAACATCATCACAAACATCAGCAACATGAGACTGTAGGTTGGTCTTACGGATGATACCTATAGTGTGCCTCTAAAGCGTGTACAAAGCATCTGACTTTAGAAAAAATTAATTAGGATGTCATGTTTTAGTTCCCAGAGCAGCCAGTCTTCTTCATCATCCTCTTCATTGGCTTCAGCCGATACTGCTGCAGACCTGCAGGACCAATGCAGCAAACTTCGGGAAATTGTTGACAAAATGGTGACAGCTGTTTGTTGTTTCTAAATGTATTAGCCTTGACCTCATCATTGTAGCAAAGACTATTGAATACTGTGTGAGAAAGACAAACATCCTGTCTCAGATATACAGGCTACAAAAGACTTTCAGACATCAATAAAACAATTCCCTCATGAAATACTGTATGTAGTCAGTAAAATGGTTAGAAAACAAAAAGTGACTGAACAATGAGAGGGCTATGGTTTAGCAATGTCACCATGTATACGGATGTGTATCACTTCAATCTATCGTTTAAATATTGTGCCAGGTTGCTATTGTAAAAAAGATGGAGCGTTTGATGACATCACAGCGAGGCCTTCAGGATTTGGAGGACTTTCAGTTTGGACCTGAAGGCAGAAAAGTTCCGCTGTTTCACACATGGAGCACACAGCAGTTTGGTGAGTGACATCAGCACAAGCTAATGACTGATGTCATCACAGCCATGATCATTGTAACATTTTGTGTTTCTCAGTGGCGTCATCCGACATCCTCTGTGAAGCATTCCAACAGGAAGTGAAACTGAAGCAAGTCGTCCTGCAGGAAGTGGCTCACAGCACGAACTCTGACCTCTGTACTGTCTATCTGTCCTGCTGGTTACACCAGCCTTTTATCCCTGCCCACGTTCGACAAACACTTGAAGCACTGCTGCTGGAGACTGGACATCGCCCACTGTGATGTGATCACATGTATCAGCAGTGAGACTGGCAGCATATAGACTGGACTTGACTATTAATTCAGCATACTGTTTAAGTTTATTGGACAAACATGAAATGTGTTCAGTGATCAATACGTTTGACATCAATGTTTATAAAAAGTAATAAAATAGTTTTCCACTTTTTAAATTTTGTTTTTCGACTTATCTACATATAAACAAACTGTTTACAAATTTACAGGTCACTTAAAACCAACAATGACATCAATGAAGAGGAGAAACTAAACTAATCAAAGCGTTGGAAACCCAGTGGGAACACAACGTGACTGTTTATTGATCAATGAGTATTGATCAGGTTACACAAAAGAGCTGGATAGTTTTTGTGTTTAAATATTTCTCTAAATAAAATAGAAGACAACAACATAAGACTAACAAGAGCTGCTCAGCCAAAGTTCTGGGTTCAAAAGATAACCTCCATATGTAGGTGCAGTTCCTAGTCCTGATCCCTCACTGTACTCTTCAGAGTTTACTGAGAATCTCTGGTTCTGTCCGATGACTCGATTCCCAGTAAGGCCTGGACTGCCTCCAGAGGAACACCTTCAGGATTCTGGATGTGCATGGTTGTTCCATCTGGACCATTGACAATGACAATCTGCTCAGTTCCAGGTTCTGCCAGTTGGACAGTTAACCCTTCTGTCTGGATGTAGATCTCTTGTCCCTCCTGAAGCTCTTTGGCCTCAGAAATATCTGTTTTGCTTGATTCATTTTTTTGGATTAAACCATGTGTGTGGACAGGTCCAGACTCAGGATCTGGAGTTTTAATGTCTTTGGGTTCCTTAGTTTGAGCATCCACATTGGAACTGCTTAGGGCCTGGACTGTATCCTGGTCCTGGTTTGCAGGAACAGACTCCAACTGTGCACCCGACTGGGAAGGCACCTCCATAGCCACCTGTTTCACTGGTTCCTCAGCAGGACTGACCTCCATTGCTGTGTCAGGGGCTGGAGTCTTAACAGAGGAGCTGCTGTAAAACAGACATTTCTACATCAGAAGGTTCAGGTATTACACATCATATTATGCAGTCCCACCTTTTACATTTAAAGTACCTGGAAGAAGTATTGGTGGACACCACCTCTTTGGATCCTTCTGGTATAATAAGAGGGGACACAGAGACAGAGCAGGACTTCAGAGGTGTGGTAACAGAGGTGCCAGGGGTGACAGAGGTCAAGGTTTGTGTACCTAAAAGGTGGAAATAAGTGAAAACAAGTTAAAAAAATAATTTTGTTACAAAGTAGTAGTGAGAAGGTTGAGCTGTGGTTCTTACTGAAAACCATACTCATACCTGTTCCATTGGACTCAAACCCATTCTGCTGAACTGAAACACTGTTCTCCATCTTGAATCTCTTTGATGGAGGAAGCATCTTAGAATTCTGTAAAAATCATTTTAAATTAGACTTAATCTAGATCAGCAGCTAAGTACTTGAACCAGGCCTGAGAGAATGTTGAGTTAAATAAAAAAATAATACTACTAGTAAATCCTTAAAAAAAACAAAAAACCCCAAACAAACCTCAAATCTAATTTTAATTTAGCAGTGACTTTACCTCCATGTATCGGACGTTCTTAGTGGGCAAACTAGGGGCAGGAGATGCTCCAGGAACAACCTTCATTTTGTTCACCTCATCCAGGATCCCCAGAGACCTTGCAACCTGAATCAGAACAGTATTCCAGGTTACTATTCTGATGTGGTTTGAATGGTTATTGTGACCCTTAAAGGACCTCACCTCAATATTTGTAACCTCCAGAGGTGTAGCTCCAGCATGTGGGCTGACAATATAATCCTGGGCAGCTTGTTTCACCTGAGCCTGCAAGGATTCGTACTCACGGTAAATGTCAGGAAATCGAGTCCGAGCTGGTCCGCCGCCCTCCACCTATAGGCCAATGCACAGAGAAGAGGATTTCAGGAGAGCACAGTTCCCACTACAACTCTACATCAGTGCATCACTGACGGCTTCACTAAACCACAATCAGAAGAGCTGAAGTACCTTTGCCAGCAGCAGCTCCCACAGACTCAGCACTTTGGTCAAACGAGGAAGAGTGATGTCCATCAGCTCCTCATCATCACACTGGTCCACCAGCTGGAAGATCATATTAATCATTACAATGTTCTAGCAGAGAGAACTTCTTATAATTTCTCTCTCCTGTCTCTCTTACCTCCTGGAGTCGCTCACGTCTCCTTTCAATCTGTTGTTCCAATGTCACAGTGAGCTTAGGAGGTCGACCCCTGCGTCCCCGCCTGCTGACAAGGCCGGTCATCTGAGAAAACAAACCCAGTACAAATAGTAATCAGACAGTGAAGATGTGTCCAAAGACACATGTCACTGAAGTTATATTTTTGCTTATCCAGGTGTAAATAACGACAGTGTTTTTTCCAATGAGAAAATAAGTGACCGATACTTACTAAAAATGAAGAATAACCATCAACTCACCTTAGGTGGTGGCACAAATGGTCGGCCACGACCCCTTCCCCTACCCCGTCCTCTGCCTCGACCCCGGGGCCGGCCAGGGCCTCTGTGATGAAGGGCCCTTAGCCCTAGAGGTGCCGCTGGACCAGCTTCCACCTGAGAACAGACAGGAGCAGGCAATAAATGTCCAGCACTAAGATAGTCAGTCCCAACACAACAGGGTGTTTTTGTGTTCTAATACTTGTACAAATACTCTTCAAGAAAAAAAATGAATAAAGTTGATAAAATATGATTATAATTACAGTAACACAAATCCAGCATCTTTGTCCCAGCTGATTTTATCTTACCCTGTTTGTTGCCATGGCAGCTGGCTTGTCCTCCTCTGTGACTGTTGTCTCCTGTGATTGGCTGGTATCTTTCTGTGTGTTGCTAGGCTGATCATCAAGGGGCACCGGGTCTCCGTGGCTGGGGTTCAGCTTGTAGTGACGATTCAGGCCTCCTGGCCCAATGTAGGCCTTATCACATGTCTGACAGCGGTGGCACCGGGATTTGTGGCTGTATGTGAGTGTGGGAGAGGAGCCGTCCTTTTTCTTACCATCCTTCTCCCCCTCTTCTTCCTCCACACTCATGTCCGAGTAATCATCAGAGTCCGACTGGTGGCTCTCTGCCAGATCCTCTGTCTTTATGAACATGTAGTCTTTAGCTTTGTACTTTGGAGGTCTAGAGACTCGACCAGATCTGGTCTGAACCTTCACTAACTTCTTATCTCGTTTCTTTAACTTTCTTTTTTCTTCCTTTCCTTTTTCCTTGTCCTTAACTGCTGGTGCTGCCGAGGGCTTTGGCGCTGCAGGAGGCGTGGCCACAGCAGTGGGTGTGGCCGTCTGTGCAGGTGCTGCCGTGTTGAGAGCCAGTGGTTTAACAGGAGTTTTACTAATGGCTGTTATGGTTTTGTTACCAGGGCTTTTAATAATCGGGACACTGACAGTAGGAGTGGTGGGTGTGGTGCCGAAGGTGGAAGGGGTCACAGCAGGTTTTGGACCAGAGGCTGTGGATGTTGATGTAGTCGGGCTTGTTACCTTGTGAACCAATGGGACAACAGAGCCTATTACTGGGGTTGGTCCCTGTAGCACTAGCTGAATAGGTGGGTCGCCTGGATTCTGCTGTAGAAAGAACTGCTGTCCCTGCTGACCAACCACAGGCTGCAGGTGGATAATCTGAGTGCTGTTCATGCTGCCATTGGCTGATAGCTTCACCTGCGGTTGATTTACAGTTATAATTTTTTTTTGTTGAGTGGGACTGGACTTAGTTTCCTGTTTGGGAGGAACCTGGATCTGAATCCTGACGGGCTCCAACTGAAAAAAGAAAACAATACAGCCAGTCATAAATGGCACTGACAAACAACTGCATAATTCTTCTGTGAACATGAAATAGATATTTTTTGTAATGTAAATCTATAACACAAAAAATATTAACAAAGTCTATTGTGAGAAAAGATAAATGATTGCTCGTACACAAAACTAAAAAATGGTAAACAAGTAAAAAAAAAAGGATTTACCTTATGGTCACGTAATGTGACACAAAACTGCTGTTCTTCATGTTTTACTGAAAATACCAAAGACCTGTCCCCACACCTGTCTGTCCACCTATTGTATTTATAATCTTCCGACTCACAGTATGGTCAGTGCAAGACTGAACTAGGAATGACTCTGGGTTGCCACCCACCTTTTTTTGGACCACCTGAACGGTACCACTGGTCTGCATGGCGACTTGCTGGGCTACACTCTTCAGTTGCTGGGAGGCATTGGTCAGTGTCTGCTGTGGAACCTGGACCTGGACCTGCTGGGGGACCTGCACTTGGATCAGCTGTGGAGTCTGTGCCTGTTTCTGCTGAGGAATCTCAACATGAACTTGAGGAGGTACCTGCTTTGGCTGTAGGACTTGGTCTTGAACTTGTTGTTGTTTGGACTTGGTCACTTGGTTGATGACCTGCTGCAGCTGACTCGGGTCCAAAGCCGTATTCTGGACCGTGGTGGTTTTGTTGGGCTCGTTTTTGTTGATTTGGTTCTGCTGGAGAAGCTGTGCGGCCTCGGTGTCTGAGACCTGGATCAGTTGTTGCTTAGCGAGCTGCTCCAACAGAGCCTGCTGCTCTTCGGCCGTCAGTCCAGAACCGTCTAACAAGGTGCCATCCGGCTGAACGTAAATTATTGTGGTGTTGGCCAGGTCAGGACCTAGACCGCTAATTTCTGAGCCCACAATGATGTTTTGTTCTTCCAGGCCTCTTTCTAAAAAGTCCACCAGCTGAGTTCCAGATCCTGATACTGAACTGTCCGCGCAGAGTGCGCCCTCAGCTCCGGCAACGCTTTCTGAACTGTCTCCGCAGATAGCGCTCTCTGCTTCCATCACAATTTGTGAACCGTACTCGGGGGGTGCTGCCGTGTTGAGAGCCAGTGGTTTAACAGGAGTTTTACTAATGGCTGTTATGGTTTTGTTACCAGGGCTTTTAATAATCGGGACACTGACAGTAGGAGTGGTGGGTGTGGTGCCGAAGGTGGAAGGGGTCACAGCAGGTTTTGGACCAGAGGCTGTGGATGTTGATGTAGTCGGGCTTGTTACCTTGTGAACCAATGGGACAACAGAGCCTATTACTGGGGTTGGTCCCTGTAGCACTAGCTGAATAGGTGGGTCGCCTGGATTCTGCTGTAGAAAGAACTGCTGTCCCTGCTGACCAACCACAGGCTGCAGGTGGATAATCTGAGTGCTGTTCATGCTGCCATTGGCTGATAGCTTCACCTGCGGTTGATTTACAGTTATAATTTTTTTTTGTTGAGTGGGACTGGACTTAGTTTCCTGTTTGGGAGGAACCTGGATCTGAATCCTGACGGGCTCCAACTGAAAAAAGAAAACAATACAGCCAGTCATAAATGGCACTGACAAACAACTGCATAATTCTTCTGTGAACATGAAATAGATATTTTTTGTAATGTAAATCTATAACACAAAAAATATTAACAAAGTCTATTGTGAGAAAAGATAAATGATTGCTCGTACACAAAACTAAAAAATGGTAAACAAGTAAAAAAAAAAGGATTTACCTTATGGTCACGTAATGTGACACAAAACTGCTGTTCTTCATGTTTTACTGAAAATACCAAAGACCTGTCCCCACACCTGTCTGTCCACCTATTGTATTTATAATCTTCCGACTCACAGTATGGTCAGTGCAAGACTGAACTAGGAATGACTCTGGGTTGCCACCCACCTTTTTTTGGACCACCTGAACGGTACCACTGGTCTGCATGGCGACTTGCTGGGCTACACTCTTCAGTTGCTGGGAGGCATTGGTCAGTGTCTGCTGTGGAACCTGGACCTGGACCTGCTGGGGGACCTGCACTTGGATCAGCTGTGGAGTCTGTGCCTGTTTCTGCTGAGGAATCTCAACATGAACTTGAGGAGGTACCTGCTTTGGCTGTAGGACTTGGTCTTGAACTTGTTGTTGTTTGGACTTGGTCACTTGGTTGATGACCTGCTGCAGCTGACTCGGGTCCAAAGCCGTATTCTGGACCGTGGTGGTTTTGTTGGGCTCGTTTTTGTTGATTTGGTTCTGCTGGAGAAGCTGTGCGGCCTCGGTGTCTGAGACCTGGATCAGTTGTTGCTTAGCGAGCTGCTCCAACAGAGCCTGCTGCTCTTCGGCCGTCAGTCCAGAACCGTCTAACAAGGTGCCATCCGGCTGAACGTAAATTATTGTGGTGTTGGCCAGGTCAGGACCTAGACCGCTAATTTCTGAGCCCACAATGATGTTTTGTTCTTCCAGGCCTCTTTCTAAAAAGTCCACCAGCTGAGTTCCAGATCCTGATACTGAACTGTCCGCGCAGAGTGCGCCCTCAGCTCCGGCAACGCTTTCTGAACTGTCTCCGCAGATAGCGCTCTCTGCTTCCATCACAATTTGTGAACCGTACTCGGGCTGAGCACCCTCAACTCCGGTCATACTCTGTAAACTGTCTCCGGGCGGACCAGCCTCAGCTCCGTCCACACTCTGTAAATTTTCCGCGGGCTGAGCACCCTCAGCTCCGGCCACACTGTGTAAACTGTCCTCGGGCTGAGTATCCTCAGCTACAACCACATTCTGTACGCCTTCCGCGGGCTGAGCGCTCTCACCACTGGCTGAAGTCGCCACATCATCCGGAGGCTCAGTGTTGTGAGCTCCCTCAGACTGGAAACATATAACGGCGGGAGACTGAGTTATTGTTCCCATCGAACCGCTGTCATCCTCGTTGTCCGCCATTTTGGCTGCAAAGCTAACCGTTAGCGTTAGCTAAGATTTGTTGCTAGTCGTTTTTTGTAGGGCCGAGTTAACGTTAGTGTTATTCCCAGTGCAATATTACTTATATTGCACGAGTGCGTACAGGATAATGAAACGTTCCGCTCGGTTGGTGACGTCAGGATCGGAACCGTAATAACGGCAGCAGATCACGGATTAGCGGGGCAGTTTTGAACTAGCTTAGCTTAGCCCTCAGAGGGAGCAAAGCATGGACTGGAGTAATGGTGGATTAGGGCTTTCTGTGTGACTTGCCAGTTTACTCTTTCACATTAAAGGACGGATCCGGTTTCCATGTTTTAGAACTGTAGTATATTATTTCCGTTTCCGGTCGTGTTTTTTTATTTTATTTTATGTCTTGGCGTTATTACGTCAGTTCGCAAAAAACAACTATGGTTCATTGTGCTTCTGGTGTGATTTACAAAAGCTGCATTAAATCGGAAATAACATTTTAATTATATTTTTTATGTGACCGACAGGTGGCGCAGTTTGTTGGTGCAGCTCAGCAGCATCAGTATGACGCTTTTCAGGGCTACGTCTCGCATGTGTCTTTCTCCAAAGTCGCTCCATTAAACATCTACAGAAACATCTGGAACATCTGAAGACGGAAGTGTCAGTAAGTGATTAGGGAGGGTTGTCCTGCTGCTAACGTTAACTGATGCTACGTATCATGCTAGCTACAATTCGCTTCGATAACAGCTATAAATTGCTCTGTTTATATGTTATGTGACGATCACTGTCAGCTTCGATGCGAAGAACTCTTAGCTGCGTCAACATCGCTGTTTTGCACTGGTGTCGTTGCAGCGAAACCTCTTTACACAGCTGTCAAATTTTGTTTATCTGACGTCACACGGGGCATATGTGATGTCAGACGTGGTACATACGTCTGTTTGGTGAGTTTGGTGTTTATCTCTTCAACAAAACAGCTTCCCTAGTCCTGAATGAGCAAAATGCTACAGGAAACTGGAAAGTGATTACACATGAACTTGTATTATTGACCTTAAATGACCTGAAATGTAACAGGAGATTACGACGCGGATGTGGATCGGTAGGTGCTGATGGTTAACGCAAAACCACAATTTGCATTTCAAAGCGTATATGAAGGGGCTTGTGTTATGGAGGACATATCACCCTTACCAAATAACATAAATGGAAGTGGCTATCCTTAAAAAGGGCACCAGCAGAAAACAATGCATTTTATATGATTTTCGTTCTGTGACAACACGCTCTTTAAAATTAATATATTTTTAAATTACATTTTTGTGCTTACTTTCAGCCGAATAAATCTATGTCAGCAGAAATATGGCGACGCAGCCAAGCTCGCCAGCCGTCCTCCGAGAGTTCTGTCCGCTGTACTATCTTCTAAATGCCATTCCAGCCAAGGTAGGAACCCCGATACTGACATTTACAGTGTATTATTAAACAAATATTTATGATAACTTGGCAAATAAGAAAAAAATACCTTCAGCAGCAACATCATCACTTCCCGTCGTTGTCACCATTATTCAAAACCTAGTCAATTAAACCTTAAAGACACTGTAACTACAGCCTAACCTCCAGGACTATCAGAAAAACAAGATAATGGAACTCATTTCCCAATTTGGTGTCAGCCAGCCTACAAGCAGCACATTATTTGCTTTATGAGTGCTATAGAATTGGTGGATGCAGTGTCCAAGGATGTCGACATCCAGTGACCACGATGTCATCCACAGGTGCAGCGGGGATTTCGCTCCGTTATTGTCTACTTGACTTGTCTGGACAGCAGCAATGACTTTGTGGCTGTGGGCAGCAGCATCGGGATGCTCTATCTCTACTGTCGCCGTCTTGCTCACATGAACAAGTACAGCGTGGAGGTTTGCAGCCACTCTTCTTTTTGTCTGATGTTTACAACTATCGCCACAGAGTCCTCTCATATCTGCGTGAAAATGTGTTATAGGGCAAGTGCAATGTAATTACGGCAGTGAAGCTGCTCAGCTGCTTCGACGATCTGGTCGCAGTAGGAACAGCTTCAGGGCGGGTAACAGTTTTTCAGCTGGTGTCGCCCCTTCCTGGTCGTAACAAACAGGTGAAACGGGTACTATACTATGATTAGCTGCCACTTTGTCTGTCTGTCTGCATGTGTAACCCCTCTGTTTTCTGGTCTCTCCATCTGCAGTTAAGGCGTTTTGATGTTGTTGGCCTTCACAAAGGTTCAGTGACATCACTGGCATGGAGCACCAATGGGATGAAGCTTTTTTCTGGAGACGATAAAGGACGAGTCGTCTTCTCATCTTTGGATCTCGACCAGGTGATGATGTTAAAATGTGATTTTTATTTTCTTTTTTATAAAAAATGTTATTCTGTTACAGATGATAAATATGTTGCTACATTTTGTCCATATATGTGAACTGTTGTGATTGCATGAACAGGGTGTGTGTAATCCCGTGCTCCTATTGGACGAATCCTCGGGTGTGGTTCAGATGGAATACAGTCACCAGGTGTTGCTTGTGTCAACGCAGCACAGATCTCTGCTTTACTGCACGCAGAAACAGGAAGTAAAACAGCTGGGCACAAAACCACGGAAGAGGTTAATTTATTTGTGTTTTCTGTACCTACATACTGATACACATATCAGTACTTGCATAAACAGTTTCAGTTTTGTACATGTTGCCAGTACAGGACAGATGAATACTTTACCTGTATGCGTGTGTTATAGTAGTGGCAGGTTTGGCGCCTGCTTTCTGCCGGCCCTCTGTAAGCAAAGTGATGTTCAGATGTTCGCTGCCCGACCTGGAGTCAGACTGTGGAGGTGTGACATCACAGGTCAGGTGGAGGAAACATGCCAGCTGAGGCCACTGTTCAACACACAGGTAAAACTGCATCACATGAGCACATACAGAATGTACACTGTCTGTTTCTGACCTGTCTGTTTGTTTGCCTGTGTTACAGGTCCCTCAATTTGACTTATTTCCTAGTTCAGAACCAATCAGAACATATCTTCCATCAGACAGACAGTTGGGTCTGCTGAGTTGTTTCTACAGACATGGATGGATTCTGAGCTGGAACGAGTACAGCGTTTATGTTGTGGATGTTCTGAACCAGGTACTGCCCGAAGAATGGAAGGGTTATGCAGATGCCCTGCCACAAAGTTGCATGGGAACTAGCAGTGCCACAGTTCTGCAATAATACTAAACACACAACAGCATTTCTGTCAAAGATGTCTTATTTATGACTGGCCTTGTTGATGATGCATTCAGGTCATTGTCGGAGCACTTGAGAGCAGCGGAGACATTGTATCAGTGTCTTGTTGTGACAATGAGATCTTCATCCTTAAAGGAGATAGAGACATTATCCGTGTATCCAACAGTCCTGAGGGACTGTCTTCCAACTGTGAGTAATGCTGTCGCTAAGAGTACTAGATAGAGTGCACTGCTGTGGTTATTACACTGTGTAGTTCACTCAACCTGTCTGGCTTTAATATAATTACCTAATTACCTTTGGTTGTGTAATTGTAATCTGATTACCTTTAGTGTCAGAGCTTTCTGTCCGTCTATCGTCACCTCTGACAACACCCACCATCATTCCACCTACTGGATTGGTGGAAACGGCTCAACCAATCAGAACCGTGCCTATCATCGCAGAGGCTTTGGACAGACGACATGGAGGGGCATGGAGGGAGGGGCAAGTGGAAAAAGATGATAAGGAGGATGATGAGGAAGCAGAGGAGGCAGAGGAAAGAGAGGAGGTAACGCTACGGTACTAACTGAACTGGAGTCTGTTTGTGACAGATCTTTGACTGGTTTTGACTCGTTATCTGTGATTTATAGGTGATGAGCCAGTTTTCACGGCGGCCATCTTTGCTAACAAGCTCCTCTCACAGTCGCAGTAGCTCTATCACTTCCTGGGATAGTCACCATGGAACCTGTCCAGTGTCCACATCCTCTGAGCTCAGTTCCAGACGCTACAGCGCCCCTTTGGGTCAGGAGGAGATGCAGCAAGAACTAGTGGTGAAGGCAGTAAAAGTAAAGAAGAGGAGAAGACGACAAGGTGAGGACAGATTTTGGAGATACTGAGAGACTGAGATGTAGACTAAAGGACTGACAGCAGAGACTGTTTCTTGTATACATTCTTGTCCTCAGACAGCAGCAGTGGGTCTCGACTTTCTGACAGCAGTTTCTCAGACCCTGTGCCGGAAGACCAGGACATTGCCAGGAACAACATTTGCTCAAATGCAGTGTTGGGGGTTCAGGACGGTGAAGGTAGACCTCCTCCCATCAACCGGGTTGGCCTCATGTGGTTAAATCTTCAGAAGCCAGACCAAGACACAAAGGAGGTTGGAGGAGGCGTTAAAGATGCACAAGAAAAAGACTCTGGGTAAGTGTGGAAGACATTAAGTCATATGGGTCACTCCTGTCCTCCAGTAACCTTTTTGTCTCAACCCCTTTTTTCTTAGTTTTATTTTTTTCTCCACTTCCACTGTCCCTCTAAGGTCCGTAATGATGGAAAAGACAGAGGTGGTTCCACCAACTCCAGATGTAGATCTTCTGCTGGAGTGCACCTTCTCATATTTGCACAAGACTGAGGACAATGATGAGGAAGAGCAGCAGCCAATGGAGGAGCAGGAAGACGAGTATCTGAGCCCTCTGATTCAACCAGAGGAGGATGAAGATGATGAAGAGGAGGTGGTGCATTGTTTCATTTCTGTTAGAATTTGTAGTTGCTAGATGTAATGTTCTTCCAAAGACTTACATGGTGCAGTCCATTTTAGACTTCTAAGAATTCACACTTCCTTTGACACACAAGTATCTCAGCTCACGTCAGACGGCGGACTATCACACACCAACTTCAACCTTTACAAGATATCCTCCGCCCACCTCAGATAGTTAAAAGTTTGTTGAAACCTGTAAGATTACCTTAGAACTTTAAAGAAAAGCTCTGAAAGCCCTAAGGTCTCCTTCAATCTTTTTGACCTCCTGAGACGACCTTTGTCTGACTAGTCACCAACCTCTTTAACTTGTCAGAAGACTTTTGTAATTAGTGAACCTCCATGACATTCTTGTTAGTAGAAATTCATTAGTGAATCTCACCTTATGTCCTGATTGTTTGTTTACAGGTTGTCAAAACAGTGCTTCCTGCTGGCCATGGGGACCAGATGTTTTACTCCACTCTGTCCACTCTGGACAAAGAGTCCACGTTGTCCAGCGATGAAGATGGAGACATTTACTGCCACAGAATGCAACCCGCTGGTAACACTGGAGATCCAACCTGTTCACCCAATCAGAGGGAGACCTCAGACCCACAAACAGACACAGACACTTTGTGCAAAGACAGAAACAAGTCTAATCAGGTATTAAAAACATTTCCCACTAAGTGGTAACAGATGAGTTTAACAGTGAGACTGATTAACCTTTGTCATTGTAGTTGGCAGAAAGTTGGATGGGATATTCAGGTCCAGGATGTGGAATCCTTAACCTGCAGGTGACAGACAGGTGAGTTTCCATTGGAAGGGGTTCGAAGCATGACATGTTTCAACAGGTGTCCCACTGGTGTCTTTTATGTCGCAGGTATGTTTGGTGTTTAGACTTTAAGGGAGGACTGTTCTGTAGCACTCTGCCTGAGACTGGACTCAACTGGCAGCGGTTTGAAGATAACGTCCACCAGATGGCAGTATCGCCCTCTGGTAAGTTACTGACATTACATATGGCGTTCCAGTTGACATCTGAAACATCTTGAAAATGTGTCATTTATAAATGTATATGGTGTGTGTGCAGATGTTAGTACTCCTGACTGCTAACTGCAGCGTCAACTCTCCAACAGGTAACCTACTTTGGAAGGTGGAGCAGAAGACTATGGTAGCATTTGCTTGTGCTAAAGTGTTGGCCAAAGGAAAACGTCACTGGTACAAAGCTGTGGAACAAACAGCCTTCGTTGCTCTGAGTGATGACTCTGCCTGGATCATCAGAACCAACGGTGACCTCTACCTGCAGACAGGTACAGTTAATACTTCCTGTGAGTTCCACTGGATCCATGTTGTTTTGATACAGATATCCAAGCAACCTGGTATAGTTTTTACCTGGACATGCTATATGCTAAAAAGCCAGTCTTTCCATTATGGGCCTGGTTATACAATATAAGACCTGTGTAAATATAGGGCTACTAATTGCTTAATGCAGTTCATTCGATTTTTATATCTTGAAATTTTAAACGAGAAACCTGGTTTTTGATGCATACACATTCCGCTCTGTCCCTCAGGTCTCAGCATGGACCGCCCCTGTGCCCGCTCAGTGAGGGTGGACTCACCCTGTGTCTTTAGTCAGGTGTGTGTGCAAGGAGGTGTGGTCTGGGCTTTAAGCGAACACAAAGCCTTGTTCTACAGAGAAGGAGTGAGCAGTTACTGCAGCGAGGGCGATGGCTGGAGGTCGGATACTGTCAGGTACTACTTTTACAACTGCACTGGTACCAGTCTGACATATACCACTTGCATTAGCAGCACTAGTATAACCACCCCAGAGCACCACTACTGCTATTACTGAAGTACTACAGCACTTCTACTACAGAAACTGTAGGAATACATCCTCAGTATTACTTTTATTGTCATACATCTTCTGATTGTGTGTCAGTGAGGCTCAGGGTCTGGATCTCTTGTGCGTTGCCCTTGGTGGTGGAGGTACAGCATGGGCTTTGGACTCTTGCGGCGGATTGTGGTTCAGGACTGGGATCAGTGCTTCCAGACCACAAGGAGAAGATGAGCACTGGTGGCAGGTACCAAAATATTTCCCAATCCTTACCAGTAGGGGTTTCTACGCTGTTTCTGTTTGACTGTCTTCCATCTGTCTATTGCCCTTTCATTTTCACCTAGATCAGCATTTCGGACTATGTGGTCTTCGACCAGGGTAGTTTGTTCCAGACTCTGCTGCAGGCCACACAGAGTGTTGCCACAGTAACCAGAGCACCAATGGATCGGGTTGTGGCTTTTCTGTCTCAGTACTCTCAGTGTCAGCCAAGTCTGGTCAGCGCAAATTCTAGCGGTGTCTGGGTGGCATCTGGACGTAATCAACTGCATCTGGCCCGTGGCAGCCTTGTTGGTCAGTAGAGTCCAGCATCGACCTTTAAATTAATTGTAATTTGGGGGGAGTGGGACTAGTGGTAGTCATTCAGTGGATTTTATTAAATTAGAACAAAGCCTCATATGTGTGCGCTTCCTCGTCCTACACTCAACCCAAAAGAATCTTTTTAGAATTCATGGGAGGAAAGTAGAGCCAAGTGAGGTGTTTTCATGTCGAACAAAGTCCAACGGATTCAGTATCTTTAAAATGATGTAAGGTTCATTGAAGACCAGGTCAGTAGGCTTCATTTATGTAGGTGTGACCTCAGACCAGCAGAGTTTAGTACTATGGAATAGAGCAGAGAACACCACAATCTGATTGATGTGTTGTTTTTATTTTAGGAACATTCTGGCAGAATGTAGTTCCCAGAGGAACTGTATCATCGACTCGATGGACCTTCATCACATCGTCACCTGTGCCTAACAGAGAAGGTAAGGCAGAGATTTGACTCCAATCCTCTGTGATACTTTGCATTAAAGTCACCTGATGTTCTCTGTGGTGCACAGGTACATTCCTGTGGTTGGCTCAGAGCAGGAAGGACTTGTTTTGTGTTTGGGATCAGGACGGAGAGCTTCGCCCCTCGTCAGTGCCTCTGCCACCTGAGGTAAAAAAAAAACCAGAACACTTTGTGCTGTATCTGCTGTTATGGTTTCTACTGGTGTGTGACTTTCAGCTGTGTCCTTAAGGTGGAGCTCACCCACCTGTCAGCATGTCGGGACGCTCTCTGGGGATTGGACTGTCACGGACAAGTTTTTATCCGTCCTCTGTCTCCGTCCTGTCCCACTGGGCTGCACTGGACACACCTGGACCTCAATCAGCTGGGTATGGACCTGAGTCTGGATCATGTTTATAGTTTCACATACCTTTGTGTTCATATCACACATAGAGTTTATATGCATGGTCTGTGTTGGTGCAGACTGAACCAAAACATGGACAGTCATATTTATTTTATTTATCATAAAGTTACCCCACATCAAATCCATGCTCACGTTGTAGCAGAATCTGGGGCCTATAGACTAACATGCAGACTGAGGTGTTATGTCTGTGTACCATTACGTAATTCACTTCACACGGTACAGATACACACACACTGACAGACAGCTGTGTTTTTCTGTCAAGTGGAAGTTGTGTAATGTAGATGTTGTATTTCTGTGCAGCCCTGTGTGTGTGTGTGTGTGTGTGTGTGTGTGTGTGTGTGTGTGTGTGTGTGTGTGTGTCCCACTGTAACCTGACTGTTAGGTCAGATCTGTTTTTAGTTGCTGTGCCCTTCTCACTGTCACAGGGCACATGATTTCAATGTCGGTCATTCTGTCCCTTTCTGTTTCTGTCTTAGTCTGTCGATCTGACTACATTTCTTTCCAATTCCTTTCTTTCGCTCTCTGTCACATGTGCTTTCTCTCTCTCTCATTTACTTTCACTTTCCCCTTTCCCCTAAAAAGTAGCAATGCAATTCTCATCAAAAACATTCTTTTACTCGACTGTTTTCATTTGAAAATATTGAGAACGACAAACGTATTTTTAACATAAACACGACTTTTTAGAATATGCAACACTGTAGAAGGGGAATGTGGTTTGCAGAGTTGCTCACACACTAACAATTAGAACAAACACAAACCAGGCGGTGACAACATAACTTTGAGAACATGATTGATGACGTCACAGCCGTGAGATGCCATACCTTCAAATGTCAAAGTGTGAGGTCAGTGTGTCAGTTATGTTTGCTATATGAGGCTTTTTCCTAAAAACAGATTGAGTGGAATCATCTGTGTGTTTACTATTTATTTTTCTTTTCAGGTCAACAACCACCAAACCCTTAATGTTTCCTAAGTTCCTTTAGTAAGTTCTAGTTCTGGTTGCTGTTTATTCCAGGTCCTGTTCGTCTGGTCAGTCTGAGCTGTGGCAGTCAGAATGTCTGGGCTGTTGACAGTCGAGGGGTTGTGTATTTCAGAGTTGGAACACAGCCACTGAACCCAAGCATGATGCTGCCAGCATGGATCCACATAGATCCACCTGAGCAGGTAATTAAGTCCCTGACCAGTCCATAAACAGCATTATCAATTCACCCACAACTCGACTAGTTTAGAAACCAAACACCACCTTTACAAAGTCAACATCCACATGTCAAGATTAGCAAATGACAACCAGCTGTCACAAACAGGACAGGTGGTAGGACAGGTCCCACTGAATGGTACCGTCAGTATTGTTCATTTGTCTCCACAGCCAATGGGAGTGCAGCTGGTCAGTATTCAGACCAGTTCCAATGACCGTCTGCTCTGGGCTCTGGACAACCGAGGGTCTGTCTTTGTCAGAACTGGACTCAGTCATGAGATGCCTGTGGGGACTGCGTGGGAAATGGTGCCAGGTACCAGCACCGTCTGTTGTTCAGACTGTCCACATGCCTGTCTGTCTGTCTAAACACCCGTCTGTCTGTAGGGTTAGCAGTGAGACAGCTCGTCCTCAGCTGTCAAACAGTTTGGGTTCGTTGTATAAATGGAGATCTGGCTCGACGTTATGGAGTTTCTGAACGAAATGCAGCAGGAGATTATTGGAAGAAGATCCCAGGGAGTGCCAACTTTTTAACTGGTGAGACATTTGTAATACTGGGTTTAATTCGTGCTTAAATTTGGCTTAAAGCCCAGTTTATACAAGTATTTCCCCACATCTCTCTCTGACTCTGTGTATCTCTGTTTCATCATCAGTGACTCCAGAGGACGAATTGTGGGCAGTAACTCTGATTGGTGGTTTGTCCCGGCGTCTGACAAAGCTCCTCCCACAGACACCCTGTAGATCCACGACCTCGGGCCCCGCCCTAAGCGTAGATGATGTTGATGATGAATGGGAGCTCATCTGATCTAAGACATCATGCTGAATGCACAGATGCTACGACTGTAATGTGACATCAATGGCTGCCGTGAGAAGAGCCCATGTGGCTGTGAGGAAACATGATAAACTTTTTCTATTTTAATTTAACAAGAAGCACTTTAAACTTGACTTAGACAGCACTAAACCCAACACTGGTTTTAACTGGTTTCAGTTGGTTTCAACAGGTTTTGGTTAAGAAGAGTGTACTCCAAAGTCAACCACACAATTGGTCTGGACTGTAGAAGACTTGGATGGTCTTTGGTAGACTCCGATGTGACTCAGGTGAACCGCGGTGGACTATGGACTATGGCTGTCTGTTAGAAATGGACTTAGCCATCTGCTTCCAACAAAGACAAGTGAAGAATTGAAGACTAAGAAGAGGCCACTATCTTCACCTGTAAGAAGAGGCCAGGTTGACTTCTGTACATCTTCTGTTGTTGCATTAATGACCTACCCCTCCTTTAAATTTGAGCAAACTAATATAAAACTAGTGGTCTAAACCATGAACTCTTAATGAAACCATTCATCAACAATAATTTGCAGAGGTTTCATCTGACCTGCATTTGGCTACATGCATTTCCTTTTTATGGTTTATGGATTGACATACAGTATGTAGTTAAACAAAGATAAACTTTGGTGCATTTTTTTAACTCTGGATATGACACCAATGAACCGGAGTGGATTCTGTTGCTCATTCAGTTCCTTCCCTGATAGGCTTTGTCCTTCTCCACAGCAACTCAGTGGAGTATAATGACCGTTTGATGCTATCCATCTGATCAGCTGATTGGTTGTAGTGTTTGATGTCATTCATTCATTTATTAAACACACTAAACAATAAAACACAACTGGTTCTCTTTTGTCCAGAGCAGATCCAGAGAGGCATAAATGTTCCTACTTTGTGATGTGAAACCTGCAAGTTGACCAAACAAATTGAACAAACCTCCCCATAGCAGGAACGAGACTTTAACTCTTCTAATTGTGCACGTGTAAAATTGAACAGGATCATTCACCATCAGACGTTTGTGACATGAATACATTCAGGATGATCTTTACTTCGAGGTAGAGACGTTCAACTTTTGCACATACATACACAATACAAATGTTTATTTTTTTAATCAATTTATATGTATGAATTCATAAATAACAATGATCTACATGAACCTTTAGAATATTTACAAGAGGAACCAGTGTAAGGTCAGTACAACCACTCATCCCAATACAGGCAGCTTGTTTTGCAAATGTGGATTAGTGTAATTCTGATCTGTGGTTCTGTAGAGCAGCAGCAGCTGACATGAGTGACCATGTGATTGTTGCTTTAGTTCCAGAGGCAAACTACATTTTTGCACCAGCTTTGTCAAAATTAAAACCAAACTACATTTTTGCACCAGCTTTGTCGAAATTAAAACAAATCTCCTGGTTTCTAGATAGTCTAGACATTAAGGAGCTGTTTGGAGAACCCTCACATTACCACCGTCAATCTATACACAGTATGAATTGATGGTGACTTCACAGTAAGAGCAGTATTGTTTGATCAATATTTACATAATTATTATTATTATTCTCCAATTTCTGTAGTCCTGAGTAATGATTCCACAGTAATGTGTTCACTGCCAGCTGTGCGGCTGCAGGAAGCTGGGTAGTGTGCTGATCTGATCTGGGCCAGACTGGGCCAGACACCTGAGAGCCTGTAGCAGGAGTGGAGGTGGAGCCAGGCCACACAGCCAACTGAACACTTTGTTTCCCAGCAGACCTTGCCAGCGACTTGGCTCTTCCTGCATAAAATGTGGTGGCTGTGGTTTAGGCAGAAACAGAAGCAGCAGATCAAGGCAGCGTTGTGCATGACGTTGTTGTGACACCTCGCACGACACCAACATCTGCAGTGCAAGGTCAAGTCCATCAGGCTGTGCCCCATGAACCAGCAGCAGCAACAGACAGTCAGAGCGAGACAGCTCTACAGCCACCTGCACAGCTGTCTTTCCAGCATCTGTGCCATGAGAGCAGCTACCACAGCCGTCCAGAAACTCCTGCTGTTCACTTGACGTAGCAAAGTCTTTCAGCGTCTCCAGCATCATGCTAAGGATGGAGATGCGGTCGTAGCGCACGGCCACACTCAGGTGTGGTGTACCACTGCGGTGGCTGCGACAGAAGCTGCACTGTGGCATCCTCAGTGTGTTGACAGAATAGCTGTTGAGCAGGTAATGGGCGTACTCTCTGTGGTCATGCACGATTGCGTACAGTAGCGCCTCCGATGGCAGAAATGCTCTTGGGCGACCATCCTCCCAACAGAACACCTCCATACTTCGCATGTCCTCCAGCAGCCATACCGGAAGGCCCTCCCTCACCGAGCAGTAGAAGGAGAAGGCAGTCCTTTCACACTGACGTTCCGATGGTGAAGAGGACAGAAGGTCATCTTTAGATGAGAGTAGCCACGGCATTGTGAGATGAGTCACAGTCAAACCTCCAACTACAGCTGCTCAGGTCTTTTATAGTTTTGACCACTGACCACTCCCTACAAAAGCCACGCTCAGGCACCGCCCCCCTGCTTTAGCTCCATGTGTGGATGTTTGGTTTGAGTGCAGGGGCAAAGTGTCTGTAGGGGGGTGGTTTAAATATCAGGGACATTCCGAACATAGAGGACAGGGACAGTGACGTCATCTTTGGGGTCATGTGACACAGTCACACCAAAACAGTGTGTGTGTCTGTGCGAGTAAGTCACAGACTGTGTGTAACTTTAAACTGTACTGAGCCTCAAACCTCCATAGCACTTTGGTTTTTATGTCCACATGAACTCTTCTCTGTTTCTGTTGTAACACACGTCTTATTTTACCATATCTCAACTCAAATCTGGCTGTTTCATTAAGTGTTGCTTAAAATGAAACTCAACTACTAGAGTTAAAATAAAACTAATGTTTTAGTGGGAATAAACCCCAGTTGAAACACATTTTCCAGATTTTCAAAATATTTTAGAGATTTTTACAAAGTATACTTTGTACATATATGGTAGGACAGGGTTGGATTTTATTAACATTGCAAACGTTTCATTCCTTGTTTAAAATATTCAAATTTATGCGTGGAGAGATCAGTTTAAGATGGTGGAAAATTAAACGTAATTGAATATTATTCTATAATACTCCCGCCAGTGGCGTAAAACAACGCCTCTTAGTGGCTTGAGGCTATTCCTGCATTCTGCAAATCGTCTGTTTCTCGACCTGCACACTCTAAAAACAGCGCCTTCTGTTGACATAATTCTGTTCCTGCAGCCTGAATGGTCTGGTTTTCCCCTCCGTAACAAACAGCGCCCCCCGCTGGCCTGGCTCCGTCCCGGGCAGCTGGGGGATTTCCTGGGCGGAAGCAGTAAGGGGGTTTCCAGTGATCAGACCAGTCTCACACTCACAGAAATACGGAGCTAGAACCACGAACCTGGACCTGGATAATGAAGAGTTTATATGAAGTCTGGAGGATCCGTATACGCCGCAGCACCGGCGGGTTGAGGGTTTGAATCCCGGAGAGAGAGAGTCCGCTGCTGAGGGTGAGAGACTGATGAGGGGATGGGAGAGTAAAAGGGTGAGGAGGTGAAACAGTGATAGACTAAGAGAAACCTGAAGACATTAATATAAGTGACACCAAACTTCATCTTACTACTTATCGTCTGTTTGTGTTTTAAATAATCGTGTTTGAATTGTGTGTTGCTGTATAGTGTGAGTGCTGTGTGTTAGCCCTGTGTTATTGGATATGTATTAGCTTTGTGTGTACTATGTGTGCTGTTAGATGTATGTGTATTGCTAGCTGTATATGTAGTCCCAATTGTTTCAGTGTTAATTGTGTTTGTCTTAATTTTCTTTCTTTATATATATATAAATATAGGTATATATTTATATATATTGTAACATAAAGCTGGCTGTAGTGCTAGCTGAGTGTGTTAGCTATGTGTATAGTGTTAGTGGGTGTACTGAAAGCTGTGTGAAGTGTTACCTGTTTGTGCTGGTTTTATGTACATTGTATGGCTAGCTTTATGTGTGATGGATGTGTGTAGTGTTAACTGTGTATGAGGTCTATTGTGTGTGAAGTCATAGCTGGGGCTGTAGATAAATGATTGTGTTAGATTTGTGTGCATTGTTATCTATGTGTAGTGTCTCTACATATATTGTGTTAGGTTTTTATATTGTTAGATCTGTTTGTGTTATTAGCTGTGTGCAGTGTTAGCATTGTGTTATGTAAGGTAAACTATTAGCATCAGCTTTGTGCTTATTGTTAGCATTCGCTAGTTTAGTGGAAAATGGTGTCAGACGTGTGATGCTCACGGTGAGGTGTTAGGTTGTGTGTGCTAGCGTTGCTTTGTCTGCACTGATTGAGTGCCAGCTGAGAGTCAACAACTTCTGTGTGGAGTGATTTTTGCTTTAGAGTAGTGATACATGTCTATAGCGTTACCTGTGTTGGTTATAAGTAGATTGTGCTCTAATAGCTGTGGATGTATTAAGTGTTACCTGTTTTAGCTTTTGTGCAATAAATCAGGTGTTTTTTACTGTGCCACTATGTCTAAATCATATTATCTTTATTGCGCCACCATCTGCTGCACTCTTGTAACTCTAGTTGGCTTGTTTTTCTTAGGTCATGTCAGCAGGGAGGAGTGCTGATGGGAGGGAGGTGCAGATTCCCCTCCAGCAGGCGGCGTCCTCCCTGGCTGCGCCTCTCTCTCTGGCTCCTCCAATAGTCCCCACATCTCACCTCCGCCCTGCCAACCCCTGGCCTGTGAGTGACCCGGGTGCTCCACAAGGTAGTGACTAAGAGAACGTTTGGTTTTGTAACTGTCCAGTAGAGGGACTGAGAGTTGGTTACTGTGTGAGTCTTTTGTTGTGATTTTCATTCTCCCTGTGTGTGTGTTTGTGCTTGAATGTGTTGCAGGTTTCCTGCCTCTTCATGGAGGATTCAGAGATCACTTTGTAGAAACTCCAGAAGCCAAATATTGCTGCGAGGCTTGTCGTTTGGTTCTGTGTCAACCACGACAGACAGAGTGTGGACATCGTTTCTGTCAGAGTTGTATCAACAGCATCCTCAGGTAGACTGGCGTCTGTGTAAAAATGAATGGCTCAATTTGATGTTGCAGTTTCCCTCTGACAGAAGGGTTTCTATCTGTTGTCCTCAGTCAGCCAAACCCAGTATGTCCTGCCGACATGGAACCACTTTTCAAAGACAAGGTGAGCAGAGAGAGAAATAATGATTCATGCCAATTTTTATGGACGAGTGACTGAGCGATCTCTCGTGTTTCAGATATTCAGAGATGTTTGCTGTCACAGAGAAATCATGGCTCTGAAGGTTTACTGTCGCAGTGAAAATAATGGTTGTTCTGAACAAATGAGTCTGCAGCAGATTCCAGTAAGTACAGTACACTGTGAGAGCACGGACATTAGGAAAACCAGAACAGATCTGAGAGGATGACCTGTCTGTCCTTCTGTCCCTTTGTGTCCCTCTTTGCCTCCCTCTGTCTTACTATAGGACCACCTGAATGTGTGTCCGTTTTTTGAGCTTCCGTGTCCTCTGGGAAAATGCAAAGAGCGAATGATGAGGAAGGAGATTCCTGATCACTTGACCTGGAAATGTAAACACAGAGAGACCACTTGTGAGTTTTGTCTCACTAAGATGCCCCTGACCGACCTGCAGGTAACTTCTAAGAGAAATTGCTGAAATAACTGCTCATCTTTAACCTTTTTCTGGGGAATAGTAGTACAGGTACTAGTTACACAGATACAACGACTACTTCACTGCCAAAAAAAAAAAAGTTTACTGTTGTAGAGAATCAGATCCCAGGTATGGCAATAACCTTAATCAGACTAGTTCTAGTTCCTTAGGCAAAGATAGTTCAACATGTCAGCAGTGGTGACCTTAGTGGTTAAGGAAGCGGACTTGGGTCCAGAAGGCTTCAGGTTCGAGTCCACCAGCTGCCAAGTTACCACTGAGGTGCTGTGAGCATGGCACACTCACTGCTCCCCTGGTTCTTAAAGCTGCCCACTGTTCACTTTGGTGATGGGTTAAAAACAGAGGTCACATTTGGTTGTGTGCTGTGTCACAATGACAAGGAGCTCACGTTGAAGTGCTGTAGTTTGACGCCATGTTTTACAGGTCAAGAGACTAGTTTCACTGAAAGAGTAGGTATAAAGTCTACAAGTAGACAATAGTCACAGTTTGCAGGTCAGTCTTGATTCTAGGCTTTTTAACTAAACCCACAGTGACAGAATAAACATACCTGCATCCTACCGTTTGTTAAAATGCAATACAAAATGGACCATATTGATCCTTGATCTTTGTTTTCTCTCGCGTTCACAGTTTTAGTGAAGCTACATCGCCGTCTCAGGCTCTTAGCGTTTCATAAGTTTTGACTTAATGAGTAACAGCAGGTTGTCAAAACTTTTAAAAGCTTCCTTCATCTTGTCGACAGAAACATAAAGAGACAGTGTGCCCAGCATTTCCAGTGTCTTGTCCTAACCACTGCTCCTTCTCCGCGCTGCCTCGCAGTGAGGTACTGACCCATTCCACTCATCACTGACCTGCCTTGATTTCATCCAGTTAAGTCATTCTGTCTTTCTTTCATGTTGTGTTTCAGTTGTCCACTCACCAGCAGGATTGCCCCAAAGCTCAAGTCAGTTGCCAGTTCCACCGTTACGGTTGCAACTTCAAGGTACCTGCTCTAATCCTGTTGCTACAGTTTGTTGGATTTACCTTCACCCTCTTTTTTTAACTGACATGTTGACGTTCACTAACAATCTAAACAGGGATTAAACCAGGAAATGCGGCAGCATGAGTCCACCTTGGCAGCTGAGCACTTGAAAATGATGGGAAACTGGAACTGCTCCTTAGAGAAGAAGGTAACTACAGCAGCCATGAGTTTGGCAATGGCTGCCCCTAATGTATGGTAGGAACTAAAACTTTAGGACACTGTTATCTGTGTTTCCAGGTGGATGATGTTAAAGCGGACTTGATGGAGCGCTATAAGGTGCTTCCTGCTCTCAGCAGCCGACTGTCTGACCTGGAAAACCAGAACGACGAGCTGAAGGACAAGAACCGGCAACTGGAGCAGAAACTAGCAGCCATGCAGGTCTCGTATCTTATTTTTAACACATTCATTTGCTGTGAACCACTGTTCTTTATTCGGATTGAGTCTATCTGTGACTGAATATCTGTCTTGTTCTACAGAAGCTGATGAGCTCTCACTCTGAGAAGCTCCTAGAGGTAGAGCTGGAACTGCGCTCTCTACGTTTGCTCAGAGACGAAGTGGAAAACCTGCGATCAACGCTGGAGAATGTACGCACGCGACTGAATGCTCTTGAACAAGCAGGCCGTAGTGGAACAGGGTCTTCATCGCATACTCTAGGTCAGAACATTGTCATGGTCGGGCTTAAGAGGTCTAAAGCCTGGCTTCAGTGATCGGGGAACAAGTTGATGGGGTCTGAAGACAAGTTGCTGTTGTCCAAGGAATTTGTTACAGTGCTTTGGGAACTGGAGATTTTGGACAACAAACTGGAGTTAAATGTATAGCTGCCGAGGCCTGGGAAAAGACCCAGGATTAGTTGTAAATAGGCTAGTCTAGATCAGTTACTGTAGTCTTTTTAGTCTAATTACATGTTCACACAACGGGTTGGCTCTTGTAGACCATAGAATGTGAGCATGAATAGTTACAGTATATGTGGTCCTGTGATGGACTAGCAAACTGTCCCAGTTGTAACCAACGTGGTATTGGCCTCGCGACCCTTCAAAGGAATAAGTAAATAATGGTGAAATAGTGGCTGAAATCAAGACACTAAATTTAAAGACTAGTCAATGAGGTCTAGGAACCTGTTTCTAGTCCAAAGACTACTTGCTTCAGTCTTAAGATAAGTCACTGTCTTTTCAAAACTAGTTGGTTAAGTGTAAATCCTTGTTTATTGTATGTCTAAAAATTGATTCCTTTAGTCTAGATATTGATTGCTCTATTTTAAAGACAACTTGCTGTAGTTCCAATACTATACATCTTTGGTGACTATAACAGAAGACTTCAGCTAGTTGCTTTGATCTGTCTGACTCTTAAATTCCTTCCTCTTCACAGCCCCCCTGGAAACCCAGCTGAATCGTCATGATGACATGCTGAGTGTCCACGAGATCCGATTGGCTGACATGGACTTGCGTTTCCAGGTGCTGGAGACGGCGAGCTACAATGGGACTCTGATCTGGAAAATCCGCGACTATAAAAGGCGGAAACAGGAAGCAGTAGCGGGAAAGACACTGTCGCTTTACTCACAGCCATTTTACACAGGATACTTTGGATACAAGATGTGTGCGCGGGTTTACCTGAATGGAGACGGCATGGGCAAAGGGACACACCTGTCGCTGTTCTTCGTGGTTATGAGGGGCGAATACGACGCCCTGCTGCCATGGCCTTTTAAACAGAAGGTAGTGTTCACTAAGCCTCTGTTTTGTTTCATTTATTTAAAAAGTCCTACTCCCCTATATGCAGACTGACCAACTGCAACAGTACCTTCTTTCTGTCATGACACTTTGTTGTAAAAATTCATATTTTTCTTTCCAGCAGCTAACCACAACTGTGAACATATTCTCTAGAACATTTAAAAGCAGATGTGACTTTTGCAGGAATCTGTACACAATAACAGTGACACCTGTCTGTGTCTTGATCAGGTGACCCTGATGCTGATGGACCAGGGTCCGTCCAGGAAACACCTGGGTGATGCCTTTAAACCGGATCCAAACAGCAGCAGTTTCAGGCGTCCAGCTGCAGAAATGAACATCGCCTCTGGGTGTCCACTGTTTGTGTCCCAGAGTGTCCTGGAGACAGGCAGCTACATCAAAGACGACACCATCTTTATCAAAGTGCGTGTGTGTATGCTGTTCACCTGTTTTATGCCTGTTTGTGTGTGTGCGCCAGTTGGCCTAATTTCTGTCATGTAATGTGCAGGTTACCGTGGACACCTCTGATCTCCCTGACCCATGAGGCTGTGACCTAAGTGACCTCTGACCTCTGAAGTTACTGCTCTGAGATCAGCTCAAATTCTCATGCCAAGAGCAGAGGTTCATGGGAAGAATTGGCGATGGTTCACCTGAGAGTGATGTAGTTGGAAAGCAGCCGGTCAGAAGACAGAAACTTCACTCAGTCCAGTGGGCAGGGGCCTTCAGTGATGGCTGAAAGATTAAAAAAAACTACTGTTGCCATGACGCCATCATGGTGACATCAAGTGGAGCCAACATGGCCGCTCAGTGTTGCTGCTCATTACTGATGCCATGCATCAAATTTATTTCCTGTTTATTTCCTGGGAAATCCACCACAGCCACAGAGGAGCTCGTAGACCAGAGACCTGGTCCAGTCAGGAAAGGCTATGACAGTCCAGGAGAGACCAGGAGAATTCAGAAGAGTCGTGGACAGACAAGAGAGTTCAGGAAAGGCTGGTAATGATCAGACCAGAAGACAGGAGGATTTACCGTAGGTTACAGACCACAAGAAATCACGAACTCAGGGAGAGTTCAAAAGTGGATGTGAGTCCAGTAGCGTTGCTCCGTTGCTCAGCTGCTCCTCTGTGGCCTCTGCAAGTTTCATCATTGGTTCATTTGCACAGTTTTCAAATGTTTGTTAATGTGTGAAAATAAAGTGAAAACACAAATGATACATTGTGCAGGTTTTTTAACCATGGCTTTTAGCAATGCAATGCTTATGTTCAAGTGTCAAAATTTAGGAGCGCTATAGTGTGATATTCAGAAGTATATAAGAAAAACCACTACAACACCATATGGTGGCCTAAATGGTTAGTGTGATTGCTTCATAGCAAGAAGATCACTGGTTTGCTGGTTCAGTCCCTGTTTTTTTTTTTTTTGTATTGAGTTTCCATCGTTGCTCTTTTCCCCAGGTACTTGGATATTCTACCAGGGTCCAAAAACATGAAAAATGGAAATTCACTTAATCAGTTGAATTACTTCTGTTTTTAAAATGTGCATTTGAATAACGGCTTCTCCCTGATATATATATTTTAAATTCAGCCCTGTGATAGACTGGGGAACTGTCCAGGGTGGGACCACTTTGCCCAATGACTGTTTGGCTTGGCTCCAGCTCCTCTGACCGAAGTCGAATGGAAAAAAAAAATCCCTACATATGTTATTGTTTTAGAGTAAAGTGTTTTATCCACATATTTCTTCTGAAGACAGAAAAAATGTTTTTTCCCATTTCCTCTCTTTTTCGGAAAAGGAGGTATAGATTCCGTATCCAAAAGGAAAACCGCAGAAGAAAAAACTATACTATACCCAGCTACAGAAAAGGCCTTTTTTCCAAGCCTGGATGAATGTAAGTTGTTAGGTCAGAGAGGGAGGAGGCGGCTGTAGCTCAGTGGATAGGGAATTGGACTTCGATCCAGAAAGCTTCATTTAAATCCCTGGCCAAGTCGCCTATCCCAATCCCAAGTTGTCCATTATTTCTCAGCCCTAGAGGACTGAAGCCTAGAAGGCCATCTGGCATAAAAGCAATGCCAAAGCTTTATGCAGATTATTTGTTATGGTGACCTCTGCAAAAGAGAAAGGAGAACGTACAATGCAGCCATTATTTTTTGTATTTATGAGCAAGTTCTCATGTTCAGCAACGTGGTCTGTTGTAAGCCCCTAGTGTTGGTTATTCTAGTTGATTTTTGTTAGGCTATGTCAGCTACAACAAGTGAGTCCTTCACAGGCCATCACATTCTAAATACCTCTCATATTCGTCTACAAATGGCAGACATTTAAGTGGGCGCAGCTGCTCACATTGAACGGTATGTTGTAGTACATTGGGCTACAGCAGGTGTGGGCAAACCTTTTGACTCACGGGCCACAGTGGGTCCCAAAAGAATGACCTGACAAAGAGACAAGTCAAAGGTGATTCTATCTTATAAATTAAAGTGCTCCATTGATAAATGCTGTGACTTCCCCTAGTCGCGGTCGTGGTCATATGACAATATCACATGTCTTATTTTTATTCTTATTTTTAAGACATTTCTGTTTCTTTGTCTCTTAGTTTTCTCTTTCACTTTCTTTCTAACGCAATTAAAATACCACTCCGGACCAGTGGGTGGCGGTAAAGTTCTATTCTTTCGCTAGGTGCTGAAGACGGAGAGGGAAAAAGCCGTAGAGGAATAAACAAGTGCGTAGAAGATGAATGGCCAGTAGAATAAAAACAGGAATGTTTTTGCGGTGCCCTTAAACATTCCTTTTAACCGGCGGATCCAGAACCGGTATCCGCCCTCACTGAGTCGGTGAGTCAAACGGCCACTCTCGGTTTACTGTAGGAAGAGTGTGTGTTGACAAATAAGGAGGGGGGTTTCTTAGTAGGCTAAACTTAACTTCTAACTTCTAGGCTAACAGTGAAACAAATTGACGAGTTTGTTTGGATGATTAACCACGTTGAAAACCGGCTTACCTATACAGGTAGGTAAGTCTATTAGACAGGCTAACTGTTAACCAAACAGTTTAATACACAAAGGCTATCACTTTAACAGGAGTACAGGTCTAAAAGAAAGTGTAACAGATTAGCAGTGCAGTTAAAGACAACTGTAAGCTGCTAGGCTAACAGTTTGAGCGTCTTACAGTTTACCATAAAAGCTAACCGTTTAGGTGACAAGCCAAGAATTTAACAGGCCCATAAAGTCAATAAGCATTTACAATGTCTTTTTAAGAAACTACATTTATTTTAGTTAAACTTTGAAAAATAATTGATGTGATAGATTTTGTCATGTGATTTTCATTGTCATTGTTGTCAACGTCAGTCGTGTCATTGGTATGGTCACAGGTGGTAATGACAAAAATTGTGAAGTAAACTGCAAAAAGTTAACTTATCCTAGCACATAACATCATTTCCTTTGAGATCAATAGCATGGTCGGAGAGTTTAAATCATTTTGTGTTACATCATTTAAAACCAAGTGGAACCGAAGCTCGCGTTGTACACTGTGCAAACATATGCTATTCCGGTACTGTCGATGGAGGCCTCGTCCGTTCTCTGCGATTGGATAGCTGCCATATGAGGTTAGTAATGTGTTTGTATGTTTTGTTCTCAGATGAGATGTTTTTCCTGAAGTGTGAAAGTGCGTCTGTTCAGCTTCTCCGACTGTTTTCTACCAAACCTTTACCAACTCTCACTCTGTTTACTAAGGTAATCAACTGCTCTGATGCAGCATGACATTATAGAAGCCCACATGTAACCAATAAGCAATCAGACTGATCATTGGGTATCATCTATAGGACCCCTGTCCTCTGTGTGACAAAGCCAAAGAGACACTGGAACCATTTAAACACAGAGTGAGTTTAAATCCTGAAACATTGCATCACAAACATGTCCATCATTATGTCCAACATCTCAAATGTGACATGAAAAAACACATTAAAAAACACCTCCAAACATGTGACAATATCTTCAGCTTCACATTGCTAAGTCTAATATCCCATACTTAGAGCAGAAGCTTTAACATGTTAAATATAATATTATATTAATATTATTAACACCTACAGTAACATATCTAGTATGTCCAACCACACTTCCTGCATGTCCAGCATCACATTTAACATCTCTGGGCTCTAAGAATTCTATTCTCTATCAATGTATCTAACACTGTTTCAAAATGCTACCAATCTTCTGTCCAACTGTTATTGTTACTGTTATTATTTTTTTTAAATAATATTTGTGTTCAAGTTATTATTAACTTGGACACTTTTATTTTATTGTCAAGATTATATTGTGACATGCAGAAATGTACTTTGTTTCCATCTACATCCTCTAGTGTAGCTATTTATAAACAGATACAGATCTCATTCATTATGATGTCATTTTGTTGTCCCTCACTTTTCATTTCTGTTTTTCACAGTTCGACCTTCAGCAAGTGGACATCAGTCGTCCAGAGAACAAGTTGTGGTTTGACAGGTACAAGTGGGACATACCGGTTTTCCACCTGAATGGACGCTTTGTTATGAAGCATCGCGTTGACACTGCCTTGATGGAGAAACTGCTACAGGAGGCTGAGAGTGGATAACTGTAAATGTTCAACAATCAATAAACACAACCAATGAACTAACTCCAGTGTCGTTGTCTTCAATCAGAGCTACTCACTGTGATGTCACAGAGAGGCTCCGCCTCCTGTCACAGGTGTGTGGTCATACCTGTCGTAATGTTCAACGTTATTATCCCCGCACATGACACCAATCTCATAGAAATCACCTGACACCATCACCTCATCAAAAATGAACCAGCTCTTAGCCAATCCCAGTGAGCCTTTAGTCATGTGACTGGGAAGTTCACTGGTTGTCATAGTGACAATGAGAAGTACATTCTGTCAGATGGCGTCCGGCAGCTCTAGCAGCGGCAGAGCCGCAGATGTTCATTTGGCTCTTCAGCGTACCAAGAGGAGGTTCAGAGAACTGCAGCTGAATAGCATGTAAGCTTAACTTTAGGTTAGGCAGAATGTATAGGTCAGAATAATGTATAACTGAATCAGATTAATCTTCAGGTTTATCTATTTTGTTATATTTTATTAATCTTCAGGTTTATCTATTTTGTTACCAAATTAACCATTTGTTAAGAGGTCTATGTTCAGAATAATTACTCTAATGACTCCTGTTTTTGAGTAAACCTGTAGTGTGACTCGGGCTAGCTGCTGGTTAAAAGTTGATCAGGTGTGGTGTTGATTCAGAATGTTTTGCTCCAGGTCTGGGTCAGATGACTCTAGGGCTGGTTCAATTTGATTATGGTCTGCTGTGAATCCTGGTCTGCTGATGAACTGATGTGAATCTTGGTTTGCAGGGAAACCAGGTCAGAGATTCCACAAGACATTTCACTGTCAACATGGCTGCCGAGCAAGGACCTCAAGGACTCTCTGGTGGACATGTACTCAGGTAAAGATACTAATACTACGATAGTGTTTAGTACTACTTTTGTTACAGCAATGACTATCCCTACTAGTATTACCACCCCTACTGCATCTCACATGAAGTGAGCTCAGTGACTCTGTGATAAATATATTCACTCAAGTACAGCTGTTACAAACACTATGACAATGTCAATTATACGACTACTACTGCAATTACTAACTCCACTACACTTCAACTGCTACAACTACTTATTTTAAAACTACCAGTGGAAATTCTGCTTATATTACCTGTGTTTTAACTAAGTACCATTACTATTCTTGTGATATTGTTGTTATTAGAACGATTGTTATGATTGTAATAGTTAAATGGCAAACTTGGGGACCACAGTGTTTACAGTTGTGCTGTTGAGTTTTCGCCAGCAGAGGGAGATGTGCTCATTCATTTTGAAAAAAACTGAAGCACACATGATCAATACAGTAATTTGATTGAAATCTGACATGGACTGTGATTGGCTGAAAGATTGCCAATGATAATCTAAAGGTAACTACAATGTTATTTTAATGATCAATCAGATAATTTCAAAATTGTAATTATTGCTAATCACATTGATTATGAATACAATGTTATTTTAATGATCAATCAGATCAGATCAGATTGCTAATCACATTGATTATGAAGATCTGATTTGTTGATGATGATCTCACTGATACAGAAGAACAAATAATAACGTTTGTTACCGTTGTATTGATTTCTGGATGATGTCACTGATTATGATGTCAATTAGTTAATTTTGGCAGATAATCCTTCACCTGTTGTTTTGACTCTTGGCCAGATTGAAGAGTTCTCGGTAACTAAACTGGTTTTTTAAACAGACTTCAAAAACAGAAATTAAACCAAAAGTTTAAGCTTTACATGACTTATGAAATAAAACACAGTCATCACCCAGTGTACATACAAATCTCACACACACACACTCTCTCTCTCTTTTTCTCTCTCTCTCTCTCACACACTGGTAGTAGAGTAGATCAATAATAAGGCTGAATAATACAAAGGCCGAGCCAGGCTGAAAGTGACTGAAGAGAGAAAGGGAGAAAGAGAGAAAGAGAGGTGGTTTGTTAAACTGTTTAATCTGCAGACTGGGTGGTCCACACAGACACACACTCACATGTGCACACACTCACATGTGCACTCACACACACCTATTGTTAGATGAGGGTGGGCTGCAGACTGTTTGAACAGACTTAAGTAGCTGCTGTTCATGGCTGTGTAGGAATGTGTGTGTGTGTGTGTGTGTGTATTATAATATTAAGATAATCCTTAGGTTGGGACTAAATATCAACATTAAATCACAGCCTGCCAGTTTTTTTAATAATCTGAAATGATCTGTTAACCAAAGTATGACTAGTTTGTAAACCAGAGCTGTGTCCTCATTGCTCCATCATGTTACGTACCAATTAAGAGATCAGGTATTTTACAGAACTTAGTTTGACAGTGAGTTTACTGTTCTGTTCAGTGACCAGTTTGTCACACAGTAAAAAACCAGGAGTTTTGCAATCTGTTGATCAGAGTCGAGACTTATTTTTGTCCAAAATTAAATCCCTCACAGAGTTAAAAGTGACCATTCTGTAGTTGGCCCTCCATCATATACACTTCTATGTGTATACACATGAAAACAGCACATGGCGATGTTGTAAGGTTACGTCTGCAGTTTAGGTTACCATGGTGATTAGACCAGTCAAATGAGAGCTGAACATGACACAAACTCTCGCTTTAAACTCCAGATAACTCATTAACCCAGCAAATACTATTACTTTATTACCTCTCTTACCTACTTGTGTCACTTAACTAGCATGGGATACCTTACTTACCCACTTTTTAGTTTAGCCCTCTTTGTATTAGCCCACTCTTAACTACCTTAACTATGTATCTACCTGCCACCCCATTATTTCATCATTACTGGTTGATGTACCTGCCAGACCTGCTCATTTACCAAGTGTTAGCACTAAAATCACTAAGCTACAGATTTCACACACATGGCTCCTCTGCTATCTATTATTCCGACTTGACAAATACATTTTAGTTCACCCGATCAAGGCCTTAACTACTAAAGTAAATCTCAGTCATCAACAGATATTACACACAAATATCATGCAGATTCACCTGACCTGACTCACCCGTCTCATTGGAAACCTGATTTCCACAGGTTACTTGAAAAACACATCATCAACCAGTTAATAGTTAATTATTGTCCTTAACTTACAGTTTCATGTGTATGTGTGTAGTTGTGTGTGTGTGTGTGTGGGTCCTCTCTAAGTTAATGTCAGAATATGAATTCATGTGCGTGATGGCAGTGGTGTTGCCGCAGCGTTGTGGCGGCGTGGCGTCTTTGTGCAGATCACACACGGATTGTGCTGGATTTGAGCCGAAGCCTCTTTAATCATCGTAACACTGTCATTAATATTCATGTAGTCAGCTGGAACACACACACACACACACACACAGCCCAAACTTTCTGCAGAAATGTATAAAAACAGCTTAAAAAATTAATGGACTTTAGTTTTTATTACAAAAAGAAGAAGGATGTGGCGAGAGGGAAGTGGGGGGGCTTGGATTAGACTTCATCTGATTGGTTGTTGTATATCCAGCCTGTGATTGGCCTGTTGACTTTCCCCTTTTTTCTGCAGAATTTCATCTTTTGATGAGACTTCAAAGCGAGTGTGATCATGAACGGTCATTTAGGAGGATTTATCACTTCTGTAATTGTACATGAATAGTAATCACTGCTGCGGCGGCGGCAGCGATCAATTAGCCCTGAGTCCACAAAAAGATCAGAGTGGGGTATGGGCACAGGCTGACAGGAAATGAGAAAAGTTTCAATGTGAAAAACCAGGAAAGGATAAAAGAAAATTTAAGAAAGAAATCTAGTGGTGCTTTGGTTTGAGACTTGGTTAAGCTGTTGTACCAGAACTGTTGAATTACAGTCTTCTTGTTTATTGGAATTGATTGATTGTGTACTTTTTTGGTACACTTAAAGTACATTTAAAAAGGTGTTCGCTATGTGACACACTATATATGGGAAATGCTTAGCTTAGTGATCAATCAGTCGATCGTTCAATAAGAAAACCTCCCATAGGTTATAAAATGTTATTATAAGAAAGTAGAGGTGTAACAATTGCAGATTCTTGGCAGATTTCTTTTTTGTAAGTGAGACCTACCAATACCAATTTGTGCCAATTTGAGTTCTTCCAATCGACAGCACATACAAAATGGTGACTGGCAACTCGGTTTGACATGGCATGTTGGGTTGGATGACGGTTTTCTTTAATATATCACATTAAGTTTGACATTGCAGTGGTTCCCTCACGGTTAACCCTACTGTTACATATAGATTATAAATAGCAGGCATGGGGCTTTATTTGATGACTGCAAAACACCAGGCTAACACATTACATAACACATTATGTGAGTGTGAGTTTCCACTCCTACTCTCAGACACAGAGAACATGCTCAAAATGATCGTCTGCCAAACCAGTTAAACGTGTGCTGACCAGCTTGCTGCTGTGTCCTATCAGTGGCCAGTCGATCAGTGCATCGCTACTGGAAAGGATTAAGTTGTAGAAGGTGAACGACTTACTGGAAAGGATTAAGTTGTAGAAGGTTCTGAATAACTCTGAATAACTCCAGGCACTGAGACCAAATCATAGATTCAGACCTGAAGTGAAACCAGTATCTGGTCAGATTGCAATGGTTTAGACGTATGTGTTGTTTTACAGCTAATCCTAAAGTGAATGAGGAGCTGCGACAACGTCTGCCTTCACCTGTCAGGTGAGAACAGGTTCTACTTCCATCTGTCTGCCACGTTCATACATCTCAGCTCCTCCTGTCTCTTACCTTCATTCTTCTACTGTGTCTACCTTCTACTGTGATTACAGCTTTCCAATAACCTGTTTACACATAAAGGAATTTATTGAACTCACTTCTTACATTACGTATGGATGGTTACTCTAAATTCCAACACTTACTGTTGTCCTAACTTCCTGTCTCATCTAACTTCTCTCATTTGCTCTCACTGTTGACTGTGCAGAACAGGGATCCGCCTGAGTGTGGATCTCAAGGAAGGTAAGTCCGGTCCATCACCTACCACTCAGTTAATTATTTTGGTATTTTGTAGTATTAATTACCTGGTCATGGTCATCTTTCTCACCCTTCTATCCTTTCCTCACAGAGCCTCCCAGATCACGCTCTGTCTCACCTGCCAGGAGGTACAGTTTGTCTCCTCTCTCTTTAGTTGCCACGACTCACTGTTCATCATCTCTCATATCAACAGTTCCTGTTTCCTCCTCAGGTCTGGTGGAACATCAGTAGTAATGCAGTGTAGTGTCCCCACCAGCAGGGGGCCATCCCCTTCTCTCTCCCCTTCTCTCTGCCCCTCTCCAAGGAGAGACATTGATGAAGTAAATGCCCCAGTGAAACGAGGGCCTCTACTGGGTGCTGATCACAGGTGAGATGAGAGTCAGTGCTCTGTGATTAATGGTCAAAGGTCAGTGATGAAAAGCCAGAGGTCAATGGTGTTTTTAAGTGCTACTGAACTTCAATTACTTCAATTACAAGTAGAAACTGTGATTAGTTATAGATTATTATTAAACCTTATTATTGATGCTCAATCTTCCCAAAAGCTTCTTGGCTTTATTGCTTTTCATTAAAGATCTTGAAGTGTGTGTGTGTGTGTGTATGTGTGCATGCGTGCATGTGCGTGCATGCCAGTGTCAGTGTGTGTGACACACACACGGAGACAGAAATAGATGCTGGGTTAAAACAGCGAAGGCGTCGTCGTCGTATTTACCTGCTTTATTACCTGTGACCTTTCAGGTAAAATGAAACAGTTTCTGCTGCTGCTTATTAAAGCTGCAGTTGCTGTCGCACATGTGACACACTAACGACATTCTTACATGATACCAATTACAGCTGACCATAGCTCACCTGCTGCTCATCAAATTTCAGCAGACACGTTGGCATGATGCAGTCGGAGTTGATGTGTCGAAGTGTTATGTTTGTCATGTTGTAGGTGATTACTCCCCGACTGGTCACTAACCTTTGACTTGGGCACAAACTCCTTGATCTCAGCATTAGAAACTTGAAATGGCACTGAGAAATTCTGCAGTGACTCGAACTTTGACTCAAAATCCTGCAGTTTGGACTGAGACTTAAAAAGAACTCTTCCGTGACTTAGGCATATATAACTCAATTCAAACTGTCTCTTGTGAAATAGACTCCTAAAATCTCCTGTATTGTTTTTTTGTTTCCTCAGCTCTCCCCAAGACGTCCATACAGGACATCACACCTTGGATTGGGGCAAAAACATCTCATTTCTTCTGAAGCAGTTAGATGCCTTGAGGGACGCCAACCACAGGGTAAGACAACTCCACACTTCACCAGTGTAAAAAACAGGGCTGTGCTAATGCACTTTAAAAACACCCCTGCACTGGTCCAGATCACTAGGCATCATCCTTTAGATGTTATCTTGTTATCTTGAAGATAAAAGTGGTTTTAGCCGGAGTTAATACATTGTTGGTGTTTTTATTACATTTTCTGAAAACTTCATGCACTCATCTCATCTGATGTTATTGATGAAGCATCTGTTCAGAGACCAATAATCTTTTGGGTTTTTTTTTCTTTTAGCTGCAGGAGCAGTTGCTGCAAAAGGAGGAAGAGCTACAGAGGAGGAAAGTGGAGGAGGACCTAGGCCAAAAAACAAGTGAAGGACATACAGGTAAGGAGGTGACTCTGGGGGGAGGAAAAGGTTGGTCAAAGAAGGTGGTATTGGTGGAGGGGAGTACAATACTCAGTCGTGACACTGAAGAAGTGACGAGAACTGCCAGGTCATGAGTTTTGCTGACGTTGACTGTTGTTGTTTCTGATGATTATTACCTATTGATTCATAGAATTGTGGGATGAGGTCCTAGTCGCACAGAAAGACAGAGACCAGGCTCTGATGTCACGACTCCAACTGGCCAATGAGGAAAGGGACATGGCTCTACTTCGTATACGTCGATTTCAGCAGGCAGAAGAGTATGTCTGACACACACATATACTGTACACACACATATATTTATATATATATATATATATATAAAATAATACGATGCATACACTCCCTATATTTCATCTGTGAAAAGTGAAAGTTTGAAAGTGAGGATTATGTAAATTCAGACGAATGATTTGAAGAAAATAGAAATGACAGGTAGTTACAGCATGTACAGAAGTACACTGTATGCACTGATAAGAAAAGCACAGCATTCCTTCAGAAAGATTCTGACAGAAATACTGTTTTCATCCTCCTCTTTTCCTAGACTCCTTTCTCCTCTTCATTATTCTCCTCCTCCTCTCGTTAAGATCCGTATAACGAGATTCTCCTTCTGTCAAATAGACCAGAAAATCTCATTAGAGATAATTCTCTTGCTCCTTCCCTCCTCCTCCCCAGGATGAGAGGGTAATTGATATTTGAAGCCACAATCCTTTTATGAGGGACTGAATATGGAGGAGCATATTTATACTGTGTGTGTTTGTGTGTGTTTGCGTGTGTGTGTGTTTTTTTAACAGAGGCAGCAGGCTCAGTGCGTAAGTGTGTGTGTTTTTGTGTGTGAATAAGACAAAGCTACTGCTGTTTGTTTTTCTAATCTGTCAAATAATTCATCAATTCGTCTGATCACTTCCTACAACAATCTATCTAATCTGTTTCTACAATAATTAATACACATTGGTGTCTCACTTTTATATCTTTTTTTTTTTACAATATTTATCTGAGGGCTGGTGACCTCATCACAAATGTAGAAAGTCGAAGTATATGGTGTCCGGACAGATGTGTGGTCTTTGAAGAAGGCTGTGATCTCTCTGTAGGATTGTATGATCTCTGTGTTAGATTGCGATCCCTGAAGAATCTCCAAGAAAGGCTGTGATTCCTCTGTGGAGGTTTATAATCTCTTAAGAAGCATTTGTCTCCTCGGTGTAGAAGGCTGCGGCTACCACAAGAAAGTACAGACTGCTCCGTAGAAGGTTGTGACCTCGTGATCTCCTCCTGACCTCCCTGTAGAAAGTTTCCATGTCATTGTCTGTAAAAATTGGAGATCTATCTTTAGAGGTTTGTCATCTCTCCATAAAAGGTCCAAGTCTTTCTGTAGATGCTTGTGATCCTTCTTTGGAAGATCTCTCCATAGACATGTGACCTTTGTGACCTCTTCATAGAAGTGGGGTCACATTGTGATCTTTTAATAATCTCTCCCTGTCAGACAAGAGGTGAACATCAGGTGCTTCCTCATCAGATAATAACAGTCTCTTAGTAAACATTTTTAGGCAACTAAGTGCTGTTTAATTTTCGAAGCAGGATATGTTGGAGGCCCAGGCCTTATCTTCAGAAATCAGACGCTTGACGTCCACCTTCACAAAGACCCACTTCAGCTGGAGACTGGTGTCAATGCACTCCCTCTGTCTGGGCTGAAGTCTGATCCTGTAATAAAGAATATATTTTTTAACTTTTCCAACGGTGAGAGCAGAGCAGAGCTGACACTCTGTGAGCTCGGTGTTAGAGGAGCTTTATTGGAGGCGGACGCTCTTTCATTACCCACTGTTCCCTGCAGAGCAACGCTGCAGCCGCCTTATTACACTTTATTACAGAAAAACAGCAGCGGCCAAATGAAAAAGAGCCTCCCAAGATGAGGAGGAGTCACCAGCTCCACACCACCATCGTGGATGCTGGTTCAGCCAGACGTCAGGGAGCACGACTCCACAGCTGCCAAGCTTATTTTCTGATTGGTCCAGATGTGATCTGACCAGGGCCTTGGCTCACCTTCCTCACCCTTTATACAGTTATCCTCTACACTGGAAGTATGCATGTTAGCAAAAGGAGGAGAGGAAGAGTCTGGGTAATTATTGATGGTTATTATTAATAATTTATTTGTTAGTAACCAATATTGGTTTTCAGATCATCACCACATACTGCTTTAATGCCCGCTTTACTTTCAAAAATTCAATTTTATAAGCCCATTGATCATGTAGTAAGTTCCTGACTTTTTGCTAAACAAAAAGTTTTTAGGTTCCCCCAGATTTGAGTGGTCTTCTGGTTTTGTTGATGCAATGAAGGAATCACAACTTGTCTGTAGGATTATGTCAGGGCCTGGTGCAGGCCACCCAATAACATTCAGCTAAGTCTTTGTCTTACAATCTTAATCTTACAATTTTCTGTACTTTTCCTCCATT